TAGCTGTATCTGATCAAGATTTTGCCACTCGTCGATAATATTTTGAAAGTTTTTTTTTTCTTCTCCCTTGATCACTACTACATAGTATACCTACCAGATAGGTAGCTTGTATTTGCGAAGTTAGCAGGCGATTTGGGGGCGTCGTCTCAAGGCTGTTAAAGCAGCAGGGGAGTAATGATGCTGGGCTCATCAATGTCTGGTAATCTGAGGGCAGCCTGTTCTCTCGCCTCGCCGTGGTCGAAGTGTGTACGAAGTAGCGTCTGCATAAAAAGTAGTATGCACCACTTTCAGGCTGAAACAAGTTTCTGGGCTATGGTATCATCATACCACGTCCATCGGAGGCGCTGTACCGCTGATCTTGACTGGCTTGATGCCTCTCGTGCATGTTCCTATGCCGCATATTTGTTGGGGTAACGTGCGGACATGTGGGTGAGTAGTATTTCCACGTTTGCCGGTTCTATCCCCTTGCTCGGCCGTGCTTACAAGGTGGATTTAACTATTGAGGATGCCCGTGGATTTGCATAATCTTTTGTAGGGAACTCGACACGACATCTCTCGGGTATGTGCTCCGCGATGTACATGATATGTTGTAGCAACACATTAGATATTGTAGGTATACGCCATCTCGGTACAGGCACCGGCAGTAGTAGAGAGGATTTGCGTAGCGAGTATAACTACCGTACCGTGACAGCGCCGGCGATGACTCTTGCCACACGGTGTGACGGTGTGTTACTGTCTGGCATGCTTAACCATAGTACACGGCTCTGTACACAAGGAGGTAGATATAATTGTGTAGCATCGTGCAGCCTAGTACACACACGTTTCACTGTACGATTTATGGATGGCTATATACACTGTAGATGCATGCGGAAATGAGCAGCGTCAACTGCCGCTTCTCGTTCTCATTGGCACCGGAGGATCTGCAAGCTTTTCTGTAAAATAGGACAGAAACATGGAGAACTTCACGTGCAGATACAGATACCTACACACAGAGCTACACACAAACATGCAGGATACTGTACGTGTATACTGCACATGTAGGTGATGAAATTAATGATCAGCATGTCTATAGCCGCACATAGCAGGCGCCATTCCACGATAGTGCGCGCGTGCTACCTTTAGTAGCGTGGGCTATGTAATGTAGCATGACAAAGCCGTGGATTTCGGGGATGATATGATGATCAATGTGACAATGAATGGGCGATAGACGCCGTCCTAGGCGCGGCGTTTCGATGTTGACCACCCGAGCACCACCACACACAGATGGCTTCATCTAATGTGCATACCAGATGCATACACTAGGCATACACTAGGTATGATTGTGCATTTCCACTTACATCACCAATTCAATAGCAAGCGAAGCCGTACCAAAACTCCTGCTTCAGTGGTTGTTCGTACATCATGTAGGTAGGTACTGTAGTGTACTACTTCGTATCTGTCCGTACCGATTAGCAGACTGAGAGTCTCTCTACTCTAAGAGGATCGAATTGTGTCGCGCGTCTCAAGGTAGGTAGCACCAGCTCATTTCCTGTATTAATACAGCCTTCTTTTATCCTCTTCTCGTTCTTCTTCTTCCTCATCTTCGCTCTCATCCCTTACTATGTATGCTCATGTAGAATGTGTCTCGTACTGTGAAGCCAATCAATCCACTGTGGGACAACGATGAGGTGTCTTCTGTTGCAGCCAGCGCCGGTAGCGGTATCCATGTACCTATACTTGTTCAGATACGCACAAAGATGGTCGCCGCTTTACGGCTGGTCCGGACGAGGACAGTCCGTCTCCATCTCAGGCTCATCCATACTAAATTCTCTATCTAGAAAGCGATCTTCGTCTGGCGCGGTGCCTGCCGGTCTGATTGGCCCCTGCTGTCGAAATGTTCTAGCGTCCTTCTAGTGCTACGCCACTTTGCATCGTGTACGAGTGAGCTGGTTGGCTGCCGGGCTCGACCCAAGCAACAATATCTACAGATGTACGCTTACGTATTTGTGGTACAACAGCGAGCGGTAGCGGAGTTCGTCTGTCGTACTGTATGAGGAATTTGGGATAAATTATGTTTCGACTACCTAGGGGTGACATGGTACAGATAGAGGCAGGTATCTATCTCTCTGCTACCTACTCCTTCATGGCCAAGGTACACGAAGCTCTGAGATAAACATTGATTACCTATATCAATATTCAAATATGTGCCTTTGTTATACTTAGAGATGTGACCATACTGTAGAAATGCTTCAGCATACCATAAGTACTACCTATGCCATACTACTTTCTACTCGCTGCTAATGAGCCACGATTGGTCACAAAGGGGAAATGCCTACCCTACTTAGTACATATGCTTCATACAATGAACCAGATGGCTCGAAGTCTGATGTCTGTCATGGACATTTATTTAGGTATGTGTACGTAAAATGCCCATGATTGGTATTTCGTATGTGAGTCGACAGTCGACAAGCTCCTCGGCCGGTGGCATTAACTAGATTGCATATCGTACGAACGAACCGAAAAGCGTGGTCACGCGATCCCCGCTTTGAAACTACTGCACAGATACTGCATATACCTACTGTAAGTAAGTACCTAAGTACTGTTCACAGTGTACCAATAGACCTTCGAGCTACTAGATATCCGAGAGGCAGTCCGTGCTTAGCATGTGTCTGATGTATGTACTTACAGTATGCATTTTGCAAGGTCTCTGTTGCAACAATATCTTGTATCTACTTACAGTACATAGTAGTATAACAACATCAAGCGTACTTCGTACGGTAGACATGGGTATAGTGTGTATATGTAGGTATGGCACGGTAGACGACTGACAATACAGGTACATACTATACACGTACCTACATGAAGACTGACAGAACAAGAACACATGTGGTTGGCGGGCTCTGGCGCTGGGGTGGCATGGAATGAATGGAACGAATGGAACGAATGGGGCCTGAACAGGGAACAGTCTCTTCTCGCCCCCTCGGTCCTTGCTCTTTGGTCTGCTCTGGTCTGCCCTGCCCTTGCGCTTGATGGGCTCGATGGGGACATGATTGACGCTTGATTGGGTGGTGGTGAGGAGTCGCCGCTGGACCATGGCCGGGTCACGACTGGGTCGTCATTTGCGTCTTGGCTGGGGATCTCCCTTTCTCTGCCCTTCCAATCTCGTTCGTCCGCACTATGCGCCTGTCTCCATAGGTACTCTAAGTGCGTCCTACATGTAGGTACATCAGGTCCTCCTCATGTCTTGTACACCATGTCCTGTACACCACCTCCCAGTCCATCATCTGTAGTATATTTTGCGCTGCTCTGCCCGGATGCCGAGAGAACCGTGTATCTGAGAGGTATTGCCACAACTTCACTGGCTCAGTAAGAGGTAAGGTAGGTATGTGCTGTGCTGTGCTGTGCTGTGCGCATGGACCGTCGGGAATAAACTCTGCGGCACAAGTATCTGACCCTGTCGCTATCCCGGCCCTATGCCCCTGCCCCTGTCTCTGCCCCCTTCGGTCATACCATCGGTACCCACCCTGGCTGGCACTGCTTGGTACCTAGCCCGAGACCTAGCACGCCCTAGGTACCGGGCTAGAGTGTCCGGCGTGCTGCTGTACCACTTCTACAGTAGGTACCTAGGTACTTCGTATGTACTATGTAGTGGTCGACTGCCGTCAGTCACACTTGTAGGTACGGTAGGTATTATATGTAGCGTTCCTCGCGAAGTCGTCCCCCAGCGTCTGTCTACACTACCGCTTCTCCTTGACCATCTTGCTTTTGTGCCATATCTTGGATCTGTGAGACTGGTTTGAACGGTACCTAATTAATTAATAATCATCGTTGTTGCTACTCACTCACTTCACTCACTACTCTTCCTCCCGCTGCATCGAGTCGTCTACCTCGTTAGTAATCTCTCTGGCCATCTCTCCTCAACTACCACAGGACGCACATTACACCCACGAAAGGACCCAAGAAGAAGGAAAAAAAGAAACACAGGAAGAACAACCAGCAGGACAGGAAATTAGGACAGCCATCTACAGATTCTTGTGTATTTTGTAGTCAATCTTGGAGAATCACCGCCGCCGTCGTTGCTTCATCTTGCTTGCCATCTTGGACTGCCATTCCCTGTCAATCGACGTTACAGCACAATTGCAGCCTGCTACGCTCACTTGTACATATTCAGCCTTACTGCACGACGCACCACGGCATCAGGAAAGACGAATCCTGTACCGAATTATCTAGACCGTTTCCTAACGACGCTCACTATCGGTCTGAAAACTGTCCTTCACTGACAACATTCGAATACATCGGTTGTTTGTTCTCTCGCTCCGATTATTATAATCTACAACGTCCATCTTGGCCGTCCATACCCCTTAAGTGGTATCGTACTCGCCAGTCAAGGGCTCGAAACTACGTAGTGACAGTACCGAATTCCGCTGCATTTGTGGCTCTGCTCCGCTTCTAGACGCAGCGTGTCTCCATCTCAAGAGCAGTTTATTCTGTGTCACTCACGTCAGACTGTCGTAATCAATAACGGGCCCTCCGGACTGAACGCCGTGATCCGAATCGTTGCTAGCAAACAGTCACTCCCCCCTTCCTACCCGGCTAGACGCTTCGCTTTAGCACCGATCTCTGTTATACAAAGGACGCGCACCCCTCAGTCCACCTGAGTCTTGATCCCGCTTGGTCAGCAGCAAGATATCCGCAGCACGCACTCACACCCTCGCTTCTAGGCTCGGGATTGCTGCAATCTGCTGCTACCCGTAGCTGAGCTTTGGTAATTGGACGGAGAGCCGTACCAATCTTGAATATATCCAAAGCAGGCCAGCTGCAGCGTGCTCATACGGCTCCTTAGCAGGCTTCTAGGTCGTTGCCATCTGCTGCACTGACCAAACATTTCGGATAATAGGGCGTTTGCTGCAACTGCGCATGGCTTTTGTGCTTGTCTGAATCCGTCTCAGGCTGAATCGGAAGCCCTGTTTGCTTCTTGTTGCGAATTGAGGCACCTATTCTCATTGATGACTCGGAAAATAATGGGCAAAGTCAGATCTAGACGAAACTCCCTAATCTATCGTACCACGTTCTTCCGGGAATTAACACCATCATCATCAGATCTAGAAGACTGGGACGCTGAAACTGTCATGGACCCGTCATCAAGGCCAACAAGCTGGGCCATACCGCGGACTGGCTCCCCTTTTCTGAACACCCCGACTCTAGATGACATTCTTTCAAACACAGCACCCCAACCATGGACTCTCAGTGCTTTCATGGCTTATTTGTCACAGAACCATTGCCTCGAAACTCTCGAGTTTGTAATGGACGCTGCAAGGTACCGAACCACACACTTGCAGATGGTTCAAGGACAGCTATACGTTGGAAAAGATTACATATGTGGGCTATGGGAGAAAATTATCGGGGCATACATTCTGCCTGGCGCCCCTCGTGAAGTCAACATCCCCGCACCTGTTCGTGATCGACTTCTCAGTCTAACCTTCACGACCTCCACCCCGCCTGATCCGACGGAATTAGACGAAGCTACTATGATTGTAAAAGAATTGATGAATGATTCAGTGCTGGTACCTTTCTTGGAGTCGGTTGTGCCTGTAACGATCGGAGCCCACCTCGAAGAAGACATGAGGCCTCGGCAGGAACGCACGCGGCTACGAATTCCTAAAGACATCGGATCCGAAGAATCCAGCCAGTCTCCGATAGCGACAATCCTGCCACTATTTGGCATGGGACGCAACACGAGTCGGTCCAACTCGGGCTCGAGTGATTCCCCAGAGGTCGAGATGACCGATGATAGTTTGAGTCCCAGTTCTACTCCAACCGCCGAACCCATGACTCCACCCACCACGCCACCTACTTCTGATTTCTCTTTCCACCCTTCACCCAAAGCTTTCCAGCGTGCTCTCTCTGGAACCAGCTGGAAAAAGGTTGGCGCGAAGCTCGGATTAGGAAGGAAGAGTAAGTCTTCACGTTCTAGCTCACCGACCGTGAGCGCGCCATCCTCTCACCCCACGCAACCCAGCCAATCTCCCTTATAGGGGTTACAGGTCACACAATCTCAAACACTATCAGCCTCCTCACGTCACAACGGTGGTTCGGAGCACACAACGCACCAGACTTCTCACGATCTTGATATCTGGGAGGATTGTCACCCTGGTGAACAAACGCTCGATTCTACGAACTCTCTTACGGGCTTGTACATCCCCCCGGCTATTGGTGGTGGTGGTAGTGTGAGTAGTGTGGCCGCAAAAGCGCAAGGAATCTCTAATGTGCACTCATGCTTGGTCAAAAGAAATGTACGCATGCGGCAGCGTACCGCGCTCAAATCTCTACGCATTCCGGGCCCAAACTCAGAGAATCCTGGTCTAAAAAGAGACGATATGTTCTCTCCCTGTACCAATAGTAATGCGAGCATGGAGCCTGTCCAATTCTTATCTGGTCCTCCGACGCTTGAGCCTCTTGAAATTGACATGGATACTGAGCATCCTGCCAGCACAGCAACAACCCCCGGATTCGATGGAATCTGGAAGGACTTTCCACAGGCGTCATCGAGATCTCCATGTATGTTGGCTGATCTGTCAAACTATCTGGGTATATCACGCTCCGAAGATGACGATGTCGTTCTCAAGCGAGTGGGCACCGCGCCTCTTCTTAGTCGTGAGAGCTCGTGTGATACGGACTCTTACGGCTGGGAGAGCGAGTACGACCGACGACCTAGTTGCGGAAACGTAACGCTAGGTCGCAGTTGTCACAGACTAAGATGCCACAGGCCATAATCCGTATAAGGGTCTTGCTTCATCTGTTTCGGTGCATGCAGAACAAAGCAAAAAACTTTTTTTTCATGACTACGGACGTCCTTGCTTTGGGAACTGTGCGCCATATGTTGTCTCACATGTCATATCATGACCTGTGTGTTTATTTTCATCCTTTCAACCAGGAACACCTCTGCATATATCAGGCGAAAATATTTGTGGTCAATTACATACAAACGGCGTTTTATATCCCCTTGGGAGAAAACCAAGGATGGCTTGGTGGAATTGAAATCATTAGGTTCGGAAAGGGAACAGGGACTTGTCAAAAGCATTCATACAAACATAGATCTGGGGCCGGATCGGTAAATCCTTTGTAAAAAAGATCACGAATTGGCGGGGTTTATTATGTTGTTTTGAAATTTTAAAGCGAGGCGTTGGATGAGGATTAATAATGGGATCATGAAATATGAAAGTACCAATCTCTCTGAATATAGAAACCTGCTTGTTATTTGTCAAAAAAAAAAACGGATATGAGCCGGGTTGAAATCGTGCGATGTTGAGACAGACGAGAAATTTTCATGGAGAAAACCCCGACTCTGTAGGTCGTTTTAGGTGTACTTGAATCTCGAGCTACATACCTATCTCACGCGATTGCTCCTCTCTTGAGACTGACTAATTGACGCGAAGATATTTTGCGTTTCAATTGTTACTTATTGAAGTCAGAAAGTGCCTTAAAGTCGCTCTATGCGATCTGACGGTGTATTGCTTGCTCTTGCTACCTATAGGAACGATATTCTCCTTCGAATTTATGACATAATTAAGCCGTAACATACTATATGTATACATAGATGTATGAGATATGGAGCGGAGGAAAAGAATAAAGTAATAAAATACGGTAGTAGACCAATCTTTCCCTTCTACAGCTTCAATACAATCACAACTGGCCATACCGTGATAATGACTTTATACTCCTAGATTCGGAGGAAATTTGCTTCATTATATTTTCGATTACATGGTATTCTATCTGTTGGATTTCTCATGTATGTATGTATGTATGTATATGTACATGTACATACAGACATGAAATAGAGACAGATGACTCCCTAGCTAGCCCCCGTTCGTCTCGGAAGAAGAAAACAGATGCGAGGCTGACCTTGCGTCGGAGTCGAAGCGTGCTTTATCTACAGGGAAAATAGGATACAGGTTCATTGGGTGGTGGGTTTTGGTTTCCACTTTTGCCCATGGCACCGAGTGGACGTGGATGATTACGGCGAGCTGACAACTCTGAAGCGGTGAGGTCGCGCGGGTGTCGAGATGTGTTGGTAGGCGGGTTGGACGGGTTGGTAGATCTTGTAAATTTAGGGGGAGGTTGCGTTTTTGCATATTTAAACTTCCTCAAGTAGAGGCTTGTCGTGGCGAGAGTACATCTTGAAATCTGCCGAGGAGCTAAAGTCCAACTTGCCCTTTTCTACATCTGCCCTGGTTGCTGATAACATGGGCTGCGGGAGACCCATGGATTCGAGGAAGGAGACGGCTGTTAAGGGGACGAATAATTAGCGACTGGTTCTTATACCTTGGGGCATATACTTGACTTAGAACAAGCTTGAGGTCATGTAACTTACTCTCTTTCCACTCGCGGTCCTGTCTCGTCCGGTCCCAGTTGAGCTCCTGGCTCATGATGTCGATGATGCGAGGCAGACACTCTAGAGCTGCTTGAGCGTTGAGGAAGGCAAGACGCGTGCGTCGCGCTAGGATATCTACGGCCGTCTGGGCGTACTCGTGGCTAATAGCATACCGGATCTCGCCGTCTACGAAGGGATACAGCCGCGAGATGCGCTCACCTCGCGCGGGGAAACGAAGGTCGGTGGGTTGGCACATGGCCGCCACCGTCCAGGCGCGGTCACCGTAGCTCTCCGTCAAATGCTTGGCAACCTCGGTCTCGACGCCGAAGTGCTGGATGAGGTTGATGAAGAGCGTCTTGCTGAAGCCGTGAGCACCGATCAGTCGCACGTTGTGTGTCTGGCAGCTACCGTCGAGGATGGCGCCGTCGTCCACCTCCTCAGTACCGCTGACGCGCGGTGCGTTGGGGTAGGGTTTAACGGGGAGCTTGAATTCTTTGACGGCAGCGTCAACGCACTCTTCCGCCATCTGTCGGTAAGTCGTCCATTTGCCACCAGCGCAAGTTATCAAGCCGGATTCGGAGATGTCGACGAGATGGTTGCGCACGAGAGACTCGGTGTTGGCCGCCTTGGGGTCCTTGACCAAAGGCCGCAGACCAGACCACGCAGCCAGGACATCGCCTCGGCGCACCTTGATATCGGGCGATAAGTAGTGGCTGACCTCGTTCAGAATCCACTGAATGGACTTCTCATCAGGCAAGGGGTTTTGAGTGATGACGGCAGACTCGTCGGTTGTACCGGCGATGGTGTTTCCTTGCCACGGCAGGAAGAAGATGACACGGCCGTCAGATGTTGAAGGGTCAATGAGTCCCATCTTGGCAGGGCTGTAGTAACCGGGGAGAATAACGTGGACACCGGATGCCGGAGCCACAATCTCTTTGCATTCCTGGTCATCCATCTTTCGAATCGAGTCTGTAAATGGCCCAGTGCAGTTGATGATACATTTGGCACGGACGGCGATGTCTTCGGTTTTGCGGCCACCACGCTCAGGTATGCGGTCTTTGATAGTGGCACCACACAGTTTTCCTTGCTCGTTCTTCATGAGACTAGTTACCTCAGCGTGGTTGACGACGGTGGCTCCATACAAAGCAGCCGTCATGGCGAGAGATACGTTCATACGTGAGTCGTTGTGTGCTCCGTCATAGTAGACAAGCGCGCCTACGAGGTCGGTGGGTTTGAGCATGGGAAAGGCGTCAAGAGCTTTACTCCTTGTTAGGAAGTATGAGCTCTCAATGCCCTCGCTACCAGCCAGGAAATCGTAAAATTTGGTGCCCGCCCAGTAGTACGGAGCCTTCCACCACTTGTCCAGAGGAAGCATGATAGGCAACCACGAACTCAGATGAGGTGCGGTTTGCAAAAAGTACTTGCGCTCTTTCAGGGCTTCCCTGACCAGTGTGTATTGGGCGTAGTCGAGATTCCATACGGCCTTTTCTAAGTACCGCACACCGCCATGTACAAGCTTGGTACTCTTACTGCTTGTTCCGCTACTGAAGTCATCGCGCTCGACCATGGCGACCTTCAAGCCTCTCGTGACGGCATCTAAAGCGACACCAGCACCAGTGGCACCGCCACCCACGACCAGTACGTCATACTCTTCCTCTGCCGATCGGCCCTTCTTCAATTCAGCAAGCTGCTCGTCGCGCGACTTTACTTTTGGGAAGCGGGGGAGCTTAATTTTACCATCGGCGTCATAGAGCGGCGGGGGCACTGCAGCGCCCTCAGAACCGGGGACGTTGATGGGTCGGTACGAGTAGAGGAGGAGGCCACCACCGACGGCGGCGGCTGAGGCAGGCAGCGCAACTCGCCTTAACAGGCGCGTTCCTCTGGTAAACCTCGTCATGAGGTCGGCGAGTGCTCGACGAGAGCACTTAGGAACGTGTCGTAGTTCGCTGCGCGCGTAAAATGGTTAAGTTGAATCTTGCACTGGCTTTCGCGCAATTGGGCGCCTCTTGTCGCGCTCTTTGGGGCTGTCTCGGACTAAACGAGGCCGAGGTGGTGGTCGAATTGGGCTTGGCGCAAGCAGGTCAACAGGTGGCTTTCTGCCTACTTCTTTGACTTAAAAGCACGAGGAGGAATATAAAATAGATGTAGGTCTGAACCGGGTATATATCAATTCAAATATACATGAACAATTGATGGGAACGACGGAAGTTTTCGACCTGGTTTGCCAGCGTCCAAGTGGCGTATTCAACGGGGTATAAGAGAGGGCTTGCTCCGGTATGAGCTTGTGTCTATGCTGAGAAACGAAGAAGAAAAGTTCTGAACAGCCAAGGACGAGAATTTTGATGTCGCTGTCGGGCAGAGACGTACCAAGACGGGTATGCCAATGTAGGGCAATGGCAATCAAGAATAGGTATGCCGATGACGACGGCACGACAGTTAGCAGGCCCCACGCCGTCTATCACAGGCTACATACAAATACATGCAAATACATCCATAAATACGTACATCAGATACCTACATGGACGCATACAGTATATGTAGATACAGTAGCAGTTGTGGTCTATGGCGTGTGTCTCCGCATGTGGAGTAGCAAAAGACTGGTCAGGTCCTCTGTCAGGTCAATGAGGCTGAGGGTCCTGGTCGTCGTCGATGTCATTGAGGGGCTGAAGCACATCCACCGCGCAGTCTAACATTGCAAAAGGCACAGAATACTGGGGACGCGAGACACTAAAGCGCGAGAACTTCACGTCACGAGGACCTGTCCTTGCATTGATAAGGACACAGTAGGCCAGACGGTGCGGTGCCCTGGAGGATCAACAGGAACACGCACGCACACATGTCTACCAATGCTCTAACAGCAAGCGGCATGTAAGTGAGTAGGTACAGTAACAGATTGAATAATGCCTCATTTATTTTGGGGAATGGAAACTAGGTAGGTAGGTGAGATGAGGCCCTGTCGTGTAGTAGACTATTATGTACCTAGGCAGGTATTCTTGGTAGACCCCGCATCAGAAGAACAGTACCACTCCATTGCGGGCAGTAAGTATTGCGGGTTAGTGCACGGGGGAATGAATGAATCAATCAAATTTTAAACTTGAAAATAGGAATGATTCAATATGTGAATGAATGAATGAATGAATGACAAATGTGACAAGGCTAATATGGCTAATATTAAAGCAAGCGAAAAAGGAAGAAGAAGAAAAAGAGGAAGAAATACCATAGTATGTACGAAGTATGTAGGTAACACGATGTACCTACCAACTATTCAATACTTTGTAGCGCCAGAAGACAGAACCGAGCAAAAGAAGGAAAAACATTTAATTCAATCATGATGCAAACTATCCGGCCTGTGAGCCAATTAGCTGGAGCCTGGCCGGCGGCGGCTGCAAAACTGCCGCATGTACAGTATCAGTCACCCTTTTTGGAACAACTCCGCACTGTCCTTCCTGCCCTTCTTGCCGAGCCTGCCCAAGTCAGACCCAAGTGGACCTGGCTGGTGGAAATGGAAATCATCCATCAATCATATGACAGCACCGCAGAACGCTCCAGCCCTGAAAGGTGATTGTGCGGCCTTGGGGTGTGTCTGTCTGTGTCTGTGTGTGTTTGTTTGTCTGTCGCATCGTCTCGTCTTGGCCTCTTGTCCTCTCGTTCTCTCGTTGGCGGCAGATACGCCCCAGTATCGCTGAAAAAAATGCTGTCCATACACCATCTCCACGTGCCTGCGAAAGCATTGGTCATTCATGGGCAGCCAGCGACTGTCCTGTGCCAGTATTTCCCGGTAAATCGGTCTCATCCCTAGGTACGATAACGCGTGTCGCGTCCCGGATAAGCTTTCTGTGCTTACTGCGTAGTCCTGTCAGACTCCTGTCTAGTCGCCAATCTCACTCTGCATATGTAGTATGCATTCCTGCCGCTAAAATGAAGATCTCGCTAAATGAGTATGGCTTGAGAACTTCATAGCTGACATAATAAGGGTTAGGGAGTGCGTGCTGGGACGAACGCGGATATACAGAGGACCGCTGGGTACTGCACTCTCTAGGCATCATCCATGAGTGCTGATTGTCATCATTATGTCTATTAAAGCGGTAATACACATTAGCTATAACATATTTTGCTGCTCTGATGTACATGGATATATCTAATCTACAAAGCAAGCCCAAGCCGGCTGCTCAGCGTCTTTCGAAACAGGCCGAGAACATTTCATCAACAAAAGTCTTCACTTCGCTGGCACTTCTACTTGCCTCCGCCGTCAGCCCTAAACCTTGTTTCACACCTCCGTCGGCGTGGGCCCTGGGCAGCGGCTGAAGCTCAATATGAGTGCTTGTATTAGTCCTGCTTCGAGTATGACTGCTATGTGCTGGATAGGACCCAACAACACCCGGGGGGTTCGGCGGAGTTTGGTCAAGTGGTGGCGAGCCGACGTCTGACGACCGACCATCGACCTCCTTAACTTGACTTACAGCCACCCTGATCTCCTGTGAGACGAGGATACCTCCTAGGCTTGAAACATTTCGCACCCCCCTAGCCATACTCGTCGGCTTGTCAGGTGGCGTGTCAAGGGAGGCAGTCTTCATGTTGCTCTCCTCCCGATCCCACAGCTTTAGCGTTGAGCTCTGGCCTGAACTGCTGCTCGATGATTTGCTTCCTAGCTTGGTAGGGATGGGGTTGCCCTCTGCATCGGTGGCGCGGAAGTCTGCCTTGCGGCCAACCTTTCGGAAGCCGGAACGCCAGTCTCGCTGACGTCCTTGTGGCGCTTGCTGGAGGTTTGGCTTATGGGCCGAGACTGATACTCCTTTGATAATGGGCACAAGTTCTCGGTGCAGGTGTTGTGTGAAGGCCGCCTGATAAGGCGAGTTTTTGTGTACCATCTGCTGGACCTTGAAGAAGCTCAATGGTATGAATTCACAACCCGGACCACGGAGGGAGCTGAGAGAATAGTGAATAGGTACGACGGAATGTAGCACAATCATTGTACACTCTTCCATCCCAGTCGACTCTGGACGAGGTTCGCAAGGAACTTGAACTGTCCGATAACTCAAGGTAGCTTCGTCAAAGATCCGCCTATTGTCGACACGTATACATAGGGTAGTGATAGCATCGGCCAAAACACTTGCAAACTCGGCCTCTTTATCTGTCCGCCTCTTCGACGGGTCTCTAAGTGTCCTCAGCAGTGAAGGCACGTTTAACCCGTAGTGCTTGTTAAGAAATTCGGCGTGCCATGGCTCTAGGCGATCCAGTGGGATCTTTGATGACGGGAGGACATTGCGTGCGCCCCTTTCAACTAACACGTCGAAGCCAAAGCCACTTACGCGGGCCCTTATGCCAAAGAATCCCAGGTGAACGCCAGCGTCGGCCATGGGTTGCTCGGCATATGTCGCCATTTCGGTCAGCGTGTGAGACAAGTCTACAGCCTTGATTTTCATGCCATGTCGAATGATGCTACTGACTTGGTGAATGTCGGCGAACCGAAAGCCCGCTGCTTCAAGCTTCTCGACGTCGGAGGAATGCTCGAGACGACGGACGAGGAACATTAACGAACCTCGTCCACTTTGTGATTGGTTCATTTCCATGCTCTCACCTCTTTCAGAAGAGTCGCTCGGATTCTCCTTCGAGTGTCGCGTCCTGACATCACCAGTAGGAAGTATTTCATCCCACAGAACACCAACATCTGTGAGTTGTTTTTTCAATCTGGAGGCTAGACTCGCTGCGGCCAGACAAAAGAGCTCCCTGAATACAACGTCGTAGTTTTCGATAAGCTGCCCGTTTTCGCTAATCAACCCAACATTTCTGCCGCGACTGTTGCCTGATTGGCGTGCTAGGTGATTTGCCATGGTGGTTATCATCCCGCTCGTGGCGTCCCAGTTACGAGAAGCTTGGAACATCCACTGAAAGAGCGGGTTTTCGATACTGAATGTGTCGCTCGGGGTCTTCTCGATATACGTATCTGTGATCTTCTCACTCGGCAATAATCCGTCGGGGCTGACGAGAATTCGTCCGTTGCGATCGAAGATTGCAGCGGCGAGGACAACATGCCGTGATTTGCTCGCATTACTTCTCGCGACCCAGGCTCCGTGTCCGACCACTCCGGCGACGATCAACGCGGCGCTGAAAGATAGGACAGTGACAAAGATAACGACAGTGTTCCGTGAAAACTCATTGCCCATGTTCAATTTTACCAGACGGTAGTTAGTGCCGGTTGATGCACACCAATGCATCCCTGATACAGCGCCCGCTAATACGGCGCCTGAGATACCTCGTTTCCACCACGAGTTCTTCCACGATGCCCTCCAGAGAAAGAAAAAGGCTAGGGCCGCATTGCTAGCCACCACGGCAATAATAGCAGACCCGACAACGTTAACGGTGTCATACTGGCACCTATAGTTTTCGATGGAAGCGTTGCCGAGGTAATGCACTGATAACAAGATTAGGCACACAACATCTACAGAGAAGACACTTCGAATGCTAAGTGGAAAAAACACGATCGAGGTCAAAGACTCACTACCACAGATGGCGCCACCCGCCAATGTACCCCCTACGCCGAGCCGCCAGAAGGATACAAGGCTGTTTGTGCCTATTGCAACGAAGGCCGCAAGCAGGACAAAGATAGGAATGAAGAACGAGATAGCTGTGAATTTGCTCGAGTAGACGATTTGGAGCTCGTACTGATCCTGGGCCAAGACGATAGCTCGGTTACCGACGTAGTGCATAGACCAAATCGATATGCCTCCCATCGCCACTGCTGCAGTCACTAAATATATATGGTTGAGGACTCCATTGCGAGATGTCCGCCGGTTGATAAGCTCGAGCGTCGAGACAGCACCAATGAAAGATACTACGCGCAGAAAATGTTAGCGATCACTTAACAACCGTCGGTCGATACAACATGAAGAAGTCTAGGGGACCAGCCGTTAGATTCTCTTATTACTCACCTACGTAACTTAGGCCTACGAATCCAGCGTTGAACGATCGGGGAACGATATGGCCTTCATAGCGTTGAAGCAACTCCCCCACAGTCGACATATCTCCAACGCGGTGCTTCCCGCTGGTCACGATAAGGCTGGTGAATGTCGAAATTCTCAAACCTTTTTCATCACATCCAAGGCTCGCTGGTCTAAGCGTCTTCTTTTATCTCCCGGTAGATCTTGAGGGGGAAATCGCATGAATCAGAACATCGGATGTTCTGCGTGCCTAGAACATAGACTAGCCAAGGCCGTCTTACATATATGTATACCATCTAACAGCATCTCACTAAGAAATCTCGGCGCCGGTGCGCCTGATGTGCACGGGCGTGTTCAGTGTTGCTTAGCATGCCTGTGCCTGAGAGAGATCTAAGCCTGACCCAGCTTAGAAGCCGCGGCGCTGATGATAGAAATGAGCTGAACTTGCATCCGAGCCACCCCAACGCCCTATATGATTCGAAGCTAAGAGACTGTCTTCTCAGACTACACGTACTAGTACAAGCCTTTGTGTGCCATGATGGTCTACGAATCGAGCCAATAACGCGTGGTGGAGATGAGACCGGTGACTCGAGTACATCACCACACCCGCGTAACCATGCACTCGGTGCAGACTACGGCCGTAGTTGACCAGGATAAGCACTACATTCGAGATCCTAGTGCAGATCTGGCAATGCCTCTGGCACATCATGCATACAATGCACGTCAAATATCAATATCACACAACGCCGCCTTTCATCGACTTGCGCTATTCTCTAATCTTGTTTCATATCACTCACTTGGGATCTCTTTTGCTTCTCTTTCCTTTTTGCCTCATTTTCTCGAATCCTTCTTCCTAGTTGAACAGTGGCTGGTCTGTCTCACTTTGCACGTTTGCTTGTCTTACAAGTAGAGTCACTCGAAGTATCCACTTACACGAGCGAGATCTTGATAAACCCCACATATTGGGCGCACATGGGATACTTTATACAGCTCGATCGGAAAGGTTTCCCCTGCCTCGGCCACTAAAGTTGAGGTGAAAACTACGCGGCGTACCAACATGTCGGCACGGCCGCCGCTAATTACATGATGAAAACACAAGGCGAATCTGGGTGCTGTAACCAGCCGAGGTTTATCGATCTACCAAACGTACTTGAGTACGTAACAGAACAAAGTGAGTTAGTTACCTTGCAAATCAAACCTTCTTAGTCCCCGACGCGACTCATCAAATAGACAAGATGTTGGAAACTGCTGCTCCGCTCACACGTGGAAAGTATATTGTCCGTTCGCTAAGTGTATGAGTAGATTACATCCAGCTGCTCTATTATTGGAATTAGGGCTCACAAGCCTCTTAATGGGGATGAAGCGAGATGGCTGCCCAGAAACTCATGGATGAAATGATATACCATGTAAGTATAAGTAGCATACATAGTATATCATCGTCTCTAGCCAAACGCCTTCGGTGAATCATCACCGAGCTCCACTTCAGCCTCAACGTGCTCTCTGGCGGAAGGATTTAGTGATCCTACATAACTAGATAGGTAGTTGATCTTTTCTTCCAGAAACAAAACATGCTTACATGAAGAAGCACGATGTACTATGTAAGTTGTAAGTTCTTCAACCATCCTCTTCAACAGCATCTCTTGCACCTGATACATATCTGCCTTTGAGAGAGAAGAAAGCTACTGTACTTGTATCACACGCTAGGCGTTAGCCATGTTTGGGTTGCGCAAGAAGCCGCGGCCTAGCGCGTCTAACCATGACTCCGTCGCAAAGGTAAACAGGAATACAAGATCCGCCTATCTAGATCGGTCCCGCCGCAGTCTAGACCGCCGCAGCTTGGAAGGAGAATGCCGCGAGGAGGAATATCAGCACCTGTTGGGGTCTCGACTTGTGACTCGTGGATTTCTCAAATTCATGCGCGCCGACTACCCTACCAGGAGAGATGGATATATAAACTTCAGAATTGAAGACACAATTCGATTGTTTGGGTCTGATCAGGCATCTCGCGGACGGGTGGGATTGATACGAGACTTGTCTCGTTCATTCTCTCTCATTCCGTCTCTCCCGAGAGCAGGTATTTGCCGCATAAAGGCGCCGGGACTAACTAAGTGGGACTCGCCAGTTACCGCCCATCCATCCATCTTAGGGCTGGCCAGTTCGAGTATGGTAGTGTAGAGGGGGAACAAGAAATCGCGATAACCATTACGCCACACAATCAAAGCGTGCATGACTAGTTAGCACATCGATGGCATAATCGACTCTCGAACACCGGACTCAACGCCGTTTGTTTCTTGTTTCTTACATACCATGTAACACATTCATACAGCTAGATCACGTGCGCACATAGGAAGTCTGGGCCTGGGTAACCATTTTATAAGAGGTAATGTAGGTATGTACGTGTCATTGATATGGATGGATACTAGTATAGGTTTACACGAGATGAAGTAGGCACTAAGTAAGCAATGCAGACTCGAAACGGCAAGCCGAGATATCACATAGGTTTTGCTGATAGAGCATCTCTCCTAGTCTATTTCAGTAGTAGGCACTTCAACCGGTGGTGGAAGGAGATGGAAATTCTCGTCACAGCTCTCAGAGGGATGTAAGGCGCCATCTCGAGATTTTTTTTTAAACAAGACCTGCCCATACCTGGTCCCAGTTGAACGCCAAGAGGATTCATGCATATAAAAAGAACAAGGAGATATATCAGCGAGGCATTATAAGAAAGTTTACTATGTGCCGGGATAGAATCCGTTGCGTCGGGTCATTGAAAAAAAAAAAAAAAAAAAAAAAAAAAGGATATCTACCCACACGCACGGGTTGGAGGCTTGTGGCGGACGGGTGCCTGACAGGTTTACGGGAGTCTAATATATGGCTTGCCAAGGGGGCTGTGATCGTTGATCGGGATTTTTACTACTCTGTATGCACTTTATTTCAGCTTTGATGGATGGTGGCCCAAAAAGGTAATACTACCCTGGGCGATCTCTATCCGATGTTTATACCTACCTACTTAATGTAGGTATATCCGGAGAAATTATATGTAGGCTGGTTCAGCCCAGAAAAGCAGTTGGGCACAAGACTGAGTTAACAAGGCTATCCCTAGAACTCTAGCGATCGTAATAACAAGGTACCTATGTTCCATAGAAGAAGCTGTCTTTTGCAGCCTCCATGTCTTCCCTTGTACTACCTACTCTTTTCGGTAGGCAACACAATCACCATTAAATAGTGTACAAGCCTTCCATTACTACATCAAGGGTCTTTTGAACCAAGGCGGATATCCCATACCTTATTGCTAGGCTTGTTATATAAGCTGAACAAGTATGTTATGATGAAGTTGTGATGTATGTAAAAAAGGAATTCTCGCAAGCATTACTTTGCTAGAGGACATCGTTGCTTTACATGAGAGCCCTGCTGGGCACCTCTTGCTTTTTTATAGCAACATTCGTCAGTGATGAATAGTTAACTACCTACTTTACAACAATATCCGATTATTACTTGGGGACCCTGGCAAATACCACATTTGTCTGTGCAGTGCATGTGCATGTACGTACTACATGGGTTGTGAAATCCAGGTGAATCTGGGGTGCTGTAAGTAGGTAGGTAAGATGGCATGTAACCCTCTCCAAAATACCTACCCCGCCATTTGACACTACCTTCGAAGTACGTCAATGAGTGGCATCACAATCGATAAGCAAAATCCCCGCGCTCGTCCGTTATCGCATCACCGGCAACTTCAACTTCACGGGAAGATTGAATGCGCTTTATGCTGGTGATGGCAAGCCATCCATCGTGTTCAATTTGACGGAGCGCAAGAGGTCCGTCTAGTTATTCCGATATACTCTTCGCGCTCGTACATCCATCCATCCCATCATATATACTGCTGAACTGAAGCTGTTACACAAGCCATCGTCTAAGCTCATTCTCTCTTCTTATGTACTCCTCTGGTCTGCGCTGTGCACTTACAAGATGGCATCTCACGAAGAGCCTGCAGCGTTGCTGAAGCTCGTGCCATTGACTCCTTTCAAGCCCGATTTATACGAGCGCGCCTGGCAATCCATACCACACCCAACACTCCCCCTCCTCGCCACCGCCCATCAAAAGTCCGTCACTGTTTTCTCGTTATCCACTCTCTCCGCCCACAGCAGTCTCACAAACGGCCACGAGCGCTCCGTCCGCTCCACTACATGGAAGCCGAATCTGCCACCTCATAAGCTCTGTCTCATTACAGGCAGCTTCGACTCATCGGCGGGGCTATGGCGGTGGGAAGATGAGGGCCAGGGTGGTAGCAACAGTGGTCTCGAGGTGGAGATGACGGGCGGCGCCAAAGAAGATGCTGAAGAGAAAGACTGGGAGTTGATCGTTGTCCTCGAGGGCCACGAGTCCGAGATCAAATCCGTCGCCTTCTCGCCCTCGGGGCAATACGTAGCCACCTGTAGCCGGGACAAGGCCGTCTGGATATGGGAGGATATCGGGGCATCCGACGACGACGACGAATGGGAGACGATCGCCGTATTGACCGAACACGACGGTGACGTCAAGTGCGTCGCCTGGTGTCCCGACACGAACCGGAGCGGCCGCGGCCGGTACAGCAGTGACGTTCTCGCGAGCGCCAGCTACGACGACACGGTGCGGATATGGCGCGAGGACGGGGACGGAGAATGGGTCTGCGTTGCCGTGCTCGAGGGACACAAGGGCACCGTCTGGGGCGTGCAGTGGGAATCCAATACCACAACAGACCATTTCCCGAGGCTATTAACCTGGAGCGCGGACCGCACGATTCGCGTCTGGACTCTCAAAGAAGAAGTAGAGGACGAGGACGAAGCGCCGCGCCATGCCTTCGGTGGACTAAGGGGGATCCCGAATACCATGCGGCGATCCCTGAAGGAAGAATGGAGATGCACTGCCGTACTCCCCACGGCGCACACGAGAGATATCTACTCAGCGACATGGAGCGCCGAGACAGGGCGCGTCGCGAGCACCGGCAGCGACGGCATTATCGCCGTATACGAAGAAGAAGGTAAAAGCACGGCAACTACGGAGGACGAGGCAGCTGCCGAATTAGACGGTGACGTGCCGATGAAAAATGGAGACACGACGACGAGACCCGCGGCGTCGAAGCAGTGGAAGCTGCTCTCGACAACGCCTAATGCGCACGGCCCTTACGAAGTCAACCATATCACCTGGTGCAAGCGATACGATGCTGCCTGCGAGCCGGAGAAACGGGGCGTCGAGGAAATGCTTGTTACGACTGGGGACGATGGAATCGTGCGGCCCTGGCAAATCTCATGATAAACCCTTAGTTTAGGCTTGTATCCGGGAAACATCCGTTCGCGTGCTCTCATTCCATGTTGCCCTGGGTGATTTCATTCTTGTGTATGAGATAGGGATAGGTCGGCATTGCATTGCCATAATAGAGAGTGAGGAGCACATAGCATGGGTCGGAAGTTGAGGCATCGCGTCACGAGTCAAATTATTTCCAGACAAAAATGGGCAAACAAAAATTTGAAGAAATACGAGTGCGTGTTGCGTATATGTAATCATTCAGATTAATGCCAATAGGGGCTGGCTGGCTGTGTGTATGCTGAGTTATTGCCATATTCGTCTATTCTAAGGTGACAAGAGGCAAAAAGGAGTTGTTGATACCCGTTAGTCGGTGACCTGTTCCAGTCATAGACGTTTCCCTCGATGAATTTTCTATCGCGTTTCGTTGTTTTTCTCTCTCGTTGACTCCTTTTCCAACTTATGACCAATGTATTTTTCTATCTCTCCTCCTCCTCCTCCTCCTCCTTTACGGCCTTCACTCAACAAACCATAAGAATTCCAATTTTCCAATACTCTCATTATCATCTTCATCGGATCGTACCAATTACGTCCTTCCTCGTATGACTCATGTCCTCGCTTAACATGAGCCTCAAAGCCCCAGCTCGCCACAGCACCACGCCCGAACAACCTTCCTGACCGCGCAGCGGCCGCACCAATCGGCGCCCCGCCGCACGCCCGGGCCGTGCCCGACGAGCGTCGACCGCAGACTCCACGGCTCGCGGCACGGATGGCGGCAGCGCTTGCAGATCTCGCCGCGCGCCTCGGGCGGCGCGAGGTAATCGAGGCCCGGACTCGCCGTGCTCGACCGCATGTTCGACCGCGCGATATATCTAGCGCTGCTGCTCGGCGGTGGCGGAGGCGCGCATTCGGCTCTAGTCCGCTGTGCAGAGAACGTCGAGCGCGGTTGCGATGGAAGCTGTGCCTGCCGCACAAAGGGGTGGTTCGACAAGTTCCCGTGTCCGCTCCTCGGGGCCTTGAAGGCTGGCGCCGCGTACGCGATCCCGCTCGATGTACTCGCCACATACGCGTCGCCCTCGCTCTGCGGTCTTCGCACCTTGCGGATAGTAGGGGGCGTGAGAGGACGTTGGGGAGGTGGGTAGATTGGCTTCCGCGGGTACGCGTGTATGTCGACGACGTGGATGGTGGGCCGCGAGTACGATAGCCAGCGCAGCTGTGGGCTTCCGGACTCGTTTTGCTGGCTCTCCTCGGTTTTGAAGGGTTGCTGTCGATGGAGCTCGAGGGAGTGCGTCGGATTTTCGCCTTTGCTTTTTGCTCCGGGCGCGTCGTGTAGTAGGGACGAGAGATCAGATGTCGAGAGGCTCCCTTTTGTCCGGAGCGTGGCTATGCTGCGCCGCTCGAGAATGGGCGTGAGCTCCGTCCCGTAACCGTATAGGAAGGGCGTCTCCAGACGTGAGAGTGGCGACTCGGAGTTTATGTCGATCTCCACAGGTTGGAGTGGTGTCACGGGTCGTCCTGGCGTCTGGTACGGAGATTTGGCGACGTCGCTTGTAGATAGCCATGCGGCGTCGCAGACCGAGTCGTGGGTGCTCGGGCGGTCTTCAGAGGAGTCTTTGTGATCCCATATTGAGTTATTGGTGTGGGTGTTCACGTTGGAGCGGTTAGATAGCGGCGACCTGGCCAATGGAGGAGAGGTCACAGTATCGCTGTCTGCCGTGGTATGTTGAGCTGGTTGTGAATGATCCATATCCACTGTTTCAAGATCAATATGGTTGGGTTAATCTGCTGTATGTATAAGTCCAAGCTGTAGGGGTTGTTGATCCAAAGGGGACGATGGTAAACAGGCCTTTAAGACGATGAAATTAGGTAGTTGATATTGAACTTTGCATAGGTTGCTCGTACTGGTATGTGACGACAGCATGATTGCAAGCTGTTGTTTCCATGGATGGTGTGCTTTCCCTACTCCTTTCAACATGCATGTGTCAAAGATCGTGGCGGAAAGTAGTAATAATGGCAACGCAACTTCTCAATAACCAGTGTATACATAACAAACATAAGGCAAGGATGAACTGTGTCTCTTGGTAATCCTCTTGTCTAAGCTCGACTTTTATGCCTAGTGAAGCTGAATAGTCTACTTTTAAAAGAGTTAGGACAGTCAGACTCCCGTACATTTCAAATGCCCAAGAAAGAGACCCCAAGTGGACTGATGTCGAGAACTTTAGTGATATCCTAGAAAGTCTATGTCTAACAAATAGTGATTAGCAAATAGTCAATGTCATCATTGTAAAGCCACGCGTCGGGAGTTACAATGCAAATAGATTCGATGATTAATACCCTGAAGCTGAGAGAACTGTTATTGATCCATTATCCTCTTAATGGCTACCAAGGCTCTGGAATCCTATGAGACCGCTCATGGGAGCTAAATTGTCAATCAGAGTATCAGAACTGCTACTGATACTTCTACCCTCAGCTTATTCTGCCTATGCTAGATGCGACTTCACAAAAAAACCCTGGTACAAATTCGTGCATCAGATCTACATAGTCGTGCTGTTTGAGTGAGAGCGAGTGGCTATTCTAGCTGCGATGAAGTTGTCACGGAACTAACGAAGCCTAATCTCCGAAATACAGCACAGACAAAGGAATACTATATATAAACCCAAACGGTAGAATAAGGGGCTAGAGCTAGAACTTCCCTCCTTGTGCAATAACAAATCATCTACATAGGACTATAGTAGGGCTGTACTGTGACAGAAGTCACCGGAATAAATATTGAATATATGGCCTAAAGATTGAGTGATAATCAAGTCTACGAAGTTATGAAGCTTTGTAAGCATCCAGGGATACTCTGGGCTTTACACAAGAGATGGGGTCGTGTCCTATATTTCGGGCATAATGCGAGAACAGTCAAATAGGACTTTGTATATTGTTTCGAATCGAGACGAGCCCATTTGACTGGCCGGGAGCTTAAATACATATTGAAACACCAGCAGTGACACATTCTGTTGCTTCCATATATGCCCGAAACGCGAACCACAACCAATCACATTCCGCGTGACATATACAGCACCCTGTGCAGCAAAACCATTTTATCGAGAACCTTCACACACATTTTGGTTAACTTTTACAACTTGTTGTCGGGGCTAGAGTGGTCGATATTCCACTCGCGCGAAATAGTGATATTGTTGCCTTGAGGATGAACGCCTTTTGGGTGGTCACTCGCGACATGAATATTGTGCAAGGCCATGTCATCTTTAATCTGCTCAAATTGATGGCTGTCCCGAGTTTTCGAGGCTTTGGAACTACGACGAGTACTGTGGAATGTCAACTGGCCCAAGCTGAAGGGCCCGTTCTTGAATATGACCCCGAGCGCAGGTCTCATGGTTGGCAGACAAGCGTTCACCACGCCGAGCGTAGGCTCGAGGATCGAGTACACGGTGATACCTGTACCCGTATATGTGGGATCGGTTAAATCCCAGGCCGGAATCGACACGATTCTGAGAAGTGAGAGGATGCAGATCACCGCTCCTAGACCAAACATAGCACCGATTGCAAACCGCTTTGCGAGTGGTATCTGTAGGTGGTACAGCTTGGGTAGAGGTAGGGCCACGATGAATGCATCTATCACTAAATTGACGATTCCAGAGACAAGATAGGCAAGGGTTTGATTGTGGCATTTGCCATTGGGAATTGTCTTGTCCCAGTTGAATTGCACAGGCTCGCATAAGAGAAACGCTTCCAGGAAGACAGTGGTGAAGAATGCAACCGATACGGCCATCGCGGCATAACACACACGGTGGAATGTCTTGCCGGGGAAAATCTTTGTATAGAGCGAGAGGATTGAGAATTTAACGGCTGTATTCGCAGCGGCCCACAAGACCTCCCCTGCTATAGCAAACTGTAGTTGAACAATAAGCAAGTGTATGATATGCTACTACGTTTTATTCTCACGTACCTTAATATAGAGGTCGAGTACGCGGGGGTTCGTAAATAAAAATTCGGCGGCATGTTTCCCGGTAGCTCCGATAAACACATCTAATGTCAAGTCAATCAGGTTTCTAACTTAAATTGGCGAGCTTGGGATTTCTTGCGTGCGAGACAAAGTGAGACTGTAGCACTGGCTAAGACCGTCGCCACGATTGCGATGTAGTCATTGAAGGCGAGCGACACTCTTTGGAGCCGGCGTGACCAAAGACGCAACCCAAGTGCTGCTAGGGCAAGGGGCGTGCCGATGAAAGCAGCTGCGACGATTTGCGTGCTCTCATTGTTGAGACCCATCTTTCTAAAGTAATCAGGATGATGAGATGTTACTACTCCACGATGGCTCAAATGAAGGAGTTGGCATCAGAAACAACATGTAGCAACGAACGGGGAAGGGTAGCGACATAGTAAGAGAAGAGAGAGAAAGCCTTCTTTATTATCCGTCAGGAGCCCGTTCCTTTTTGTTTGCGCAAAGGCTCAGAAATACCTTTGCGGGCTAGATCATGACTACATAGCAAGTCTCTTTGTCAAAATATTGCTGGTTGCCTACAGCCTTGTAGGTCCATGACAACGACGATCGTTGGAGTGTTTCACAGGTGGCGCATGTGCATACACGAGATTAGCTCATACCGTATTACCTGAGATTATAGAAACAACGCGCCGTTGAGAAAATCGAGGTGGCGCTTCCTAATAAGGAATTATTTCCACTATTCTCTTTCTCAACGGCGCGTTGTTTCTATAATCTCAGGTAATACGGTAGAAACATGGCATGTTGTACCGCTGAGTCCTACGTGGACTTGCTACCACCGTGGCTTTTGCTTTGAGGGTTTGAAGAATGCTGCCTAAAGCATATTGTGATACTACCTCGTACCAACGTGTGTGCGAGAAGAGGGAAGTCGGATGTTTGTCGCCATGTCTTACATAGCTGACCTTTTGGGAAACATCACGTTTACCCCTCCTAATCCCCTCCTGTTGCTTTCATTTCCCAAGGGGAGCTTCCTTGCCTCCTCACGGAAACGGAAACGGAAACTTCTAATCACTTCCTGCACATCTGTATCATTCATCAAATGACCAATATGAGCACTGATTCTTTTGATTTTATCATTGTTGGCGGCGGGACCGCCGGGATTGCTCTCGCTGCCCGGCTCTCGGAAATAGCGGACCAGAAAGTCCTCGTCCTTGAAGCCGGGGCCGACCACAGTGATGACCCTCGCGTGAAAATTCCGGCTTTCTACTCAGCTCTATTCGGAACGGATGCTGACTGGGGATTTAAGACAACAGTCCAGGTAAGAAAGAAACGAGAGACTCTATCTTGAAAGTAATCAAACTCAACCTTGAACAGGAACAACTGGGCGGGCGGTCCATCAGCATCAACCAGGGCAAGGCCCTCGGTGGTTCTAGCGTCATAAACGCCCATATATTCGCCCCTCAAGCATATACCGTCATCGACGATTATGCTAGATTGGGAAACGTGGGATGGGACTGGGATACCATCGCCCCTTACTACACAAAGGCCTTCACTGCACCTGATACGCCAGAGGAGCATCGGCAGCTACTCGGTGTAGATAGCTATAGTCTTGCTGATCTTGGCACAGGTGGCCCTGTGAAACTCTCATACCCTGGCGATCATTGGCATCCCATCCGCAAGATCTGGGCTGAAACATTCGGTAGAAAGGGATGGCCTATGACAGGTAACCCTTGGGTGAACGCTTCGGTCGGCGGATTCAGCAATCTAGCAAGCATTGACCCCGTGACGCGAGAGCGATGCCACGCTGCCAAAGCGTACTATGAGCCTAATCGACAGAGGGAAAACCTGCACGTTGTTCTCAATGCTCATGTCACCAAGATCATATTCTCAGATGGCGAGCTTCAGCCTAAGGCTACCGGGGTACAATATAACCACGAAGGACAGATCAAGATAGCAAACGCGGGGAAGGAAATCATCATCTCGGCCGGCGCCTTGCAGTCTCCAAAGCTGCTCGAGCTATCCGGTATCGGCAACGCGGAAATCCTCAGACGACATGGCATTGAGGTGGTGAAGGACCTCCCTGGCGTTGGAGAGAATCTTCAGGATCATATCGTCTGCGACATCACCTATACGGCAGAGGACAAGATAGGAGACACGCTCGATGCCCTCGCTAGGCAGGAACAAGACGCAATGGAAGAAGCCATGGGTGATTACATACAGAAGCATGAAGGGATACTTACTTCGGGCGGCATCTTGACATACGCGTATCTTCCGCTTATGGATTTCCAGAAGGATTCCGGTGAACAACCTCTGGACATAACCAGGGACATATTATCGGGCTCATCTTCGACGCCGGAAGAAGCCAGGGCAGCGAAGTATTCCGAGATAGCCTGGAGGACATTGGTACAGCGAGATCGACCCTCCGGCGCCTACCTCACGGCCCTTGGACAGAACCCCGTCGCGCTCGATCCCGCCACCGGGCAGCCCATACCGCCTCAGCCAGGCAAGCACTTGATCATAGCCACGATTCTCGCCATGCCGCTGTCCCGCGGCACCGTACACATCGTGTCCAACGACCCGGCCGAAAAGCCAGAGGTCGACCCGAAGTACCTCTCTCACCACCTCGACGTAGAAGTCTTCGCGCGAAACGTCATGTTCATCGAGTCTCTCGCGAGATCCGAACCTCTAAGCGATGTGCTCAAACAGCCTCTCGAGCCATCAACTCCACTCGCTCACATGACCGACCTAGACGCCGCGAAACGCTACGTGCAGTCCCGCGCAATCTCAATGTGGCACCCAGCCGGCACCTGCTCGATGCTCCCGGAGGAAATCCGAGGAGTCGTAGACGATCATCTGCGAGTCCACGGCGTCAGCAACCTCCGAGTGGTCGACGCGAGTACTGTCCCGCTGCTTCCACCGGGGAATCTGCAGTCGACTATCTACGCGCTGGCCGAGAGGGCCGCAGATCTGATCAAGGAGGCCCACGGGTTGCCCTAGAAAGGCCCCGAAATCCCAGGACTCGATCTGTGGCCGCGGTTTTACGCGGATAGAGTGAACCAGGCCTTTTTGGACGAGCTAGATCGCTATCTAGCTAGCATAGGCATATATTAAATGTGGCCATTCACACCTCTCGAGGCAATCTAGCAACACGATAATAAATTAAAAATTCAAGAAACAGGCTTAGGCTAATGCCCATCAATCTGTTTCTTTCATTTTGTATGCGTATCTTCTTCAAGTAGACACGTAAGCTCGCCGTCAATTGACAGAGAACTTCGCTTAGATCAGTATTCAAGCATAAATCAACAAACTCAGCACACACTTCACAACCTCTAATAATATATTCATGTAAACATCATGAGCAACCGCCCAGTGAAGTGATATTCGTACAAGGTATCTGTGGTAGGTATCCTACAACTAACTCAATGCCTCTGTCTGTCTATTTTATGGAAAAGGGGGGGGCGGGGGGGTGGGTGTTAAGCTTCAACACCCGAATTTGGATTTTGCGGTTCACGACCTTCTTTCAGCGCTTTTGAATAAAATAAAATGATTGAAGTATCGCATTCACCACTAGCCATCATGAGAACCTCAAGTAGAATCATCAGGCACAAAAGTTTGTAACGGTGTTTAGTCATACCAATAGACAAGATGTTGAGACATAGCCAAGAAGCCAATCAGCTAGGTCAGCCCGTGGAGGGAGACTGGCTTCGGCTCGTTCATATATCATTCGACTGTTCTGGCGCAGTGCTTCATTAAAATGCAGCGCCGCCAATACCTTCACCAGCAAACTTCTTGAGGCTCTGTTCGGCCAATTCTGTACGCAAGGCCATCACCTTGGTCTCACGTTCGCCCTTTTCATATGCAGCAAGGCTTTTGCGTAGTTTCTCCTCCTTGATATACTTCTCCTCTCGGAGTTTCTCCTCTTCCTCTTTCAGACGGTCCATGTGGGATTGTAGTTCTGGTAGCACTCCAGTGGTAAGTGGAATATAGGAGGGATCCATCTTTCCACCAGGAATAATAGGCGGCATAGATGCGATGAGTTGCTGGGCTAGACTAGGTCGGTTGCTTTCTGCAGCAGGACCTTTGGGCGGATTGAATGGCTTGGCTTGCGAGATGGGGGTAGATGGAACCGACTGTGCAGACACGCTTGCACGAGGGCCTGTAGGTATGCTATTAGAACTAGTAGTAGTCGAGGCCGACGCAGGCCCTTGAGCTGTCGGTAAGTTGCGGCTTTGAATTGTGTTACCCCAGGCAGATCCTCCTCGACCACCCCGGCTATACCCACCTCCACGCCCAGAAACAAACCCTCGAGGGCCCGATGGCGGAGCGCTGGCACCATTTTCTTGTCGACCCGCGACTGGGGACGCTGTTGAAGCGGCTGGTCTGGCAGGCGGTACTATCGACGCGGCAGACTGGCCGCCATACCCACGTCCATCTCTTGGGCCTGTGGGCGGTGCTCGTAAAGCAGCCGGGCCACGGGGCGGAGACCGTGATGGACGAGATGGAGCAGACTGTGAATCTAGCGGTGTTTTCTGTGGCGTCTTTTCTCTAACGCCAGGGCCACCATGTGAGGATCTAGAGATGGGACGGTTAGGGAGAGGGCTTTCCGGACGGGAGCGGTCATCTCGTCTAGGAGGGTCAGGGCGCGGGGATGATCTCTGCGATGTGTCACGAGAGGGAAGGGCAGAGCTGATGGCGGATTCGCGAGGGGGCGAGGGCCGTCTAGCATACGAAGGACCAAAGCGATCGTCGCCTCGTCGGTCAGGGGTGCGTTCACGTTCACGACCACGGTACGTGTTTGCTCTAGGGGCGGGAGGAGGAGGGGAACGACGAGGGGGAGTACGTTCTCGCGGACGGTCTCTATCAAGAGGAGACCTGGATCGTCGCCTAAGTGGCAGCCTTGTCAGGGGAATGGCATTAGGGTTGTCATCTTGGGGCAAAGGGTTTAACCTTGGATCGAAGCCTCTTCTCGGAGATCGCGGCCGATCTCGGTCATCCCGTCTCGGCGAGAACCTGCGTGGCGGTGGGCTTCTCCTGAGCGGACTACGCCTCGGAGGCGAGCGTCGTGGAGGTGATCTGCGAAGAGTGCGGCTTCTATCATCTCTCCGCCAGCTATCACCACCTGTGTCGCGCACGTCTCGCATATCTCGCATATCGCGTACATCTCTCAAGTCTCTCATATCTCTGCGGTCTCGCGAGGGTTCTCGTCGATAGCGGTCAGTGCTACGCGAGCGCCGCCTAGGTGCTCGATCCGGTACATATCTGTCGCTGTCTGGTGGAGGGCTACGAGGTCGTTCTCGAGGCGGGGGGCTTCTAGCCCGGCGTGGAGACCTGTTGGAATTGTAGGGTCGGTACGATTCGCCCGCGCCATATCTAGTGACTTCCCCATCATCATACCTAGTCAACATGGTTAGCAGTCATCTAATGTGTAGCTTTTTAGCAGATACAGAGGCAGAGGCAGAGGAGGATATTGCGAGCGATTGGGGCCCGAACCCAAAACTCCGGATCCAACACATAGCATATCCGTCGTTTCTGACCAGAACTTAAGGCCCAGATATAGGCAGAAGGAGAATTTTTGTTTCGACAAATTGCTGCCTGCATGGCTACAAACAACGCAAAGTTTCACAAGCATCACGGAGTATATGCGCAGTGGAAAGATGGGGATCGATGCAGAACCGGATTTAGGGAAAGAATCAGCTTGCTTACCTGCGACTTCTCGGGTCGCGATCCATTGGACCAGCGAGAAGGTGCGCGCTCGCACACACTAAATTAATCTGGCTGTTGTAGGAAGGCTGCTTTTCATGAGTTTCGCGCTCTACAAGCAGGAGCCCCTGTGCAGAAAGTATACTGAGATATCGATATTTTGTCACGGCGGAAAGCTGGCGGATGAATCTGGAAACGTTATCTCGACAATGAGCTATCCGTCAGCCGAAAGAGAGTGGTGCCTTGGACACAGTATTCAGGGATGAGGAGGAAATGAGGCGCCAGGATGATAGGACAGGATGATTTGCTGATTGCGGCCAGTCGCGGTGTTGGATGGATTAGGTAATTGGCAGTTGGAGGTATCGTGATAACGATAATTCGCTGCCAGGTGCCTAGTCGCGCTGACCCACTGCGACTAGGTATATATGGCGTTAGTGGCGTATACTGTCGAAGTATCTGTGGCGGTGCAGCTGGTGAGGTACCTACCTTAAGTAGTGGATCTAGAGCTCATCATCGAGATGACATATTCATATCCGCAAACCTCGTAGTGTGAAATTTATGATTATTTCAAAGCTGGCTGCATTTGCTAGGTACGAGTGGAATCATACCAAGAGTTACTATCCCCATCTCATCCTGTGCTACGCACTATGTGAACACATCAGAATCACGTTTACTTATACAGACCTAGGTTAGAGATGAGCGAGCGAGTGAAATGAATTCACAAAGTTTCCAGTCTCAATCTCATCTTGACCCTTCGTCCTAAGCCAAACGTTCTCACAGCCTTTCAAAACCGAGAACTTACTTACTAGTTGTAATTGCCTGCTCACAAGTAATGAACAACAACTCACGCAAGCCCAAGAATCAATAGAAGCACAGTACCTTCTCAAAATAAGCATCGCTACCATGAACTCTATAAACGCAGAGGTAGGTAGATAGATACTGGGTAAACGCCATCGATTTACGCCGACACGAAGCACAAAGCTTCCCGTCCATAGAGGACATGAAAATAGAAGAAAAAAAAAATACAACGAGCTCTGTGTAAATGCTTATCTCCCTCTCTCCCTCCCTCTCTCTTGGCGAAAATCATACAAACAATAGACCTACAGTGAAAAATCCATGAAGCCTATCTGGAGTTAGAGATACAAGTATACAGCTAACCTCCCACTCCTCATTCTTACGTCGTCTCACCTCTGTCATACTACAGATATATGACTTTGCCCTCTTGGTCACCTGTCTTCCTCGGTAGTATGTCCGCTCTTATCTCGAGCCACCCGCGCCATGATCCACTCTTGGACCTCCGAGGCATGTGCCTCCATCATGAGATTGATGCCGGTGTGGGTGCTCTTCTTGACCCCTCCGAAGCGTCTCTTAAGCACCTTCTTCGCCAAATCTTCGTCGCTCCAACAGGCATGGTCGGCCGCCACGAAGACAAGGGAATTATGCTTGTACCAGGTCGAGAGGTCGGGGTCTGTTTCAGACTTGACTGGACGGAGATTACCCGTCACGAAGTTGACAACCCCCGCTATCCGGTCCTTGCACTCTGTTTCATAGTCTTAGTCGACACACTAGATGCAGAACTCAGCGGGAATATGTTCGGCAGATTACGTACCACGGTTGGTGAGGAGAATCTTGACGCCTAAGTAGGCATCGCCGACACCAAGGAGAAATAACTCTTCCACATCGTATAACTGCAGATAGTTGTCCCATATGTAGCTTACGAGCTCCTCGATCTCCTTTTGAAGGCTCCTTTCTGGGGTCCGCGGCATGTGAGCGTCTAAATCCTCAGGATGTGTGATATAGTGAGGTATATTTGCGTCTATAATGCCGAAATCATTTTTGCATCCCCAGTCTATATATGACATAACTCCATTTAGCTATACTCAAGCAGTCAGCAAAGTGTAATGTGGCGTCCAAACAGACTCAGGGGTACTTGCGACGAAGCCGTTGTGTGGGTCGACCGTATTGCTAATAACATCCGGCATCGCTACCAACTCGGGCCTGATCCCTCATTAGTAAAGATAAACTAGGTATTGATAAGGGAGCTCACGGGTCATGAATGATAAACAGGATTTTTTTCTTGGATTGTATATCTGGTGTGACAAGAACCTGGTTGTCAAAAGATGTGAATAGAGTCTCACGCTGGATGAAGAGAGGGACCATGCTGTGCTTTTCAGACATGATTTGTCGTTGGTAGCCGCGAATGACATCATGGAGGCGAGAAGAACCGTTGCCCATCTGCTGTACATCGATGATCCCGGGTCTCATACACTCCCAATAAGGGGCTTGAACAGCCTGAACTTTGGCCAGCACTCTCGCAGCCTCCTTGGCGATAGGCGGCATCTCCATCTGCGGCGGTGCTTCTCCCATGAGGGTTCGTGCCACTGCTAGAGCAGAGTGTGAAATTGCTTGAAGGTTATAGCCACCTTCTAAACACACTGCCACTTTGCCACCAGCCAGCGACATCAACATGTGTGTCATATGAGCATAACAGGGCGGTGTGACGAAACAGCCTCCTAGCTCGTCACCGTCGGCGGCATCGAAACCTGCCGAGATAATCACGAGGTCTGGGTTAAACTCCTGAGCTATTGGCATGACAATTTTCTGAAATGCTGCCAGATACTCTCCATCTCCCATGCCTTGTGATGGCCATGCAATATTGACATTTTTCCCCTTACCCAAGCCATCACCAACCTTATCCAATCCACCGTCGGGGAGCATTGGGTTATCTGGTTTGCCGGGGTAGAAATCTCCATTAGCGTAAACGTGAAGAGAAATATAGAGGACGTTGGGATCCTCGTAAAATATGTTTTGGACGCCGTTTCCATGGTGTACATCCCAATCTAGAATCATGACTTTGCGACAGGTCTCAGGAAATTCGTCCTGGCAGACTCTGGCTCCGATAGGGACATTGTTGAAAAGACAGAATCCCATAGCGGAGTCGTATTCGGCGTGGTGCCCCGGTGGTCGGATAACGGCAAAGGCATTCTTGACACGACCAGCAGCCACGTTTTTGCAGGTCTCGATACAGCCACCCGCGGAGAGGAGAGCTGCTTCATAAGACATTCCCCCCACGTAGAGCGAGGCCCTACCTTGATCCAACGTCATACTAAGAGCCCGGAGATCTTTCGTCGACATACGAGAGAGGCTCTCAACCCAGTCATAGTGCCCAGGTGTGTGAACGGTGCAGATCTCCTGTTTGGTAGCGTCTCTAGCAGGTATCCTCCACATATACTTGTTCGGATCTTTCTTTAGAATATCAAGCAGCTCTGAGTCGGGTCCTTTGTAGACAAGCCCAGCCTTTTTGAAGATCTTCATAATCTCTTCTATTCTCCTTGGGTCCTCTGGGTGATGGGGGGTTGGGCCAAAATCTGCGTTTGCATGGAGCTTCATTCTGTCATCGTAGCAACATCCTGTCGGCAGCCGATTTCTTTTCATTGATTTAAGAAACTCTTCTGTTTCTCCAGTCGATTCAGCATCCTCCATTGCTGCATCTATGTCATCCATGGTAGCGACTACGCCCTCCCGGTCGTGTCCCGAGACAGATAGATGATGCGCATCGCCAACTCCATTAGGCGGTGCATCCACCATGGAATGATCTTCGGTTTCCATGGTATCAGTACTTGTGATAGCCATTGCTATACCTCTCAGAAACTGTGAATGCTGACAGGAAGAGCAGCTCCAATGAGCCGCCTAACAGAGATAGCAATAGAAATTGGTGATACTAGGAAACTGTGCCGACAACAGCACACGGTATCTAAGGATCCAAGAATATGAACTGTGTCATCAAACCTGGCCTCGATACTCAGGCGTACAAAGGTTGAGCAGGTAGACCGGACGTCGGTGCCCGAAGACCGTAGAATTAGCTGGTCGAGATTAGCTCATACATACAATATCTCATGAAACATACTCCTAGTATTATCATAGGAATAGAAGATAAGATGGAGACAGCAGAGAAACATGTAGACCGTCGGAATAGTCTCACAGCTGAATCACGGGCGTCGCGATATACGTGTATGATCTTGTCAAGTAGGCCATTAACCTTGATCGATGCATCCATCAAGAGCGAACAGAATCGATTACAAGGAAGGGGCGTCTCACAGAAAAGAAAGTATGAGGACTAATTGAGAGCAGAAACATTGAGACTAAGGCAGCATCAAGAGAAATGCATAGTCATGATGGTCGATATGACAAAGGGTCGTTGTGCCGTATGACAGAATAAATATATGAAATCGCAAACTTACACCTGAGATATACGGGGGAAAGGGCCGCTTGAGCCACGGAAGGTCAGGTCAACCTACAGGCCCCGGGCGCAAGGCGGACGCCAGGTCGACGGTGCCGTGGCTGACTGGGGGTTTTGGTCTGATCACGAGCGGTCAATACAGATGCGCATCTGGTGCTGCGGCAGCGTGCGCGGTGCGACAAAAACGATGGCTAGCGATATATGTATATATGTGTGGTACGCGGCGTTGTGTGTGGTGTGTGGTGTATTTTGGAATGGGGGCGTGTAGGAAAAGGCTGACTGTCTACCTCGTACCTACAGGTCGACCTCGCAGGGAGCTGCGGCGTGTGTGGTTGGCCAGGTCTAGGCGGTATTAGGGAGCTCGACCCTGATTAATGCCGCTAATATTGGCCACGGTCAGGGGGCCTCTGGGCCCTCCAGCGGCAGTCAGAGGCAAGTGCAGTGTAACATCAGTGCCCTACCAACGTCTGACAGAATAAAAAGCGAGATAAAACAAGAAGAATAGAGTACGAGATGAGGATCAGATCACTCCAGTTCATATTCGAGACTCGTTGAAAGCTATCGGTGGTGCAACGATGAGATTTAGAGGGAGCAAGTAGGTACGCTCTAGTGTATGTATGCAGTAGATAAGTACCCCTTCGTTTCGCGCCACAACTCGGTCTCTACCTACATACTCATGGAGCACCCTGTCAGAACCCATTGTGCATTATTGATTACCTAGCTGTCTTCTTCTGCCATTCAATCATATATTTCTACTCAGAATTACCTTTCATATATTTTTGAAAAGTGTTAGATAACGGCTAGAACCAAGGGGTGCTGTATGAGCCCCCAGCAACTCACTCCAGCTCCAGCACGCTACACAAGATTCTGAAGAAGACAGCTTAGAAGAAAAAGTCATTCATTCCTATTTATAGTTTTGCAAAACAAGACTTTAACTATCGTACACAGCCCAATCTGCCTCAGTAGTGATCAAGGTGTACCTCATGCTTCGAAACAGTTCGAAATGGTTCGAAATGCGTGGCCAAAGTTACGAATCACACAGCATTGTAGCCGGACAAAACAACAGCAACGAAAAAACAAGGTGACCACACACAGCGAACATATGTGATGACCTAAGCCAAACAAAGTCACAATCAGTGACCAAGTCCGTTGATCTGCTCATATACGTAAGCAGAAAAGAGCAAAAGCCGAATCCTGCAATAGACTCCGCAGAGTGAACACGCTGTAAGCCGAGTACAGTAGATACCACACTCGCGATCAATTGCCAAGGAGCCTTTTACGAGCCTGCCATGGATATTTCTAATACCCGCCGCCACGATCGGCACCATCATCACCACGGGGGACGCGACTGGTGAGCTCGAGCGGCTGCTCGGCCAGCTGCTCCTTGGTAATGGGCGGGAATCCCGTAGGCCACGCATCATGATTCCACAGTTCGCATTCGTCCGCGCTCGCTCTGTCGTCAGCAATGATTCCCATCGGCGGGAATGTCTTGGGACGGTCCGGATTCAGAATCGATCTCTCCTCAAGTACGGTCGCAATGGACATGGACAGGGTCTCGCGATCGAAAAGGAAATCGCTAGTGCTGTTCGTGATCGCCATGATCAGGTATTCTTTGCTGTGTCTATAGCAGTGCTCGAGGAAATACTTGAGCAGATCCGGCTCAAGCTTGAGATACGTGTTGACAACTGCCGGGTGGCGGTCCCCATTTTTGCCCCAGGGAATCAGTTCAACAGTGGTGCCCGTCTATTAGATATCGTTAGTTTCGACCTTTGCTATTAGTAGTATCATGATGACTTACTCCACGGTGGACTTTCCCTGGAGACGAGCATAGGTCCTTACTAATCGTTTCATACATGGTGCCTAGCAGATCGTCCAATTCGTGTATCTCTTGGGTTGTGAGGATTCGCAGGTGGTGGAGCCGAGCATCAGTATCGAATTTCTTCGGCATGTGAGAGTTGCGCCAGTAGTTACCATGAAAATAGTGGCTATAGAGCCACCAACGGACAATAGCCTTGCGGAGACGGTTCTCCTCTTCCCATTTCAGGCATCGTCGATCTTCCGGGTGCTCTCTCCAGCGCAAGCGAGGGTAGATCTCAACCCACCAATCTACAACTTTGACCAGGTGCGCTACGCTGACAAGATCATACCCATACAACTTAACCTTCTCAGGACAGACAATCTTTCCGTTCTTCCAATCTACGGGGCTTCGCATGAGGAAGATCTTATCTTCCGGTGCGTTGTCGGGATTGAAACAGAAACTGACGGTGAGGGGGTGCAGCATTCTACCAGGGAGGAAGTCATTTTGGTTGGCCATGTAAAGTTGCAAGATAAGCTCAATCTCTGGGCGATTGCGGAGGATCTTCAGTAGGATATGAGCTCTCTTATCTGTGAAAATTTGATGGAAGCGTTGGTTTACTAGGCCGAAGTTGGCGAGATCACTTGGGCCCATGGCCTCCATGATTTCGAGGACAACCTCAACGGGAATAGTCTCAAAAGGAGACGTCGAGATTGGCGCTATCGGCGCATCGCTCTGGACGTGTCTAGATGAATGATGTGCCATGTTCGAGGTTGTCGTAATTGAATCAACAATTAAAGTCCGACGAGTTGACAATGGTACCTTCGAAAATCTTTGAGATTTTACCGCCGGTGTATATGCGAGACGCTCTGGATTTGTGAAGGCGTCGATATATTCGTTCGGTTGAGGATTAGAGCACATCAGGGGTGCTGAGATGTACACGGAGGGAGAGGCCCTTCCCAGAGAAATAAGAGGTATATTTTGAGGAATCCAATGAGAAGGCGGGTGCTCTGGGGAGATCGCGAAGTCCAGAGATCAGAATCTCAAAAGCTACCTTGTGAAAACTCTAAGCTTGCCCTGAGAACAATCTATCCTTCTATTGACGGAGGATGTAGCTGAATCAAGAAGTGTTTACCCCAGATTTGTTATGTAAACAAACGATGGCAGTAAGCTGTCCAGCCTAGTAGATGAAGTTCGCCGTGGTTACAAATCGTTTTTGGGTGTAAACGCCGACAGGTATGAAAGTACCTGTACATGTACCCCAAACTGGATGGTAAGCAGATTGCTTTCCTACAAGCAAAGCCTTTTCTGCCTCCAAGATTCGTGGGTATCACCCAGGGGATGAATCGAGATGCACGCGTTGATTGTACAGTCTATCTTTCCAGAGAGTATATTTTTAGTTGGACGACAATGTTGAATCACTTTGACCAATGAATATGTTCTAGTAGGTGATCAGCAACTGGCTCTTGTGATCAAGGTGCTTTAAGAGGTGACTCACAAATGCAATCTTGTGATAGAATGCTGTGCATGCGTTTTTTGAATGCAACTGCCTCTTTGTAATATGAATGTTCTGTAGTGGTATCCTCACTCCTGATCTTGAGATCAGGTCTCTCAGAACTATGGAAGCTCTGATGATATATTCCTCTGCTGTCCAGCAAATGCTTGACAGCCTTCTCTGCGCACCTTTTTGTTTGTCCTCCTCCAATTGTTCTCCCTGCAGTCGACGATGCAGCACCTTGGGCCAATCAGGAAGTAGGCCAACTAGCTCAGACGGCGCTATCAATTGCCCAGTGCCCCTTTGATTGGACCTAGGGCAGAGAATCACTCAACTCAACTGACAACAACCCCTCCGTTGGGGCTATAATCTGAAGGCAAAGTGCACGAGAGCATCGTGTACTGTGTAGAAGACAATGCCGAAATGGCAGGTCGGTGATGTGGTGGTGTCATGATTGGCTTGAAGATTAGAAGGTAAGAAGAAGAGTGACGCGCTTGAAGTCGCGCCTGCTTAAATGGGAGAGCAAGGGAGAGCTACCTATGATGACAAGGATCCCCAGAGCTATAGATGGCCCGTGCAGGCTTCCCCTGATTCGCTGAGACCATACAGCCTCAACAGCTGCTGACCTGAGGCCGGACAGAGCCGGAGTTCCGGAGAAACCTTGCTCCTAGTGTCATCTTCTTTTCCAATTAAGGCATCAATACGATAGGCGATAGGCTGGGAACGATTTAGGTGGTGACTAGTAGATAGACCAAGAATTGTAACTATTATATTGTGGTCACCGCCGTAGAAAAGGGATATCACTATATGTAGAGAAGGACAATGATATGCCTCGAAAACTAGACCTGGCACATGATGTATCTATAGATAATGCACAGCGAATCAATTTTGATGGTTTACAGTCATTCGGAGGCTCGTAGGCAACCTATAACTAGACTGAACAAGTCTCAAATAATCCTGCTATTGCCGTAAGCTACAAAGGCCTACCATAACACGTTCCTCAATCAAGGGTTGGTATAGATAGATATACATTTTTTCAGATGCAAATCTCCAAGTGAGAAAATTAGCTTAGGCAAGCATGATGCATTGCCATGTAGAACGCCAAAACACCGGCCCGAACAAAAGTAATCGCTCAAGCGAAGAGTTCCCTTGAGTCTAGCTGATCCACCGGTTTTTGATCTCCGTCCGTCCGCAAGCCCAGGTCTCCCATCTTTGACTGCCGGTTTATATTCTGTTCTGCTCGGGAATTGCTCTTGGCTGCTCCCTTCCGTCTTAGATCGGCTCGGACTTGGTTCGGGGAGACGAAGTGCTTGTTCTCATAGAGCAGCGCACCACCAAACGAACCCTCTTGGATTATGATTGGTTGGAGCACGCATCGAGGTCCTATTTCGAGGAGAGAGATATCGAGCTCCTTGCCCTTATCCGCGTGTTTGGACTTCTTTTTCTTGCTCTCCTCTGAAGCCTCTTCTCCTTCGGCGCCGTCTTTTTTCGTAGGCTCAGTTTCTTGCACTTGATATACTCTCAAGAAAATGCGCCCATCAGCTACTGAGAAAGACATTACATGGTCGATAAAGGGCTTAGATCGTTTTTGTAGGGGTGGAACGCCCATAATTTGGAGGAAGAGTTGCTTAATGACCTGAAGATGCGGCTCCGTGTCGAAAGTTTTATCAAACGATAAAATCGGCCTGCTTCCCTTCAAGCAGTTTCCTGAAAAGGCCAACTCTTCCATTGTGTGAATATTGCTGACGAGGAACTAAACATCATGTTAGACACATTGAGGTAGACATACAATAGATTGACCAACTGACCTTGCATGTCGGTCCATTAGGCGCTTTAGACAACTATTAGAACCGGGTTAGCATCTCACCACTTGTGGCTTTCGACAGACAAAGCCGCAGTCAGGAAAATTGAACGAACCCAAAGATATAGATCTAAATTAGGCGCGAATTAGTAAATGCCAGTAACACGGGCGTTGACAAGAACATGAGAGTCAATGACTGACCTTGACCTTTCCTAGCTTCGAAAAAGCAGATGCTGTCCGAAATGTCAGCATTTGCTGATGTACCGAGATAAAGAGACCTTCAAGAAGGTATAATCTCATATACTTATACTCACTTATTACAGTTATACAACTCCTAAATCAATGAATTAGCACCCCATCTCATTTCAACTCATCTTGCCTCGACAAGACCAGGGTCAAACATACAGCCAACTCATTCAGTTCTCCAAGCTTCTTCTTCTGGTCATACTTGGCATCCACGCGACCATGTGGCATCTAACAGATGCCAGTTAGTACACGTGTATACCTCTACCGAACAGGCAGATACGCTTAAACGTTCAGACAACAGGAACATACCATGCTCGCCAGATCCTTAAGAAGATGTCGATGCCTGTATCACATCATCAGTACGCAGTATCCTCATAACAACACGCAGAAAGCTGAGACGTATGCATCTTGACAACATACCGATAAGTCACACCTCGCGACGTCAACATGAGCACTCTCTGCTTATTCCTTGGCTTGACGCCGCCACCATCATTAGCAGACGCATCGTCTTTGGCCGCCGATTTCGAAAGGGCCTTGTAAACCGCCGCCATATTGCTCTATTTCTCCTAGCCTCTCAAGAAGTCAAACCGAAAAAAGAGTGAAAAAATAAAATATATTGGCTCAGCAAATTGAGTTGCTTGCGTTCCTAGCATTGAACCATTGGCATAGGATAGGATAGGATAGGATAGGTAGCTCTCTCCCGAACTTTTTTTTGGAACTTGACCAACCGATAAGAGAACCGATAAGAGTGGGGTGCTGCTTGGTGCAGAGGCTATTGTGGGGACAGGGGTGGCACTACTGTAAGTACATCCGCTCCGTACTGTACACTGCAGATGTTAGGTACATCTTGAGTAGGCGAGAGTGGTACGAAGTAGGTACCTCAAAGTAAACCTCTGTTGCGGCGCGAAGTGGCTGGAGATCTGTGCTCCCTGCGCTCTCTACCTACATAGGTATCCCTGCTGCCTACACCTTATGTACATATAAGTATAGCGTACCTACCTACTGTTCTGTTATGTAGGTCAAGCCCACACAAACGAAGCTACAGCACACTTCATGCATTCAAGTTGGTACCGGTATCTTGCAAATCGATCGATCTAAGTTCAACAAATATCTTGAAAGCAGAACCAATCTCGACTTGATTTCTGCAGCAGTGCAGCTATATCCAGGCTCTCTAGTCTCCAGATAACGCACGATTTATGAATACCTACGTAATCTAGCAGATTAGCGATCGGATTTCGATGCAGAGATACATTTAATCCTCCTTTTCGGACATTTCAGGTCCTTGGTATTTTCCATTCTGCCTACATAGGTACAGACGAACGGCTGCTGAGATGAGGGGCCGATCAAACACTGGCAAATGTACAAGCACTAACAAGGCAACGGTGTCTTTTTTTTTTCTTTTTTTTTTTATTAACACACGACGTTTCTCGAGAAACTTGAGACTTGAGAGAGAAATGGCGGTGGGCATTCATAGAGATTAAAAATCCACTAGCGACCTTTCTCGACATGTCACATCTCAGACTACCTGCAGCACAATGGCTACCATAAAAGAGAAAAACAAGAGAATTGCAACCCGGTAGAGATAGACAGAAAAGGACCATGAATTGCTAACCCTTTCCCCATCTTAATGCATCGTCAACCCATCCCGTAGCGGTATTCCCAACAAATTACAACGTGACGCCGTGTACGTAACATTCATGCCAACCGTATAAACCGTCACATGCTATCCCACAGGGCCGCATTACCACGTCTAACAACACTTTCCTCCCTGCTTAGCCGAGTCGTCCGCCGACTTGCTCAGCGAAATGCTGGTTCCTGCTGCCATCGGGGGCGACGCACCGTCGCCACTGTCGAGCGCTTTGCTAGAAACAATTCGGTAGATCTCTGTGTGTTTTCACGTTAGATATACGGTTGCCTTGTCCAGGTCTGGAAAAGGGAGGGTGGGGCGTAGACCAGAGTCCGGAGGCATACCTGTCAAGATGTTCTGGAAAGCAAGTTCGACGTTGCTGGCATCTAGAGCTGAGGTTTCTATAAAAGATAGGTGGTTCTCGCCTAGCGGTTCGAATTGTTAGCACTCGATTAGCATTCACGATGTGCACGGGACAGCGGTGGATCGACGTACTGGCAAAGGCCTTGGCCTCGTCAGTGGGGACAGCGCGCAGGTGCCGCAGATCGCTCTTGTTGCCAACTAGCATGATAACGATGTTGGCGTCGGCGTGGGCTCGTAGCTCCTTAAGCCATCTTGTGACATTCTCGTAGGTCTGGTGCTTGCTGATGTCATATACGAGCAGGGCGCCGACAGCGCCACGATAGTATGCGGAGGTGATGGCGCGGTAGCGCTCCTGGCCGGCAGTATCCCAGATCTGTGCCTTGATTGTCTTGGAATCGACTTGAATAGAACGGGTAGCGAACTCGACACCGATCGTCGACTTGGAGTCCAGGTTGAACTCGTTTCGCGTGAATCGACTCAACAGATTGGACTTTCCGACGCCGGAGTCTCCAATCAGCACCACTACATCGGGGCAAAAAGTCAGTTCTCGGAAAATGGATCGCATGTGAATTGGCGAGCGGGCGCACCTTTGAAGAGGAACTGCAGAGCAAGTGCTTGTTAGCGGCGACGTTCCTGGGGATGGTGGAGAATGCGGTCACGGTAGCGAGACAGCAGGCGGTCGACTTGACTTACATCATACTCGTCGTTGGCCATGTTGGGCAATCAATCAGGGTCGCTGGGTTATTGAGGCGAAAGCAGCGGTGCCGACGGTCGTGAATGCAGGCGATGTACCGAGATGCGTCAGGCGTTGGTTGCTCAGGGGAAGATTGACGACGACGGCGGTGATCAAGGGCAGTCAGGCAGGTGACAGTCAACGGCAGTCTAAATGCTAGGTCACTCAGGCCCAAAGACAGTCAGTCAGTCAACTAGGCAGTCACACAAAGGCGATATAGCACACGGTGTGAGGCCGGGAGTACGGAGGGCTGGTCCCTGGATAACGATTCTTTTGTGCTTCAATTGTGCTTCGACACAGTGAGTAAAGAGGTTGAAATGGATTCGTTGTCAAGAGGATGCTATCTAGATTAGCAAGGTAGGTAGATGGGTATCTTTTAGCAATGTAGAGTGTCAGGAGCCAACGATGTTTGGAATGGTGGAGTGAAGTGGAGTGTGTGGATGGTAAAGTACCCACCTACTAAACGTGCTGGGGGGGTGTAGAGGGGTGTTATAGAAGGTTTAGTGCTAAGCCTAAGCCTTCTATCAGTGAAGCATGGCCATCTGTTCGGGTCTGTTCGGGGTTCTGCCTGGGCGGTCTGCTATCTCCTGGCCTGTACTTTACTGGCAGGCACGGTGAACCAACAAGGGAGGGACCTGAACAACGGGGATAGTTGGGGAGAACCGTAGTACATGCAATTATTGACCGGTAATTGAATGTACCTAGTGGTACCTACAGTATGTACATCTGCATTGCGTTCGTCCCGTGGCTGGGCCGTTCGTACATCCTCGACTGCGCCTCGTTTGAGCTCCCTTAAAAACTAGGTACCTAGGTAGGTACTGAGCCAACTCGTCAACAACCCTTTAGCGCGTGAAAGAGCCACGCCGCCTGCGGCTTTTGGCTTCCCTTAGAGGCAGGGTGTTTTACTCGAAGGTATTGCGCCCGTCTCTCAAGAAAATCCATTAGCTCAGGAGTTCCCCTGTACTCTTGCGTTTTATCTTCGACCTCTCGTTGTTGGTACTCGTCTTCCCACAAAGCTCTCAGCTTCTTATTGTAGTAAGTCTTCCATTCATGTTGTCCACGCGGGAGGGACTCCCAAGCCCTCTCTAGAGCCCTCCACTTCTTGCAAGGATGAAATATGACAGCGGCAGCATACGCAACAGGTGTCATCTTCTCGTAATAAGTCCTTAAGTGTGTATAGCCAAGTCTCATATAAACCTTGAGGTGAGGATACGGCGGGTCTTCGTATCCATACCCTCGAATACATCCATCTCTTCCATCTCGATTTCGCCGTTTTCTTTAATAGCCTCAAGTACAACGGTCCCTTCTGCTGCGTGTTCAAGATGATCAAGGAGGTGTTCATAAAGTGGAAAGACCCCCCAAAAGCCTCCTGATGTAGCCCGGCCCCTCGTAATCCCGTCACCTTGCAGCTGTTGTGTCGCAAGGCTTAAAGGCTGCAAGACCTTTTGGAGGGCTATCACTACTAGCTACTCCGCCTGCGAGAGTTGTTCCTCTATAATTGTAGGCTTGGCGATACCTTTATCTTCATACCTCTCTTGAAGGATACGGTGGAAGCGCTTCAAGGCAGCTCTTTGTTTGATGGTGCTAGCAGCTATCCTCTCGTTAGATGACCATTGGTTCTCGTTATTATAGATCCACGAGCAGATATTCTTCTTTGGTTGAACCTGCCTCTATATGGTTATTAGTAATGAAACGGGCTAAGGGCGGAATTGCTAACCTGGGCTTCTTCCTAAGCCTCGTATAATTGGCTACTTTAACGAAATGCTACTCAGTGGTTGTGGAGTTTGCTAAAGGGGCTATGCTTGCGGTATTCCTTTAAAGATTCCTTACTAATATTAGTTGGTACCGGAAATTGAGGTACATAATCTTCTAGTTCCTTTATATTATTCTCGAAGCCTTCGTCGTCGTCTTCGTCGTCTGCTAATTTTTCGAGGGCTTGGTTAAGGGCTTGAGCCTCTGCACCATCGTCGAATTCCTCGCTTTCCAGGTTGTGAAGAAGGTGGTCAAAGTTATCTAACCTGCTACCGTACATCATACGTCGAACACAACGGTGAATAACGTGAGGACTACAGCGCATCCGTGTCTCTTGGGCATTAAGGTCGAATTCGAAGGCGAGGGCTGCCACAGCCGTATCATTATTAGAAGCATTATCTAAAGTGTCGGTAGGTCTACAACGTACGTTGTTGTTGGATCCGAAGCAATTGCGTGTTTATTCATCTACAGGTGCTATATTTTGATATGTTCTCTTCTTTTTCTTTCTCGCTAGTCCAGCAGCCACCTATACATTGATACTCTTATAGTCGAGCAGGTAACTATGTACTTGACCCACGAAACTAGTGTTTCGTGGGTCTTACATTCGATGGTTTGCCTTGATACATACCCAGATAAGTATGCCGTCATAGCGCTGATCTGCTTGTCCTCATCCAACTAATTAGTCCTCATTGCTTCGATTCATAGTTTGTTCCAGCATAAAGTGAAATAACCGACTCTAACGATGCTGGTTAGCCTTGATGCACGATAGTTATATCATTAGGCAATGAGTGACCTCTTATTTAGATCAAACGCGCGTATAATTGACGAGATCTCTTGAGCAAATTGCAATAAACTTCTATGGCAGCGAAGAGCCTTGTCATCCAAGGCTTGCACGACCCTTCTGGGTCTATATATACACATTGCCGGTCGGGGTTGTAACCTCCGGAAGTCCATCCAAATGTTTCACTTTTGGAGGCCTGAATGGCCTTACGTTGCACGCCTTTGACCTTCGGCCGAAGGTTGGATTAGGTGCTACCCAAAAGTTCCCTTTGTGTGAGGGTTGAGATCAGAGATCCCAACCACGTGTGACACCTGGCGCTACATCGTACTTATAAATAACTGACGTTGCCAAAGCCTAAAAAATTACATCGAGTCCTCGTTGCTCTACTCTACGTTACTCTATTTTCTCCATATCTCTTACTGTTATTCTTCCTTCCCTCCGGCCAACATCTTCATTTACTCTTCGCCGGTCCGTGGTGCCTTTTCTTTTCTGACAGCACCTCGGCACGGCTAAGACCTTTTCCCCCGCATACTCTGCAAGATCTACATGGAAAGGCAGATGTGTGTTTGCGTATACGCCGTTATCATCTTCGATTTCGATAATATTAATCTGGAGGACTTCGGGATCATGGTCATCGGGTGGGACAAGGTGGTCAAAGGTAACACCGTAATAATCGATTTCCCTGTTATGTAACAAACTTTTTTTTAACTCGACTGAGAAAGAAAGAAGGAAAGATGGAGAAGGCGGCTTACTGCACAGGCTTTGGGTGCATTATCCAACCAAGATACTCGTCCCGTACCACAAGATCACCTTGAATATCCGGTGATGCATTTCGTCGATATAGTAACGAATACGTTAACTCGGCAAGTTTCGGCCCCGCAGGCTGCGGAAACTCAGGCTGAATATCTTTGACGTGCCACTGGATATTAGGGAAGAGCCTTTCAACAGCGACAAGCGGGCCCTCGATCTGGATACGGAGGGGTCTATCAGGAGGTGGGGGGTGATATTGGTTAATCGGGTTGCGAATACAAGGCGGGATATAAAGCTTCAATGCCATGATATCTAATAAGGTGGGTAAAATAGCTTAGTAGACAAGTGAATGTCGTTTCGAGATTAAAGGGAAAGCCTGTTAGACTTAACTATCTACAGCTAAGTAGCAGCTTTCCATGCTGGAAGTTACTAGTCTAAATACAGATTCTAACATGGTAGGTATTCCCATAACCCTGTCCTTGTGACTCGTGAGTCATGTGTCAAGGCCCCAAGGCGCTTAGGCACAGATCGGTGGGTTATAGAGTGAGGGAGGTTCGATTCCTTCCAGTGCTATAAATGGAATCATTGCCGCGCGGCATCAAAGCCTGGTTTCTAAGATATTTGTCCAATAGAATACTAGCATTGGAATCTAAAGGAGTAGAGACGAGACAGTGTTTGAAGATGGCCCGGGCCATACCCTCCCGACCTCCAAACGGCCGCAGTTAGGCTGGCAGGTGGCCACACCTGATAGACCAACGCGCTTAGGCAGCGCTGGCATGGCCTAAGTACAGATTCAGCCTGCGCCCCTCTTACATAGGTTCGATTCCTAACAGCACAACACAAGTTTTCGCCGGTTGACTCATCTAGGGGGAGGCACAGCCACTAGCGCCATGCCTCTGAAGTATGTTGGTTGTACGGCGCTCAAAGCAATTTCCAACTTGAAGTAAGAGTGTGGCACGGCAAGGCGCCCATATGAGTCTTTTGGCTGCGACTGTGACAAGGGCTATATTCAGGGCTCAAACTACATATCAGTACAATCTAGGACTTCCATCGCCCTGTTGGTTTCCTTATTGTTATGTCTCTTTGCATATGAGGGGTAGTCTCATGATCTTCCCTTCTTCTAATGATCGTATTCTTCGCAGGTCAGTATGTCCTTGACTGGCTAAGAAGCTAACCAGCCACCGGCCTCAACAGCGGCCAGTTTCCTGGGAACAACTAACACAGAACAAAAAGGCATAGCTGAGCAGCTAATATACGTGTGACCCAGCTGTAACTAGTGAAAATATAGTCACCTGCCGACCTTAACTGTGACCAGGATTTCGAGAAGAACCAACATTTATATAAGATAAGAACTATTAGGCTGTTGGTTGGTGACTAGATGAGGTTGTTTAGGTGCCTAACTAACACAGGCAGATTCAAGGGAATAACCAACACTGATGTAAAATGAGCCATCTATTCAACAACGAGGAATCAACATCTTGTGGGTATAAAGGCATTGACATTTGCTCGTGTCATAATCGTAGAAATGTAAACCATCAGACCTTCATCACTTACACATTTCAAGCTCTCAAGTTCGATTCAGTTTCACCGGTTATCAAAATCCGCTTCCAACCAGTTTTATCTCATTTCATAAGAATCTTCATTTACAGTGAGAAACACCATTCTTCAGAATCTACAGTCTGTTCTAGAATGATTTGCTAGTGGCTCGCTAACTAACTCAACAGATGTGCGTCATATACACCGATTACTATAGCTGCGGTCACATTGTGCCTCGGAGAAGAACGCACCCATGCCCACAAGCCGGACAATGCCTGCCCGTTTACCGCGATGGCGTGACACACACCTGGAACTGTGGTGCTACTGCATGCAACACCCCCCCATCATCCGATTAAAAACGGTATTATTAGCTGGCCTGCATACCCTTAGTCCTACTTGCAACAGAGCAATCGCTAGACTATAATCATTTGAAGGCTCGAGGGTTTTTATGCAATAGATGCTGAAGGATTTTGTGTGGAACATTTTGTATATTATTTCAGGGGTAACCTTGTGTGGTTAGTAAAATAAGGAGAATTGTTTCCTGGGTTTACAATTTAACTTTTCATATATTAGTAGTTAAGTGTGTGACGACCACACACTAAGACCAGACCAGACCAGACCTAGACCTGCAAATATAAACCACCAGGCCAAGTTGTGCATACAACTTGGAGTCCTGTACGCTTTTGCGGAGACATAGCGCAGTAGGAGTGGTCTATCATTGCGTGCGTGACAGAGTATCACTCTTTTATTCAAGCTTCACTTTAAGAAGCATTACACACTCCTTTAAATTTTACTTTCAGTCGCTCTTTTTCATTACTTTATACTCAGTCTTTTAATACATACATACATACACGCTGCTTGACCACCCGCCTCGTCTCACTACTAACGACAACGCTACCAGTGGGAATAATAGGCTGTACTATTTCTGTGATGCAGTCCTGTGTGTCGGCGTCATACGATCAGACGGTCCGGATCTGGTCGACCGGTACGGGTAACTGCCTCCAATCAATAGATCTCAGCATCTTTTCCTCTACGTTATCCTTCCATCCAAACGGCCGGTCTCTCCTTACTCAAGCTGGTGCTATTTTCCTTAGTCATCTCCAGCCACCACTCATCCCAACCCTTGATAATAGCGAATCTTCTACTTCATCATCTTCCGTTCGAGCCTCACCCGATCATGATCATGATTAAGAGCACCGCCTAGGATATGGGATCAGCAGAGATCAGTCCTGGATCACTTTGAACGGCAAGGGTCTACTCTGGTTACCAGCAGATTGTCGACCAGGAAGGTCGGCAGTCTTTGGGACTACTGTAGTGATTGGCACTGGTTCAGGAAGGATGCTCGTTATGCGGTTCTCTTCCGCAGAAGGGCCAGCAGGACTTTAGTCGATGCTTCATTTCCAGCACGATCCTCGAATAAAGTCTTATACTTTTACTACCTTTGTAAATAGAGGGTTATAGGGGAGCTAGTGATTTTATAGTAATCAGGTGCCTTTGTTTAATAGTTTTTAATATGTTTATAAATATTATAGTTAGCTGTTAAAATATATATATAATATGTCACGGCGGGTGTACTGAGGAGCTGGGACAAAGCCGGCAGCAGCAGCTAATACTCTATTAACGAGAATATCAAGACTAAAGAGAAAAAGAAAGAGAGGACTAGATACAGCGAGACAGTATTCCCTTATATACATATTGCCCTATGCGGATCCTTGTCTTCAGGGGCAGCTTAATCATGTGAGAGGTCGCTACTGGCCGTAACAGGCAATAGGCTACTTAGAAACAGGAGAAACCGAGAGCGACAACTATGATGGTACCCAAGGGCCAGAACTGCGTGTTCTTCCCTACACCAGCTGAGACAGAAGGCAACGATGGGATTAATGGTGTGCCCGTCTCAAAAAAGACCATACTTCTCTGTTCTCGGCTAGTTGAGATTATATGGAAAAAGAAAATGTATTACTAGAAGATTTCCTATGTACGTATCTTTAGTCTACGTACCACGCCTTAGCCCGAAAGGCTCCATGCGTGTAATGAGAAAAAAAAAAAAAAAAAGAAAGAAAAAAAAGGGGTGACGGGTGACGGAATTGGCGGCGTGCCTATCTTGAAAGATCTGAAAGAGATGGTACTGTTGTGCGTCAAGCGTGTCGGCGCTGTTCCGTACAAGTCTATCTTAGGAGAGGGCGTTACAAACGGGATAGTCTTGGATATCGGGGCACACAGCCCTGAGGTGACGGTAACGAGACTAATGTGAAAGATAGCTCGCGTGACAGTTTGGTTTGATAGTTCAGTCGCTGCAAGAGCCGGGCTGCTCGCATGGCTGCCAGCTCCCCCGGCATCAGACGTGGCGCATGAGGGATCCAGACTGGTGGTCGTCTGGGTGATGGTAGTTGGGGATGTTGAGAGCCAATAATCGGTGTGTGAGGTATCTGGACTGATGGTGCTCTGGGTAGTAATAGTTGACAATGTTGGAGGCCAATGGCCAAGTTGGGAATCGTAAGTATGCAGGCTAGTAGGACTAGTACTAGTCCCAATCTCGATGTCAAGACCTAGGGTCCCTACTGCCGAGAGATCTAAACACGGGACTCCCACGATGAAGAGCGCGAAGATAAAGAGAGACATATCTGGTGTCCGTTTCCTGACCCCTCTAAAAATAGCACGTTGGTCGGTTGCAGCGATTCCATGGTTTTTTGAAAACATAGCAAATCGCAAGGCTGCTTAACAAGACGTGAAATTTAATACTTCGTCAATTTTATAATAATGATTAATTGCATTCATGTCCTATCTTTAGCAATAATCTCTTCGCTTTCCTTAAGAGGACGAGGGCGCCACTTTGCAGCCGGGCTAGGCCGCAGATGGCAACTATAAGAAGATGCAAATCTTATCTAACTTTTGCTAGATATTGGTTAGGAAAGAAGAGATACTCGGGGAGATGATGAAGTAGATATGCTGTTCTAGAAACTCGTAGAGGAAAGCTGGATAGAAATCCGGAATTAATCCTCGTACTGGTACAAGTAGATCCAGGCCTATACAGACGAGTTCAAATCAAATTACGCACTGGTGCGATCGAAACTGCACCAATAGGACTGCGGAGAAGGGAGCTTTGGACCGGTACGGCTTGGACCAGCGCGGGTTTGGTCGACGGACTGGTATGATATGTAGACACGGGGTTCAGACGACGGACCAGTACGGGTTGAGACGACAGACCAGTACGACATTGGAGCTGGTACAGCTGTAGGTGCTGTACCAGTACGGCCTCGGACTGATACGGGCCGGGAACAGCACGGATTAGGACCACGTACTGGTACGAACCCAGCCCAGTACGGTGCTGAAATGGCGGCCAAAGAGATAGATGCCCGTACAATGTACAGAAACAGAGGCACAGATAGCCAAGATATAGATCACGTGCTCTGATCTACCATCTTCAAACCAATGTCCTCTAAGATGAAATCACCCTACGGACGGATATAGTGTGTATATGCAGCATCTTAGCTTACAAATTTGCATATTTACAAAGAGACCTACTACTAATGAGTGTGGTCATACACTAGGAGCCAAGATATCCGCGCGTAAGGGATTCCTATCGTCGCGCAAGGAGGCTACTACTATGCATACAATGCCCCTTTAATCCCGATTCCGAATTATCAATACACAGAAATTTATACAGAATATTGGTGTCAATATCTATTTGGACCCCGGCTTACAGCTAGACACTTCAGGCGGTTTCTTCAATTTGTCAACGATCTTTGCCCCTGCACTCACGCAGACATAACCGTACCCTCGACCTTCCTCCACCTGATCTGCCCACCACTCCTGAGTTGGCCGATAACGGTATTCTATTTGATTGCATTTTGGGTCCTTGAGCCGAGCCCTTAAGCAAGTCTCATACAGGTGGTTCAGGCATCTGGTGGGGCGAGTACTCCCCCTGTGAGGTGGGTGCCAAATCGCCCTTTGGGGCTTGTGCTTATCGTCTTCAGTTTGCGGAATTCGCTCAGGGGTGAGCTCGGAAGCCTTCTTCACGGCCCTCAAGGTCGCAGGGGTCAAGCCCGCAGTCCATAATACCGGATCGAGGCGCGTCCACCTATTGTATAGGAACTTATCCATAGGTGGCAGCTCCGTCCTCCCATTCTTAAACATCTCCTGAATTCTGCTACATGTGGTATCCAGCGGGTTATCATTTGGCTCGATTTTGAGATCTGTAACACTACTATACCACACATCTGACAGGGAACATTCGGGATAATGCTCAGCAACATTGTCGTGGACGTAATTAACCAGTTGACACTGCATATCGAGTAATGGATGCTCATTTTTCTCTCTGTTTGCTGCCTCCAAGTCCCAGATGAAAAGTTCAATCTTAGAGAACTGTTGAAATTTTAAAATATGAGGATTTTTGGGACGATAAATGCCAATCCATGCGTGTCGTTCGTATGTTTCTTGGGGCATGAACTCGTCCCAAGTGTCATTGATAGTGTAGAAAAGGCCATAATATGTATTTCGCCTAGTCGAGAAAGTCGGTGCTGCCTTAAACCAGCTACTGAAGGTATCGAAACGGCTCTTGTAAGTATCGTCATCTCCAAACTGTTGGGCCATGGCCCTATCCTTCCAAGCTACAGGCTTTGGGTGGAGCACAGCCCAGTTACCACCTGTGTTCCGACAGTGATCATCTATCCAACGTTGGAGTTCGTGAGCATCATCGGATTTGAACGTGGGGCTGGGAAATCGAAACGACGTCACGCAAGTAGACTTTTTAGCTACAAGTTCATCTGTACGCCAGGAAATATTATTCTCGGTGCCATGCTTGCCGGCTTGGTTTTCAAGTTCCAAAGAACGGCGCTCGGAAAGGATATTGGCTACATCAGGATTGCTGACTTCTGTATCGAAATATCTTGGAACTTCGATGTAACGATATGCTCCCCTCATTTTCCTAGGGTCAGAGCCGAGCACGTAGAATCTCCGGAATCGATCGCATTTCAGGCGAGTCCAGCAACAGAAGGCGTTGACTAAGCTCTGTTCATCGCTTGAGTCGATGAACTCACTAAGACAATGAATTTTGCGCACCTCTATGATAGTGTTCGTTAATGGTTACTCTGAAAGGTAGAGCGTGTGATCAAAGTGGTGGGGGAATGAATAGGGGCGCTTACCTTCGCTGGTATATTCATCTCCGAAGAGGTTCATTATCTGTTGCAACAATTGCCACGCACGGATATGATCATCAATATCCTGTTTACTTCGGCAGACGCGTTCAAGGAAGCTCGATAAATCGTGATTACCTTGATTCAATTCTCGCAAGGTGTTGTATTCCTCTTTCTTTTCTTCCGCAATGTTCCTAAGAAACTGAGGGAAGTTGTGGCAAGCTACAATCATGTGACTCGGATTCACACCATAAGTAATAAACCATTTCAAAAAGTCGCAGAGCTTGGCTGGTTCCGAGATCACGAAGCTTGGGGTAATGAGAAATACGCGACCATATGGGAACAACCGTGTGAGTCGAAGTGTCCCAGGTATGCTAACCGCATCTAAATCGGATGGATACTGAGGCCGCTTCTTCTCTCCGGTATCCAGATGCCAGAATGTATACTTCCCCTCCTCAAGCATTTGCCAAACACCTCGAATCTTCTCGAGCTCCCATAAAGTGAAATTGGCATGGGAGATCACAGTGCCTCCACCACCGGCCTGTACGGCTTCATGGAACGTGCGCCAACCATGTGGCTGGTCGAACGTGAAGATTGGTCGATCCGGTTGATGGGTCCCTTTGTACCGTCAGTATCTGTAGACATCGTGCTTCTTATAAGTACTTACTAAGCCAAGTTATGATTGTAGACTGAAGCTGTCGAGCGTTCTTTGGAACCAATATCATATAGGATTGCTTATCTATTAGTTTACTATCCTGCGGAGACAACTTGGTAAAGTCAAGCCCCGTCAGCATCCCTAGAAGTTCTAGATCATTTTCTCCGTTTCGCTTCACCGCTGTGGGCCCTTCATGAGGCTCAAAGGGATAGGCTTGGATTGGGACTGCGGATAGAAAAATGATATATCGCAGTACGGCATCATCCTCAGGCTCTTTAATATCAATATTAAGCCAGGTCCAGTCATCACAACAATTCCCCGGATAAATCAGGATTGAATACTCAGGTGCAACCAGATGCAATCCGTATACCCCTCGTCGCAGATGTTCTGCAACATTCTTCAAGGCTCTGGCGTGCTTCGGTGAACTAGCTGTAATTGAACCAACCGCAAGCTTTTCTTTAATTAACTGGCCTTTCTGTTGAGAAAAATGAAAGGAAGTACAGGTGGATGCGAGATGGAGAGTTTCCTCGGCCTTGAAGGCGGACAACCAGGTGGTAGTATGTCGAGGAATCCCGCTAAAGCTAACCATAATCGCTTCTCCCGTTCCAAACTTGACAAGTTTCTGAATTGTCTGTGCTGATCCCCGTTCTTGATACTTTGCTAAAGATACTGTCCTAGGGGGTCCTTGTTCCACTGTACTTATGTCCGGGCTTATAATGTCATCTTGCGTAGGAGTAGAGCCAAATAGTTCATTCATAGTATTGGCCAGTTCTTCACTGTCGTCTCCCGTAAAGTGGACAGATTTAGATTTTTTACGCTTCGGTGGAGGTGCTTCATCTGCATCTTGCTGCCTTACAGAATCCGTCAACCCCTGATGTTTTGATACAGCTTCCAAAGGCGTGATAGGCGAATTGGATGTCTCTTGGTCTTTCGGCGACACCGTGATTGGTGACACGAGACTAGGCTTCCTGGGTTTTGTCTTATCATTATCAATGATGAAGGCGCTGGGGATAGAAGATAAGGCACCGGCTGCATCACCCTTCTCAATTCCTCGCTTCTTTGCAAGGTTTCTCATACGCATGTTTTGGAAAGCTTTAGGTGCTTTAGAAGGATCGGCCATGGAGTCGGCCAAGTTTTTTCGCTTTTTACGCTGCTTGCCCCCTGCAAATACGTTTGTGGCTGCTGATAAGGCTGGTAATTGTCGAGTCCTAGTGGCAGTGAGACGCTTGACTGCATTTGGCGGCTTGGGCAACGGAGTTGATGATATTGTGGTAGTAATTGTCATGGGCTTTTTGGCAGTGGTGGGCTTAAAGACACTAGTTCTCCCTGCTGTACCCTGATAACCAGTCATAGTACCGGTACTCCCTTTTCGAACGGGGCCGGGAGTGGTTGTTTTTGACCCAGAAGTCTTCGAAGCTGTCGTCGACAGCGGCTGTGAAGATTTTTGACTGCGGCCATTTTCGGGCAGTTTCGAGGTACTTGTGTCACTGGGGGTAGTAGTATGAGAGGGGATTCCCACAAATGTTTTCTGTTTGGGGACTCGTGGAGCGGTAGGTACAGGTTTGTTTTCTGTTAGTGGAACCGGTGTGCTCACTGTGGCTTTTGGTCTCGAAGAGAGGACAATGGCGGGATCGACCTCGTCCAATTCTTGTGCTTCATCATCAGAAGACAGCGAATCTTGATCAGTGGGCGAAGTGGGCGAGATTAAGGGCGTATCTTCGAAGTATCCAGGTGGGAAAGGCGGCGTGAGTTGAAAACCGAGTCTCTTGCGTTTAGCATTACGTCTCGTATGTCTCTCGAGTCGGGCCGCACATGCAGCTTCAAATTCGGCTAGATCGAAAGCCTCGCGATCTCCAGCAGAAATCCCGGCTTTGATCTCCTCCCATGTTTCCAAGAGTCCATCTCCAAGGTGTTCGATCGGCTCCCACGTACAGTCTTCCATAGGAAAGTTTTCCCATTTGACGAGGTACTGTGAAGTGTCAGGAACATCAGGATTTTGTCGTTCTGCCAATATATCTTCGACATCCCATTCTTTTTCAGAATCATTATCTTCGATGACAGTAGAAGTAATAGAGAGGTTGTCGTCGTCGTCGTCATCGTCATCCTGCGAAGAGGGGGAGAAAGGCGGTCGCTCAGACATATTGGGAGTGACTAGAGTTGTTTCCCATGCTCCGAAAGCCGCTCAGTGTAGTAGAGGAGGTTGCTGGTATAAGAGAGACGAGTGAAGATGCCTGCTACCTAAATAACAGTGGTGTTGGTGGCGGTGGCGGTGGCGGTAATGGTCCATATGAGAGATGAAGAAGGTGAGAGTAAGTTAGTGAGGTCATGCAGACGGCAAGGTGCAATCAATTGGGTAACGTTGTTTTTGAGAACATCAGCCACTGCCATATGCCTTTGTTGGCTTCCATAACATGAAGAATGAATGGGGCACACATCAAGGCCGAATGGCGGTGCATGAATATGACTGATCAGAATCAATGAAGGGTGCCGGTGCCGGTGACGGGCATCGGGTCGAGGTTTCCTACTATTCAGGTTGTTTACTAGGTTGGAAAGGAGACGAAAACGGGATCCCTGTAAAAAGCAAGACACTCTCTCGAGCCGCGGGGCTGTGTGGACTCAGCTCTTTAGTAGCACAAGTCTCATGTTTGAAGCAGATATCAGGAAGACTGTCTGGGTACACAAGCTGGGCCAAGTATCTAACGTTAACCTTAGATCTTTTTGTAGCGCTCGTGTGGTTGCCATTGAAGATGGTCAAGTACCTCCTCTACATTGCTTTCCGTAGGTACCTAGGTAGGTACTTCAGTAGCTATTCCGTAGCTGTAGCTGCGGGAGAAGCTATAGAATTTAGCTGGTACAGGTAGGTAGGTAAAGTGTGGGGGACATGCGCTTAAGGTACCTAAAAGCTACCTACATAGGTACCTAGCTACTTACACTTGTGCCCCACTAAGGGACTTACCAGCGAGGTGATGCCTATTGAGGCACGAAAGTACCTAACTGTTTCACGCACGACGTACTGACTTCGAGGTTCAAGTTCAAAACATTTCGTATTAAATTTAAACCAAACGTGAACTCGAATATGACAAAAATATAACTAGATCGAAGAACCGTATAAAGCTGAGTTGCAGCGTGGATAGAGACAACAGTATGTATGGCTGGAGATAGCTCGTAGTGAACGATTCCCTACCTACCTTACGTATACACGAGAACGCATATTCATACCGAGAAATAGACACATCGGTATCAGGGCTTCATTCATCTTTATATGATGATTTCAATAAATGAGAAGCTATGAAGGCGAAGATTGTTCGTCATAGTTTTATGGATGGCTTCTTGCCGTACCCTGTGACAACCTCGTTTGCTGGATTCGGAAACACTGCCGTCTCCCCGTAAATTCTAAGATACGCGTCTAGGCACACTATCGGACATCTCGGATAGCTAGTAACAACTGAGACATTTCATTTTCTCTTCAACTTGGTACTGAAACCGTTCCGCGATAAAAAGGATGGGAAACGTAGGTATGGGAAGGTACATGTTCAAGGTACCTCTCCGAAAGCAGAGGCCAATCTGAAACCCGGACTAATGCCGATACGAATCGCGACTTCGATGCCGCCTTCCATCATCGCCATCCTCCAAATACAGCCAATCCTCAACACTCCTCCAACTGCGCGCACCAGGATCGACCTCGCGCGAGACACCGCGTCGACTAGTACTCCGTCCATCCCGACTGCGGTCCCGATCATCCCACGCGTCCCAGCCGTCCCGTTCGGGACTACGCGCCCTACTCCTAGGCCGCGCAACGACATCGATCTTCTCGAGGATCTCGGGCTCGCCCTCGGGCCGCCGCCACTTGCGCTCCCACTTCTCCTGCTCTCTCTCGCCGCGCGCACGGCGGATCTCGATACGCTTCTCCACGGCATTAGCACCTAGCGCCCCCACAGCCGCGCCCACGACCGTCCCGATCAGCTGGTTGCGCTTGTGCTCGGCATCGTCGCTGTGACCCTTGTGCTGCTTGTCCCGGTTGCTCGTGAGGTCGACGGCTTCTCGGGCCGCGAGCCCGCCGACCAGCGCGCCCAATACGCCGACGCCCAGACCCGTCGTCGAGTCCGTGAACGTGTTGTCGACAAATCGCTTCGCTGCCTCCAAGGGCGATCGCACCTTGCCATCGTCCGAGTCTGAGTCGTACTTCCTCTCTCTCGTCCGGTCTCGTGGTGAATCGGTAGGCGGTGCTAGTGATCTCGGCCTTGAACGTGATCGCGGCGCATAGGAACTTTCTTGCGGCTCGTACGTTAGCCGGGGCTGAGGCTTTCCATCGTAGGTTGTGTAGCCCGGACTGGGGGCGCGGCCATCAGGGGGAGGAGCTGAAGCCCCACCCGCTGAGTGTGTGTAATAGTCTGCGGCCAGGCCGCGGGAAGGATGTCCGTTTTCGTATCGTGACATGTTCTAATGTGAATGATGATTTAAAATGAGTCTTTTAAGTAATTAATGTATCATCACAAGAAGGCGGGTGCGTTGCGTTTTTGTAACATTCAGCGCCCCAGGTAGAAGACACTGCCTTGACCTTTTGATGGTGGGGTGACCTGTCAGCCCTTGTGACTTGGGCGTCGTGGTGAGAGAGGGATGCGACTGATGGAATGTTCTGCGGCGTGATCCCAGAGTGTCTTAGCCCCACAGCCGAAGTGTTTCCACTCTTCTTCTACTATAATATATTGCCGACAGACGACTGCTTGCTATAGATTCATAGGTGAGGATGCTTTACCGATGGTGGCGCAGCACTCAGGGAAGAGGGCGTAGTACCTACCTAATGTCTAGGTGGACACAGATGAGAGATGAAATGCAACATCAAGTAGCAACTGTAGAGTGTGTGAAATAGGGAGAGTGATGGCAGAAGTTCAAGAAATAGAAAAAGAGCAGCCAGCAATTCATGAGCGAGGTGGACACAACGCCGGATACCATGGCATTCCATCTGCTTACATTCAAACCAACCTTTGCCTCCCTCTCACGGTCTCACGGTATGATAAAGTGACCCCACGCTCGCAATTAATCCTCACCAGAATTGTTCTCCAAGGGCCAGGGCAAGCATCATTCCTATTGGTACCAATGCAGTACCGTAGCAGCAAACCTGCATTGTACGCCCTGGATGCTGCCTGAGGGGACTCGAGGGGTGAGGACGAGGGATGCGAACGAAAGCACCGGCTATGTCGACCTCTTTGCCCGAGCCATTGACATTGGTGGGTTGCCATGTAGCATGATGTCACTGTAGCCAGTTTAGCAGTGCCAGGTGTTCCAGGCAGCGTACCATTTATCCAAATCTGGCTGGGATGCGAAATACTATGGACTCTTAAGCCGTCTTCTTGCACACCACTTGTTGCCACTACTAGAACGGCCAAGAAGAACGAATCCGCAGTTTGGTTCATGTTCGGGTGAAGACGCCATGAGGAGAACGAATTGATTTCCAGTCGAGTGACGCTAACAGGCCACACAACTAGCGTAGCCATTTCTGATACCCGGTTACTGACGCCATTTATACGTGTAATCAACACGTTCTCAATGCATGCAAGCAAAGCGATGATATTGTCTTTTCACATGCAACACAATGACAAATGCGAGAATGCGCTATCAAGTTACTGAGCGAGGAACCAATGCTTCAGGCTATTCAGTCAATTAATTGTCATTAGAGTGTCGACGATACAAGCTACCTGTCAAGTCTAGCCTAACCACCACTGCCGCAATTATTACCATTCCACATGAGTATTTAGTCACGTGAAACAACCTGTTCCTTGTCCTTCTTCTCCTCCTCCTCACTTTTCATTTATCTTCCCATACACCTACCTCTTAACTCACTTGAGCCCGACCATAGTGTAACCGCCATGAAACAAATTGGAGCCCATACTCAACAGAGCTCGTCCGATTCCCAACCCGTCAACTGGTGAAAGAAAAAGGGGATCAAATCAATACAAGGCGATGTCTCTTCATTACACACCGTACTGCGCAGCCGACAGTGTTTCTGCAAATGACTCAAAACCAAGTGAAAGGGAAAAAAATTACTTTAACAGACCGTACAAGCTCAATCTCACCACCTCAATCACTAAGCGGATGACAAACAGAGTAGGTCGTGGTACATTGCTTGTTGTCGGCTAAGATCAATAGGGCCATGGTACAGCATGTTCTTCATCAAATGAGAAGAGGCAAAGTATGAACCAAGCCAATTCTACCAAACGAGGTAGGTACATCTCGAGGTGGAATGATAAAAAACGCCAGTGGGGGGCCAGAGCTGCAAAGAAAGTCCCAGCGAAACCGAGGCCGTGTTTCTTGAGAAGTTGGGACAGAATATTAGATAACGGAAATGAGAGTCCTTTCTATCAGAGCGCCATGTCGAGATGAGTATAGAACGTGAAATCGACGAGCTTCGTATCAGCGCATTAGTTGGTGATGAGAACTGATTCAATCTCATGCGACTGCCTTCACGGTCTCATCTTTGTCATTTCATCGACGTTAATGATCTACGCCTCGACTCGCATTCTGAGGCTTGACACTCTGCGATCTCACACTTCCATTATTCTGACCTCTCACAGCAGAGCGTGATATACCGACACCGGGGATGTCCACACGCGGCCGGGATCGCTCACCATCGTCTTGAAAACGGACGCGCTGCCCGCTGCCATTGCTGATGATCCGAGTACTGCCGTCGCTGAAGTCGCGGCCACCGCCTTGACGGCCAGCAGGCGCTTCAGCCATAGCTCTGTTTCTATCCACAGCGACTTTAAAGAACTGCGCAACTTCCTCAAGCGGTCTCTGCAAGGACTCTGGAGAGCCGAGGAGACGTAAAAGATTCTGAGAGTCGAGAACGTGTTTTGCGATGACGCTGTCTGGTTGGCAGAACGTGCGTATACGCATAGACCGTGCATTCGATTTCATAGCGTACAGAAGACCAGTAACAGCCGCCGGTCCCTCTGCTTGTGCCGGTCCGTAGAACCGAAATTCATTGATATGCGCCGTAATGAGATCGACCTGGGTCTCGAGATCGTAGCGGAAGCCAATTACTTTCGGGCGGCCCTTCTGCACCCACGCATCAGCTATGCGGCTCAGTTTACTGGCTTCCAAGCGACCAGTGTTGAGTTGCGTTCTGAAGTAGGTATCCAGCGCTGTGTTAAGGTTATACTCGAGCTCGCAATACAGTAGACTTTGCTGGCGGGCGTCGAGGGAAATGTTCATGTGGCTGACGGAGCTGGCTCGGCTATGGCGTGCTGGTTTGAACGATGTGCTGTCAGCCTGTAAAAGTTAACTTCATGCTCTTCCTTGTTACTGAGGTCAAACTAAGAAGGATCTGCCTTACGATTTCGCGTGCCTTTCGCTTGAGGCTTTCCATGAATCTCCCCGTTCTCTCTATCTTGGATTTCTTCACCCCTAACGCTGCGGTATCTTCAAGCCAGCCATGCTTACCAAAGAGCGTCTTCGTCCCTTGCTCAACTCCAACTGGAGCGCCGCTCGCCCGCATAATGAATGGCGTCAGGGGTGTGAACGGCGAAGAAGAAGCCGTCTCTTTTGGTGGGTTTACACTATCTATCACAGTGCCACTTTGACTGATCTTGGACTCAGAATCGCCTGAGAATTGACGATCGCGATGAGGTCCTTCATTTATCGTAGCGGATCTGGTTATCCCAGATCCTCTGCCGGGGGTCTTTTCAGCACTATACTCACTGGCCGTATAGCCAGAATCTCCAGACAATTGGCGATAACGGTCTTCGTTACCGTCCTCTCTAATGCCTAGAGCGCTTCGAGAACGCATATTGCTGAGGGCATATGGAATCCGGGTACCGTGCGGGCCTACAATTTGACGATGGCCATCGCCGACCCTCTTTTTGACCGCGAACATCTCTTCCTCCTGAGTCGGAATCATGACGCGAATGGAGCTTTGCGACGGCGTGTAGACGGGCTTCAGGTTCTGTCTCCACTCAATGTATGACCGAAGAGGGCTGGCAGGATCTATATTGCTGTATTTAGGTATAGTCAAAGGAGCGATGGCCGGTGAATCTTCAGTACAATCATATACAGGCGTGTTGTCGCTTGGACTATACGAATCAAAGTGCTCCGCTTTCGAAGACTTGATCGCAGTATGCTCGATTTGGTAGCGGTTAGTATTTCGATTGACCATTCCAATATGGACAGGATTTCTCAGATTCAACGCGGGAGGTCGTTGCTTTGCCTTGGCCTGAGATAGAGAAACTTGTGTAGCTGATGTATCAACAGCTCCATTGGTGAGTTTTTGGCGATGATTTTGAAGGGCGGGTGGTTGAGGAAGATGTTCCACACATTGCTGCATTAGATCTGTCACAGTGGTCATACTGCTCTCATGCCCGATATTTCTGAAAATTTTGCTATTAACATTGTCGATGTCCTTCTTAGCAGTCTCATGGACTGGAGACAATACTTGGTGGGCCTTATCATCGTTGTCGATAAACTCATAACGACGCTGCATCGTGCGTCCACGATCAGTAGAATCAGACCGTAGACTGCCATTACGAATGTTATGATCGGGATTCAGGATCGAGGAGCCTCTGCTATGATCCCGGGCGCAGTTATAGCCCTCTGGTGCATCAATGGATTGTCGGCACTCGGACACGGAACGTGAATGGGAGCGCGTGTGTACACCGGCACCGTTGTATGAAGACTCTTGGCTTTTGAGGCTCGCCTGGCCGTTTTGCTTGCTCCCATACCTAGGTAGTCGGTCAACACTCAAGTCCAGTTCATAGAAAAATGAACGTAAGCAATAGAAAGGGTAACGGCGTACATAGCAGCTTGATACTTATTCACTATCTTGCTAGAAGCCGAATACGTTGCCCCATTCAGTGTCTGCGGAATTGGATCTCTAGCTTTATACGATGGGGAGAGCGTCAGGTCGGGTTTAACTATTCGTATAGAGCTGTCTCTGGCCTCTAGTGAAAGTAGAGAAGACGTTGAACCTTCACGCGGTAGGTAAGAAGGTGTCGCGGAGGGGAGACATGGAGTATGAGAAGCAAGATGAGTATGAGGATGCGATTTGGAGCACTGTGATGGCATATGGGCTCTTATCGTTACCGAGTGAGTCTGGCTTGGGGGCGCATTAATGCTGGGGTTTTGATTTGTAGGTGATCCAGCAACGTCGCTAGCTGGTGAATGTGTGTTTGGACTCGAGCCACTGCTACAGGGGTACAATGGAACTAACGTATCCCGCTTGTCCTGCTTGTCGAGTGAACGGGTAAAGGTAACGGTGAATGCGTTGTTGAGGTGAGTTGTCACTTTGTTGGGGAGAGGTGCAGATGCTGTAGGTTCACACATTAGCAAATACACACAAGCATACCTTTCAGAAACCCTCTCTGAAGGAAATACCTGTTCTGTGGGCAACGCAGTCGCCAATGTGTGTGACGGCTGTATCTGTTGGACCAGCTTCTAGGTGGGTTGCAAAAGGTCATGTTAGTGTGGTACGAAGCTCAGCTACCTAGGTATTACCATATGTAGCCTTTCTCAACTGGCTGGCGGACATTGCCCGGGAGACGTGATCTTTGAGGTGGTTTGTGTACATACCAACGACAGTGAAAGGTACTTGAAGTGGGAGAACATCCGAAAACCGCCGGTTTGTCACACGACTTTGATTTTCTTCCGCTACTCACACGGCTCATCAGTCTCCCGCTCATGAGTTTTAAAGAAAGATATTTGTCTTCAACAACGACCTTTGCTTACCGCAGATTTCGCTAGGAGCCCGTAGGCTCCTTAAGACCCTTTCATATTCCAAGTCTGGGCATATCAAAGAGTTCCCAACCCCATCAGCTCCTATTATAGAAATCAGCTGACATATAATCTTAGATCCCCGAGGAAGAATTAGTGATATATCACTTACGCTTCAGCTTTAGAAGATGGCTCATTCTGAGAATGTGCGGAGTGTTGTGGAGAATACGGATGATGGAAAACAGGGCAAGTGGAAGAATGAAGTGATGTACACTGATAAAGGTAATTCTTTTTGATTCGATTGCTCGGCTGCAGGCAGCAGTTTGCATTTAGAATCGGGTACCTCTAGCTAACAAATTCCTTGAACATTGATCTGTATCTACCAGAAATCACTATCTTCTCTTCCAACACCTCCACCCCTACTTGAATTGTACTTGAGAGGTCGTAGTATCTCTCCGGTTGCTTTGTGGAAGACCTGTCGTGAGCTAGGGGCAACCTCCTGAAAACCATGGGCCTCTTGCTGTAACTTCGACAATAACAATTCTCTTGGACTTTCTTGTGCGTTAATGTGGGTTTTCCTACTATTGTTGCTGGCGTGTGAACCCGCAAGGCTTGTCTGCAATTTGTGACGTCAGCCACAGGCTACTTAGACAATTGAATGATATGTCAAGGTTTTGGAGTATAAGGCAACATCAGTGGTAGTCCGGTATCAGGAGAGCTGTGTGGAATGGGGTCACAAAACTGACCACATAGCTACGTGCACACTGTGGGTGACCTTGTCGGCAAGTGGGAGTATCACGAACTGCAGTACTCGTTGATTAGAGCGTTGCGCAACATACGTAAAGCGAACAGGGAAGTTGAGATAAGAATCTGAACTCGGCTGAAACAGGGAATGAGAACTTCAAGATTACGAACCTGCTTCACCATTGGCGGGCCTTTCGATAACTGTTGTTTGTCGATTTGTGATTGGGCTGCACACATTGTAGTGTGTTTCTGTCTGAGCTGTAAACTCGATATTATCGAACAGGGGCGTATCTGGCCGATACTGATCTTGTCTAAGTTTTCGTTAGCACTCTTCCCTCTGTGCTCACTAGGAATAGCACAATCGACCTTTCCAGCGTGAATCTCAATATATCAGTACCATTGCTACTTGACGCCGCCGACCTTTCTGATACATATTGAAAGGAAATCGGTAAATGATCTTGTGGTCTCTCTCCTATCAATTTAGATGAGGCTGAATAGCCTAAGAAGCCATGTTTAAAGGCACGAGCCTTCATTTCAGCTCCAGTCTCTAAGTCAACAAGTATTCCCTTCCTTTTGGAAGATAGACGCTGGCTTTTAGCCCGGGGGTTACGTCCAAGTAGCTCGGTATTTCTTGAAGAACAATTTGGGTCATATCTTGGTGTAAGTGCACAATCTTGAAGATTCCATTGGTAATCGAGGCCACCATCAAAACCAAGCTGGGGCGTGAAAGGGCCTCGAAAGAGCCATGGAGATGTCTGGTTCAACAACCCCGTGTTAGCAGCCTCTACAATAGTTTCTGTGGCCTTAGATTCGGCAGTTGGCATCTGAGATATAGGCAAGTGTGATGGCAAAGTCTCGCCATCATCAACAATCAGAAACTTTCTAGCGAATATCGCGTTAGGTATCTGATAACCGTCTGGCCAGGGAACAGAGACCACACCACACTGAGCCCGTTTATCCCTATGTAATGAGCTAGAATCGAAGATAAATGTGTTAGGTATCCAGCTTCGCCTTCTTCGTTCTATGTCGGGCGCTTTCTTCTGGTTACGTTTCCCAACAAATTTCTCTATAATGCTCATGCTCGAGAGTGAATGCCGCAAACGCTGTGACCGGCTGCTGGGGCTCTCGATGGTATCAGCAGATCCGGGTGGAGATGTGTCACTCGACTGATCTAGGGACGCTATTGGAAACTCGCGCTCATCCACAAGTCTACCCGTTGCCCCAAAATCGGGGTCCCACTGCATTTCATGAAATTCCTTTGGGTTCGGACTGCGCATGGGTCGAGTTCCTTCGGATCGAGTGGACACAAATAGAGTGTGGTCGATGAGCCAGACCTTCTTGTTTCTAATGCAGCTCAGATCCGCATATTCTCGTTGACTTATAGGGGACGAGTCCGAGAGGACAAAGCGATAACGATCGGCGTGTTCTGATCGCCAGCGTGAAAGCTTCTCGGTAGGGACAATAGAAGAGGTGATTGTTGTCATATGAGGTATATGCGGAAGCTCAAGGTCAGCCTATGTAGAGATTAGACTCTCAAAAATTCCTGTTTCAACACTCAATTCAGCACTGACATATCTGTACATGTGGTCATGCCGCCATCGCTGGAAAGCGGCCCCAGGGTCATCTGTATGTTCACAATCCACTTCAATCAACTCATACAAGACTCCTCCGGCTAAGTCTAGGTTCTCGTCCCCTAAGTGCTCCCGAAGAATGAGAAATATCTATTCGACGTTAACATGCCTGCAGGGACAACAATACACCTTTTAGACCAACCTGCTGTATACCATCTTTATATTGAAAGTTTCTTGGAATATGGGCACAAAATCGGACAAGGACATTACGGCATTCTCATAGTCCGAGTCAGTCAGCTGAAAAAGGCATTTCGGAACACAACACATACTCTCCTCGCCATACCCTGAGCGGGTGAGGTTCTGCGGTCCAGAGCGCTTCCGAATCAAGTCGAACGGCTTCCAATCATCTTCGGGAGTCGGGTCGGAGACCGCAAACGCTACATAACGGTGATCACTGGGGGTAGGGTTGCACACTCTGGCGGCACCAGTCTTACAACGTTGTTGGAGCATAGCCAGTGAATGAAGTGGAATCGCTAAGGTAGATAGGTCATTTGAAGACGCAATGAGGTAACAGATCTAGCTGCTTCAGCCAACAGCGACGTGTCCGTGTAGTCTCTGATATAGCTAAGATGTGACGACGCATCCCTCTATGTAGAAAGATAATGAGATTAGACTACAGAGAGATGGGCAAAGCAGCTAACAAGTGCGAAAAGAGTGTCGACGCTATACCTGCCCATCTCGTTTGCCAGCATTCATAACTCCTGCCGCCTTAATTTCTTCTTCGTCCGAACGTAGCTGCCATGGTTTCTCCAGTGCTATCTATGAGGCAGGCACATGCTTAGACATGGACATTACCATACCTACCTACCTACAATGTAGAGGTAGGTACATATATGTACTTGAGTAGATAAGTGTGACCTAATGAGGTGGTACCTGCATTTAGAAGTGCATCAGATTGAGGTAACCTCCAGCTACGCGTCCATACCCTGCATTAATTTCCTTGCAATCGACAACTGTGGATGAACTACAAAAGATAAAAAATCATGAAATATAAGGAGATGCGAAAAATGCAAAAAGAACATGCGGTGAGTGTGGATCGAACACACGACCTTCAGATAATCAAGGCTAGACCAAGATACGGAATGAAGTTGTGGCTTCAGTCTGACGCTCTCCCAACTGAGCTATCCCCGCTTGATGAGTTTTCCAGCTGTTAAAACTTTACATGAAAACAACTCAAAAAATCGATTGCTGAAGCTAAAGCTCTAGAGCGAAACAAAGCCGTGAAAAGGCACATGTTAAGGAAGAATCAGGCCAGATATTGCCTTCTAGATATAAAATCTCGCGCACAGATTCTATATAATTGTTAATAAACAAGGATTTTCCTCCCCATTTCCACTTCCATGAAAAGCTGTCGGTCGATGAAGAGACCATGGCAGCAGAAGTGATATAACTACTTTTTAATAACTAGACTTAATACCATCTAAATCCTCCGCTCCAACACTCTCACTTAACGAGGTTACGTCTCAAGTGCATAGACTATCATAAATTCTTTGGTGAAAACGAGCTATTCAAGCCCGCATATTGTGCACAAAATGATATCAATGGAATTTGAAGCCCTTAGTTTCCAAGGAAAATCCTTGACACCTCATCGGTAAGTGTGTTACAGACATCTAAGTTATCCCTACATACACACCCGCCTTAGACCCTTAATTTTATAGTTCCTGGGTGCATACAAGACCCAGCGCCTACGTACGAGCAAAGTATGCTGAGTAGGTATTTTCAAAACTCTTCTAGTCCAAACACATCGGTCTTTTCGACAGATGATGGAGACACCCGCCCGACTCATCTCTTCTATATCTCCATGCAGTTTGTCTTGTCCTCGTACCTACGACACTTAAAGTCTGTACTCAGCTGGGACTACTACTGTCGTTGCCGCGCGGGAACTATATATTTTGACCCCGCCAGTCTAAGTTGTATATACGTCTGTATTGAAATAAAATGTCAAATTAGTGTTGATATTGTTTCAGCGGTGGCAGAATCAATACTATAAAATAGACAACGGGGAAGACTTTTCATTACAATCTCACGGCACCTCAGACTTACACACGACGCTACAGAAGCTGTACGTCTAGAGAGAACTTTGTCTGATACCCGGAACCAAAGTATCTAGTAAGAACCGCGTATTCCGACTTATGTGCAGAACAGCCATTCAGCTTCGGGCCACTGATACACACCCACCTTGCTGCGCAACCGGGTTCAAACGTGGACTATCATTACCATCCTGAGTTCCTGTGTATTGTGCACAGAGGATGGCCTCCTTATTAACCTACACGACGGGAAAATCAACAACTAGCCGTTGCGGCCCTGTACTAATCAACCTAAGGTCATATCAACTGCTCTTTTAGAACATCTATCAAGCATCAACCTTGTCTTACTCTAAACAAGCTTAGATAATAATAAGTTCAAGAGATGCAAGGATGACGATTGAAGTAGATCAAGCTTTTTAGTTAAACTTTGAAATAAACTGATAACAATGGAACATGCTTATATCTCTGCTGCATTATAGCTAATTACCTGTTTGCTAAAGAATGTATATCTTGCCAGTAGAAAAGGAGTATTCACATGAAAAGATGGTGAAAGAAAGGCAAAAAACATGACTTTCAGATTGATGATGAAGTGTTACCTCAGTCTGACATTCCCCCTGCTGAACTATCACGGCTTGGACTTCACCATATATTGCTGTTTGAATGGTGACTGTGATCACGCAAAATAGAGCTATAGACATGGCTAGACTTGCAAAAAGCCAGAGATATTATAAAGCAGAACCCTCTACCTACCTATGTATCCATAGGAAGGATAGTAAGGTAACTAATAGGGGCCGTGTGCGACATCCGGTATCGAGCCTATCGGGTACAGGTACACCAACGGCCCCAGCCCGGTACGACGCATGCGCATACATATGTGGAGAACAGGGAGAGGCAAGGCACATTTTCTTGGCCGGCGAAGCAACAAATAAATACCTACTGGCGATCGGGAGCATGGGTATCTGTCTGACACTCTGCCTGCCTGCCTCCCTCGTAATCAAATTGAGACCTGTGTGAGGAGTTGATATTACGAATTATGTTGCTCTCAGCTTTCTCTTACCGGTCAGCCTTCGAGCTGTAATATATATTTTCCCACGTCTTAGGTTTGCTTGCCAGCATGCAGCAGAACGTGCATATTTCAAGAAAACACACATGCGGCCTCTTCTGCACGTATCCGCCAATAAAAACATAAATCACTGCGCTCCTCTTTTACGCTTGTCTAGTCTGCGGGAGGACGTATAGGGTCCCGTATGACGTGTGATCTAGGTATACTGGATGTATTCTACTAATGCTTCCCATAACTATAGCTAAGTTGAAGCAGAGTGTCTGAGTCTTCTCAATCAGTATGTCGAATCATTACCACCCGATACTCCAATGTCTCACCAAAAGAAATGTCTCACACTTCGTCTTTTCAGCTTGATGATCAATAGAGTAAAGACGGTCAAAACTTATTGACCACACTCCGTCGCTTGGGATAGCTTCTCAGCCTCACAAAGCTCCCGTGAACGGGGTACCCATTTCCTCGCTGTGTTACAGCTGCATCCCCAAACTGCATGAGCAAAGCTCACGTTTGTCAAACAGTCAACGGCATGGCAAGGCATATCGGGGACACGCTGGGTGTACCAAGGGGGCGAATGCATGAGTGCATGAGAATTGAGCATCGCAGGAGGATAATGGAGGGACAGCATGACTAAAATAACTTGCATTTGCCCATTTAGTTTATTGGGGGACGTCTGATTGGGGTGAGCTATTCTCGTCACAATTCGGCCTGGGTAGCGTCAGTGCATACATAGGTTGTGTTGCATCTCGGATGACTCCATATAAGCAACTTGTCTAACGTAGGTATCTTTTCAGTGCCTAAATCTTCGAACGCGAAAGGCTTTTCTGCGTTGGAGTTTTCGGATAAATGACTGGAGGCTGTGTGTTGGTACTTAATGAGACCAAAAGCGGTGAAGCGAATATACCTACCTAGATATTCATGATCCCAGATCATTGTTACCAAAATGGGTGCTATGCGAATCCGAACAATAGGTGTAACCTAACTGGTGGGGGTCCATACTTAGATAGGTAAATAATTAAATAATATCCCACGATATTTGATCCACTAACTGTGAATCAACTTCACCTTTCGATCTAGAACACCATACTCTACGTCTCAATGATTCATGTACGGCTCTACCACATTCTATTGTATTCGACTCAGCCGCCTCATGTGATACTTACCACTATACATCAGTCACTATCAGTCACGATAGTGGCGTATACTTCTGGCCCTACCTAGGTAGGTAGTGTTACTGCCAGGCAGGAAAGGTCTAGGTATGGAAAGCTCCGGCTGCTCAGTACCTACTGATATTAGTTCTAATTTGTACGAAGTACGTCGGGTTCGGGCTTACGTCGCTGTTCTTCCGAGGCCAATAGGTAAACCCGGTGTAAGTAGCACCTCGTCTTCCGTCGCGTCTATATATAGGGCTATGCAAGACATCTGAAATGAGCGACGCTTCAAATGTGAAATGTTACCTGTAAGAAAGGGTTCTGAACCTACCTAAGTGGAGGAGGCAAGTGTCAACGGCACATACCGTAGGTATGATAGCTTTGCCTGCCGAGTAGGTACGTGTACTTATAAGTAGGAGGTAGGTATGTACTTAAGTAATTAACCTAGAAAGTGCAATTGCCCGTTGGCGGTTGCTTTGGGAACCTACCTAGGTACCTACATGTAGGTACCTCTTCGCACCGTCCTCGCCCAAGGTATTAGCCTCTGTGCTGCTACCTCAATTATCTGCCTCTGTAATTCAATGATGTGAATAGGTATCGTCATGTTGGAATGCCAGCTGCTTGAACAGCAAACAGTCAATCAATTTAATTCCAGATTTGGAACAGCGCTGGTGGTGGTGAGCCGACCCACTGCTCTTTACTGTGTAGGTATAACCAGTGGCATCTACATAGGCTGACCGGGGTGACCCAGCAGACCCAGGCTTCTAACCCAGGGAAGCTAGCCTGCTAAACCAGAACTAGCTTGGGGCGGGTTGGCCGTTGTACCATAGAAATAAGTACCTGGGGCTACCTGGCTCTGCCCGGGGGACTGTACAATAGTGGGCAATTACTCCCCCCGCTCTGTCTTCAGTCGTCTTCAGTCAGCGCCCACAGCTTCAGCCAGCGAGCTAAGGCTTTAGGGAGGTACAGTAGAGGCAAGTACTGCTCCAGCATTCCTGCAGGGGAGTGCAAGGTCTCCATTTTATTTTCCAGCTCCCAACTACCTGCCTACATACTTAAGTATGTACCCAGCAATTAGACACAGACCTAGACCTGGACGTCTTCAATGCTGCAACATTGCAACATTTCCAACACTGCTGCACACAACGAGCTGGTCCGTCCTAACTTCTCCCTTCTAGCTATCTCGCCATACCAGCTTCTATTTTGCCACATCGCGCCATGGCAATGGGGGACTCGAGGGCTACCAGTATCATGGACTTTGTCCAGAGGTACAGAGATTACGAAGGACGTCGTGATCTAACTCATGAACTCATTAAGGTGAGTCCAGGCCCGGGCCAGGTGTTTGCCCCAGCGTCATTCCACCTGCAATCTCTGTGCTCATGCTCCCGTCTGGTATGATTTGATCGTTGGTTTTCATGGCTGACCATTGTCTCCCGCTGCGTGTAGGATCTCATGATATATGCCGAAGAAGTTGAATCCTCATCGCGCGTCGAGAATGCCCGCTTGGTCCAACAGCTAAGAGAGGTGACTATGGATCTCGACGATGCCACCAAGTCGAGGCGCCAGCTGCAACATCGCCTGCAAGATGTCGAGGAACGCATGGGATTTGTCTCACTGGATAACAGTCAGTTGAAGGTATCAGCAACTGCTGGGTCGAGTAGCGAGTTGGGACATGGCGACTGAGACTCTGAACAGAACCGAAATCCCTACGTGTTGGTCCTGATTGATGGCGACGGTTTGATTGTGAGCCAACGTCCCTGCCCACCCTACCATCGAACGCCGAACTCGAACCCCTCTAACATTCCAACAAGTTTCGCCAGCACTTCATTAAACAAGGTATCGAAGGCGGTAGAAGAGCAGCCCTCGAACTCCACAAGGCCGTCATTTCTGATCCCCTTATCCACGCAAACGAAGCCCAGATATTTGTTAGAGTTAACGCAAACCTGGCTGGTCTCAAAAAGGCATTGAAGCGTGACGGCTCATTGACCGCCGAGGACGACTTTTATGATTTTGTGGCAGGTTTCAACCAAGCCAGTTTCTTCGATTTTGTCGACGTAGGCACTCATAAAGAAATAGCTATCTCTAAACTGAAAGGTGAGTAAAGATCGTATTCATGTCTCTGTCTTCTATGGCCTATTTAGACACTCGTATGCGAGAGTTCTCGTCCTAGCTCGCATACTACGGCCTTAATACCGTGATGAACACATCCTAATAGTCTTGATCCACATGTCTCTATGGCTCCCATTAGCAACCAAAGGTTCCAATTGTGTACAATTCGTTGACTTTGCGCTCAGAAATCGCTCTATTTCATATACAAAGCCCTAGTTGCAAACAAATCATCATGGGTATATCTCATGACCCTACGTATGGGCCTATCCTGGATGAGATTATCAGAGGTGACATCATTACACAAGAGCGCATCAAAGTACTCGAGGGATGCCCTACAGTGCGCGCCGTTGTTTCGATTGGGACCGATATTATTAGGTTTCAGGACATATTTCGATCTGATAAATTAACGGATAGACGCACTGTTTCCAGCCATTCTGTACACTCGGTTCAATCGGGTTCATCAATATCAACCTCGACTTCAGGACTTCCAAATATCTCTTATGCCACGGTTACTCAAAAGGCGAGCCCACCGCCGCAGATCACTCTCCCAATACCGCTGGCTCCCAAGACTACCAACGCGTCCCTACGTGTTGTCAAGCAGCCCCCGAAACCTTCCTGGAATCCAGGCCCGAGAGGGCTAGATGCTCCGATTCCTTTGAATTCAGTAACTTTGGAGACTATCAAGAAACGAAAAGACAACAACAAACTATGCAATAATCACTTCCTTCGTGGACCTTGTGCGAAGGGCGACGACTGCTGCTTCGTGCATGATTATAGCCCTAATAAAGATGAGAAAAATGCCATTGCCTTCCTTGCCCGCCTCAACCCCTGCACTAATGGACAAGATTGCGACGTCGATAACTGTATCTACGGCCATCACGTAAGTATCACGCCGAATTATTCATATTATCCTTCTTGTAGCGCCTATCTAACTTATCATATAGTGCCCGAGCGTTGTTAATGGTATTTGCACGCATCCGTTTTGCAAATTCCGCCCCGAGGAACATCCGCCTGGAACAAAGCTCCGAAACACTAAAATTTAATAAAAACTTTCTAGCGCCATCAGCAACATTAGTGCTCATCGTATGCATATCATTCGATGTTTTAGTAGTTAAGAAGTTGCTGAAGATGTTCGGAGATCAGAGATGCTCGCTGGGGGTTCGAAGTCCCAATCCGATGGGGAAATATCTACAGGCTTCTATGATGATATGTAACATTAGCGACAAAGGACGCACGACTTATTGCTGAGGCGTCTGATGAGAGAACGAGTTGCATCTGTCTATCAGATGCTCGGGTAGCATAAGCGTGCATAGCCGATGCGATGATCAATGAATACCATTTTAACATGATTGGTACGGAAATGAAAATTATCTGTGACTTTGTGTCTGTACTAGATATGTTATGAATTCAAAACGTATGTGATATGATATGATTTTCCCCGTGACGTTATCATTGTATCCTTCGAGGCACAACGTATCCTGAATTGATGATCGTCACTGGTAGGACGTGTATGTCCCGGGCGGCTGTGCTTGATATGGTAGCTAGGTATTGACTTAGTAGCTACATACCCAAGTCAATTGAGCTCAGCTGTATATGTGCATGAAAACGTATATATATATGATAGATTTGTATTTCTAATATACCGGGGAAGGATGTGCTACATAGCAAGTAGTAAATAGGTCGAAAAAGGCATTTCGATCCCATCGGACGGGAAAGGTCTTGTTCTCTATATTCATACCTATGTGTAGGTAGGTATATATATACATCGGGACTTGGAAAGCTCGTGGGTCCATCTCACTGTGATAGTCCTAGATTATGTAAATAGCTAGGTAGGTAGGTAGGTATGTTTTAGGGCGCAGATGTGGAGATATAATTGTTCTATGGACAGTTCTCATCCTTCTCCTTAAATAAGGGCTTTCCGAGGTGAGATAAACCAGTATCTGTCTTGAGAATGATATATGGGCTTAAAAGCCTGATGAATTTCATCGCTAATCGCTTCTCGTCTTGTATTCTAATCGTGCCAGTCGTCGTCGCAGTTGTATGTCCAGAAAAGCCTGATTTCACTGATACTTTCCGATTGATCAAGATTGGTGCTGGGGTGTGATCTTCGAAGCGGTCCCTCTCGCATCTAGGCGGTGGCGACTCCTAGGCCATTGCGAACATGATCCTTTACATTATCGCGATGTGTCACGTGGGACTAAAGCAGTGTGTATGCTACGCGCGGCTCACCCGGAGCCCGTTAACAGTGTATCCCCCTACTCGTGTATCGCGGCAGATTACTTCGTTAGCAGCTCGGGCGGCGTCGATTAATGGAACAACATATGTAGCGGCTGATAGAGCAGGGCGCCCGCGGACTAGTGGGAGTAGATTATCTTAGACATGTATCCAGGTGCTCTGTGTCACGACCATAGATATAGGCCTAGCATTATAGCGCCGACGCTACGCTTGCGCCGAAGAGGAGATCATGCGGTGAACATTCGTCTTCGGTCTTACCCAGACGGCCAGTAGCACGGTTTAGAGCTTTCCAAGCAAGGAAAAAGACGAGTAACCATGGAGGTTGGGTGCAAGGAATCTATGCCCAAAGCATAGAGTACCGTGTCGGCGAATTTGACGGCTAGTGAGATTTGGCTCGGGTTGTAGGCGAGTATGAGACCTTGTGTCCTGAAGGGGTATGGATTTGGCATAGGGCGATACAGAGCTGTCGTATTTGGTTTATTCACCTTGTAACACGATCTATTTTGATCTATAGGGAGGTAAGCTAATAGTGAACTTCGTTAGTCGAGTTGTCTCGATGAAGGTATATTGAGTGTGACTTACGTTGCATGGTGATCACCGAAGTTTTCTGGTTTACTAAGGATGTTTATGAGGAGCTCGCGTCTTCCTTGCGACGTATCGACATCGATTAGTCAGTTCGAGGAACCCTTTCCTGTCATTGTTGTCGAGTCCTTTTGGCCACGGTGTTAAGGAGATGGTGATTTTGATGCCGATATGGACGGCGATAAGCTCGGCGTGGATAATTCCGACGAGATTGATGGAGAGGGTGTAGATACTGGAAGTTGTGCGGACACTGGATTTCGTGTTACGGGGTTATACAATAAGGTGCTTCCGAGTAATAGAGTCTGGTCTGAGTGATCTGGATCGGCATTTGAGTCAGGCATATGTGGTGGGTGCCATCTGATCTGGCTCGTTTTGAATCGCCATTGACCATCGACGATCTCGAGCTCAGCCCCCTCGTTTGTAATCAACTTGAGCTCATTCCGTGTCCTTGGGTCTCTATTCTTATGGTACAGATCAAGCTCGCTTGGTGTCCAATTGTGGTTATCAATGATCAAACGTGCTCTTTGAACTCGGTCGTCGGTCACCATGACCATCTTGGGGACGCGTAAAAGATGTTCCCAATCATCGTCAACCTCCTCGAATATCTGTTCGGCCTGACGTTCTAGTCCGGTCATCCACCAAGAGACATTACGCAGGATTCTGACAAAGCAGATCCAGTGTGCTATAATAACCAACATCCGCGGCCGATGTTGCTGTGCGAGCGGGATTAGTACGCGGGGACAAAAACTGAAGAATGTGATGATGCGAAGGTCTAGAACGGGACCAAAGCCATGCTCTATAAGCTCCTGATAAAGTGAGCCAAGACATCGAAGAAATTCGTAGTAATCCTTTTGGTTGGCGTAGTCTGCATCTCCATCTCGGATCGATGTGACCATGAATAAGAGGTTGTTTGGAATGTATTGAACTGTCTTCTCCATATCTATAGGAGGACGATAGAATAAAGCAGACAACCCGGATTCTTCAACTGCTTTCGGCGAAATCATGTCAATAATTAGACCGATGCCACGCCATATTGCTATCCATTCAACAATGAAAAGACGCCTTCCATTGGGGTCGCGAAATGCTTGGCTGCTCATCGCAACCATGAAGAGTGAGCAGGCGAGCAGAGCGGGATAATCTTTGGGATCGGCTGTTTCGATAGCGCTGCGGTAGCCTTCGAAGGCTCGAGCCTGGTAGGATACAAGCTTCTGAGTTGGTACGGGCTGATTCAAGTTGCGGAGATCTAACGCTGATAACGCCTTAACCGTCTCCATGAGAAAGGGCGAGCGAAAAGCATGTTCAACAACTTTAACCTTGAGGGCATAATCAACCAGAGGTAAGCGTCCGGCGTTGATGGAGAAATTGTGGTACGAGTGAGCGGTATAAAACCATAGCATCTTCATGTCGATATGGTCAACGGCTTGGTCAGGGATGAAAACAGGTTCTGAGATGACGGGAATCATAATACGACTGAGAGTGGAGACGTCTATATCCTCAATCTCCTCGCCCTCGTCGGTGTTATCGACGGACTGATCCCGAGCTTCTTGTGAGTCAGTGGCACCCGTGGACAGGCGAGTTGCCGTGGATGAGGATGCTGGTGGCGGCACATTTGGATATACACATGGCTCCTTTCGAAGCGTACATGCCTTACACGATGGCTTGGCTTCGTCGCACTTCCGGAAGCGCGTTGTTAGTAATCCAGTTCGGAGAACTATGTGGAAGATAATGGCATACCTTGACCTTACGCTTCTTGCACTGTTTACACCCAGCGCGTGATTTTCTATGAGGTCGTTTGGAAAGATACCGCCTCTGAGCCTGAGCCTGAGCCTGAGCCTGAAGCTCTGGGTCCTCTGTGACATGATCAGATGCAGCAGCATCTGACGACTCGAGTGGCATAGAGTTTGTACCGCTTGCTAAGGAACTGGTAAAATCTCTATTCATCGGCGTATCTTGCTCAACGTCGTAGTTGAACCCTCCTTCATCCATGTCTGAAGGAATTGCGGCACAACCAGTTAGCTGACTAAGATTAACAGAGATGAGTGAGTAGGTGTATGCTTAGGTAACGTTGGTGAGTCTTCAATACTGTCTAGAGCATATGGTAAGGTAATAATAGCTGTGCGAAACTTACGGCAGCTCCATGAGCGCCTCAGCTAGCCGGACGTATGTAACAAGATAATTCAGCTTTAATATATATTCGTTGAAAGAGTTGATAGGAGTAAGGGCGTCGACGCCTACTGGGGTCAAAGTCCTATATGTAGGTATTTCAGTGACGCCTATTCTTCGGTGCCGGGAGTCTAGGCGCATGACGTTGCCTCCAAAGGCTGTGTAAGGGAGACAAATGAGACAAGCGTAGTTAGAGAGACATTGACCAATGAAATGGTGTCAAACGGAAACGACAGGGATATCTAGAGTGCCGGTACAGCTCCGAGCTGGGTCAACAAATGCGGAAGCTTGGCAATGGTCTCGGCGCGTCTTCATCGCGGAGTCGGACATTAAAAGTAGATGATTTCCGAGCTCTGCCTGAGCTTCTTTAAGACGGTTTGCCGTTCACCTTGGATGTTGCCATAGGGAAAGCGGTAGTCTTATTGAGAACCTGTATAGAATCAATCTTATGGGTCTTATTTCTCACCCAAGGACCCGGTATTTCTGCCAAAGCAACCAAAGAACAATTCATTTCACCAGTACCAGATCACCAACAAACTCGTCATGACCTCTATATTCGAACTGCCTGATGATCTCCTCGCGTCGCTAATCACGAGCTTCCCTTGTCGTGAGGCTCAGATCAATGCCTTAGCAACCCTCATCCACCCTCGAATAGCGCCGTGTCGCAACTTGGTCGTCCACGGCACCGAGGCCACAGGCAAGAGCAGTATCGTTAGCGACCTACTTCAGACGCTCCGCGACGCCTCGTCCTCCGATTTGAACTATGCCATTGTCAAATCTGCAGAATGTGTCACAGCTCGCCACTTCTTCGAAAGGACCGTCGGTCTCGTAGGGGACGCGCTACGGAATGAGTCCGCCCCTGCACGCTGCGAGACGCTCGCCGCCTTGACGGCCGAGCTGACCAAGACGCTGAAATACACCGAACAAGATCCTCGCTCCAGATTTGTGCTCGTATTCGATGGTATTGACCGCCAGCGTGATGCGCCGCCTACATTACTCCCTGCTCTAGCAAGGCTATCTGAAATCGTACGTTTGATAAATTCAATCTTCGCAACATTTCCACGCCCCCCTAAAATCAGAGCCGACGTACTGACCAAGGAACCCATTACAACAGATCCCAAACCTAACCACGATATTCATAATAACAACACCATCACCATCTCTCATGCGAATATGCTCGCCACCACACATCCACTTCCCACCGTACACGAAAGCGCAATACATCGCGATCCTCTCCCGCACGCCGCCCGCCTCCCTCCCAAACACGACCCAGCAAGAAACAACAGAGCTATGGACGCGCTTCACAGCCGCCGTCCACGACTCCCTGGCCCGTCCCGCAGCGCGCACCCTCCCGCGCCTCCGACAATGCTGCGCCACGCTCTGGCCGCGCTTCACGGCGCCCGTGGCATCAGGCACGCACAAAGCGCGGGAATTCAGCAAACTCCTCATCGCCGCGCGCGCATACTTCCAGGACGAAAGTATTCTCGAGCCAGGGATCCAGCGTGCGCGCAGAGACGCTCCTTTAGCGGAGAAGAAGAAAAGCAGCAGCGGCAGCGGCACGGATCTCTCGACGCTCTTGCCGCCTACGGCGCGCCATCTCCTTATCGCGGCGTACCTCGCCTCGCACAATGCGCCGCGCCACGACAACGCACTCTTCAGCACGTGGCATGCGGGCGGGAAGAAGAGGCGGCGCGGCGGCGTAGCGGGATCGTCCACGCCGAATGGGACCGGACGTGGACGTAGGGCGAAACATCGCCGTATCGCGCGCAAGTTACTTGGTCCCGGCGTCTTCGTGCTCGAGCGCATGGTCGCTATCTACGTTGCCACGAGACAGGAGTGGATTCCCGGGGCTGAGGATGGGAAAGGAGGTGTGGATGGCGATGTGGGCATGGCGATTGCGACGCTGGCTAGTTTGAGACTACTTGTGCGTGTGGGAGGGGGTGCCGCGGGCGCGGCGGCGGGAGCTGGGGGCGGTGCTGATTTAGATCGTGGTGGCAAATGGAGGGTTAATGTTGGGTGGGAGATCATTCGGAGTGTAGGGAGGAGTATGGGGGTCGAGGTTGAGGAGTGGTTGGTTGAGTAAGGGGTAGAGCCATAGCTGAGTGAGGTAAACTTGCTTGTGGCGTGATATTGGCCTGCTCAGATCGAGTATCAATGAAGATATTTGGTCACATATGTCACGAAGAGTTCATTGGTGTGGTCTTGGTAAGGACATTTATTCCACGGATGATCTTCAAAGATTGATAGCATGACTACTTTGTGTTATTCTAGCTCGCTTAGCATATGCTTAACGGAATCGAGAGAGTCCAGTTAAATAAAAGAAACAACGACTAATAATTTTCGCGCAACAGTCCGCCATATTCGTATTTTGTGATATTATCCTTCCAAGAAACTACACATTCTGCGAAACAGGAGACTCGAGAGCCAAGACCTATTCGATAGTTAGCTTCATGAACACACCCTACTGCAATAACTGCAATCTCAACAAAACTCACCAAAGCAGTCCGTGAAGGAATGTATATATGCGTCCAGTTCTTCCTGCCATTCCACTCCATAGGCGTAGTGAAGAACCTCGTAGAGGGCTCGACGTGCCCGAACCCACCCGCTTCCTTGGCATCAGTATTGAGCACGATCTTGTATGTGCCGGGCGTCTCAATCCCGATACGGTAATCCGAGAAGCTCTGAAATGGGTGGAAGTTGAAGATGAAGACGCAGCCGGCACGCTCAAACACGATGACCTTGTCGCTCTCGTTCTTGAGGCTTATGTATGCCTGCGGAGCGTGTAGCCAACCATATTGGTCCTCTGTTAAGTTCATTTGCCGGTCGAACTCGCTGAGGTCCTTATATCGCAGGAGGTTGTCCCCTGTGAGATTCAGCTGACGTCGTGCGTACCAGAAGGAGTTATTGTTCCCCTCGCGCGGGAAGTCTAGCCACTCCGGATGGCCGAATTCGTTACCCTCGAAGTTAAGATAGCCCTCGCCGCCCAGACCGTGCGTGAGCAGACGAATCATCTTGTGCAATGCCATGCCACGTGCGATGACGGGTGTCAGTTCCGAGAGGACCGACATATGAGTATACATTTCTGCATCGCAGAGATGCATCATCAATGACTTATCTCCCACGAGTCTGATAATGGTCAGCTGCGAACTTTACTTTCAGGTGTTGCGTGGAAACTCACGCTTGATCGTGACTTTCGCAGTAGGCAATTGTCTTCTCTCCATGCCGCCTGTTAGTAAGGATCCAGCAGATGCTTGCCATGTCCCACTCTTCGTCCTTTTTTTCTTTCAAAATCTTAATCCACATGTCGGGAATAGCCATGGCTAATCTGTAGTCGAAGCCAACACCACCGAGGGATAGGGGTAGGCAGAGAGCAGGCATGCCAGAAACGTCCTCTGCTATCGTAATACATTCAGGGTACAGGTCATGTAGCATTTCGTTTGCGACCATCAAGTACACTACCGCTTCTTCATCAACTTCAGGACCGAAGTACTCGTGGTAACCCCCGGAAAATCCCCTATAGATATTAGTCTTCTGCTTTCCAGGCACACAATGGTTTACTTACGCCCCAATTCCATGATGATGGTAGAGCATACTCGTTACACCATCGAAACGGAAGCCATCGAAATGATATTCATCCATCCAGAACCTTAGGTTACTGAGGAGGAATCTCATGACTTCATAGCTCCCATAGTTGAACAATCTGCTGTCCCACTGATCGTGTCGACCTCTACCGCCCTCGTGGAAGTACAGGTTATCTGTACCGTCAAATTCATTGAGGCCGTCGAGCACGTTTTTAGACGCGTGGCTGTGTACAACGTCCAGCAGAACAACAAGCCCCATGCTATGTGCGGTGTCAATTAGTTCCTTGAGATCTTCGGGTGTGCCATAACGGCTGCTGGCGGCGAAGAAGTTGTTCACTTGATATCCGAAACTGGCGTAGTATGCGTGCTCCATGATAGCCATAAGCTGAATTACATTGTAGCCCAAGCTTTTTATCCGTGGTAGCATATCCTTGGTGAACTCCTTGAATGTCGTGACTCGCAACTCAGGGGACGAAATACCGACATGAGCTTCGTACACGCGAGCACTCAGGGGCTTCTTCGGTCTTGGGTGCTTAAAAGTATACCTCTCGTTCTCGGGAGGATTCCAAAACCGGGCATCATAGGCGGGTGATACTTTCAAATCCTGGGTGACGTATTTGATCCAGGCAGGTAGTCGATCGATCCGAACACCTGCTTTGGTCTCCATAGAGATCTAGGCACTTTCGATCAGCACTGAACTAGGTGATAATTCGGAGCGCTGGTACAATGATTACCTTGATCTTTGAGTTATGAGGAATGGCAGGTTGCCCATCTATCGCGGGTAATGTTATCTCCCAGACACCAAACTCGCTCTTCTTCATGGGATGGGCTTTGATATTCCAGTCATCTGTCCTCCCAGTCAGCCTAGTCCTACATCTAGAAAGAGTATGGGCAGATGCTAACTGAAATCTCCAACGAGAGAGGCCTCTATGACATTCGGCGCCCATTCACGATAGATAATGTTGTTGTCCTTGTCCACATTGAAGCCGAATGTCTCAGCACCCTAGTCACGAGGCCTTGGTTAATGAATACTCTTGGAGTAAGATCTAACGCGGGACTGACCCTTGAGAACTTCTCAACACCCCCTTCCAGCTCGGCGAGTTTCTTAATCCATTCTTGAGCTTTTGCATATCTCCTCTTCAGTGCATCTTGGAAGGGTGATAGGTAAGGGTCAAGCTTTGTGACACCTACAGCAGCGCCGTCAGTTCGGTTTCCTCGAATAACGTGTGAGCCTGACGCGTAGAAACGTACCAGTCCCGTCATTTGGCAGCCCTGCACCAGGGCCTGAGAGCAAGGTGTTGGAGGATTGCTCTGCTATGTCGGCCATGTTGATGACTGGATTCCCAATTGCTACGCGTGGTTCTGGTATATTTGGCGGGAAAATAGTACGACAATGCAAGGCAAAGCAAGGCCCAAATAACTGAGCCGAGCTGTTTTGACCGAGACACTGTTATCCCAATAGAGAGAAATGGAGTCTCCGAGCTAGGGTAGGTAGATAGGTAGCTAGCAAGAGCAAGAGCAAGCTTGGAACTCGATCTATTTAGTTTATAGCGGGGCTTTCTCAGATATGGGCCGTTTTGGCTCAGGACGGAAGAATTACGATGGAAAGTGAGGGGATAGATGACTCTCTCTATTATTGCTCAGTCTTTATAGATCAATCTAGCTGAATGTTCCTGAATCATAGCGTTGTAGATTTCCTGTCGCTGTTTTAAGATGAGGGGAGGTCTGTAGCTCTCGGTTGGACGAGAATGCTGGATGACGTCGTGGAGAGACAAGCTCATTATCGTCTAGGTAGGTAGGTAGTAGGTAGTTCCACCACTATGTCTGCAATACATGTACCCCTGTATAATCTAGGTATCTGTTTGATTAGGTACTACGTAAGTAAACCAGCTCTTCTAATTCGCAAGATTATGAAACGGCATGTCTTGCTTCATGAATACTCCATGATGACGATGGATATGTAGGTGATGATTTACATTTTGACTGAATTGTAGAATGATAAGATATATTTCTGTCACATTATCACATGGCTATGCAAGTGAGCAGACCTGGAGCTTTGGTCACTCCTGGATCCAAACAGTACCTCAACGGGACTTGTCTCTTTATGGAACCCCCAAGCTGCCTCATACTAACCTGTCTTGGCTGGTACGGTACCTATCAGGTACTTAGAAGACTGTATGCAAAGCCCGGGAAATTTAGTTGGTGGTGGTACACTCTCTGTACTTCCTATTCCTGGCGGCTTCTTGCGGCTAAGGCCCCCCCCGCGTTCTAAGCCCCCGCAGCCATTGTAGCTTGCTTATCGCCTTCCGTTTCTACATGCAGCCAGCCATGGAGGCCGATCCAGGAGCTTGCTCGGATGCTCGCTACCAGCTCAGTAACAATAGCCTAGGTTGCCTGTCCTGCCTCCTCGAGTTGACCTTCGCGACCGAAAAACCACTCGCAAAGCTCCGACGATGATAGCCTTGTCTGTAGATTGATTGCTTGCTTTCAGATGTAGAAATCATGCTCCTAATCCGTCTTCCATAATCAATTACTCTCCTTAACCTTTCCGCCACTGCTCGACTCTATACTTCGAAGCGCTTATCTTCGTTACCAATCGCGCGAGGCTGTTGACCGTGAAAGCCCATTGCCACAGCATCAATCTTTATAGTCAGTTTTTTTCTAGCCGCCGTGATGCTCTCAAGCCTTGCACGGCATCGGGCTTCTCCCCTTGCAGTCGCCGACCCAAAAACTCGTTGCAGGCTGTTGTCAACCACCACCGTCCTACGAAGTGCCCCCATTCGAACCGCATCATTCAACTCAGGCTTCACGTCGAGCTATGATCCGAACGAAGAAGGTGGCTCCGGGCCTATGTTTAATAAGACGACTATCGGAGTGCCTCAGTTCTACCCACGGGATCTCAAGAAACGAGTCGACGAATACGTAGTGGGCCAAGACAGGGCGAAAAAGACTATCTCATCGGTTATTTTCAACCATTATCAAAACTTACGGCGGAGGCAATATCAGGAAGAGCAGGACCGTAAGAGGGATGAGAAACTCATGCGCCAGGCGGTTGCCCGCGACCGAAATATTCGAGAACGAGAACTTTACTCTGTCGAAGGTTGGTCTAGTTCCAGGTTTGCCGTGCACACGTTCAATACTAACAACCATGCCTAAGACAATTATCCAAGCCACCATGATTCGCTACAGACTATGCGACAGACGTGGGCACGCCCCGAACCAGACATTCCCGAGTTCTACATTCCCGAAGATATGAGCCGCCAAGCCCCAGTCAAGATCGACAAGAGTAATATTCTGTTGATAGGACCTACAGGTGTAGGCAAAACGTATATACTTGAGTACGTTTCGCCTTTACGCCTCTAATGACTTCAAGGGTAACACGCCGCTAACTACTGGTAGGACGCTGAGCAAAAAGATCAATGTTCCATTTACGATTTGTGATTGCAACTCATTGACACAGGCTGGTTATATTGGACAAGATGTTGAAACTTGCATCGAGCGATTGTTAATAGAGTCGAATTACGATGTGGAGGCTGCTGAACACGGCATAGTGGTCCTTGACGAGTTTGACAAAATCGCCAAGCGGGAGACTATGAATGGGAGAGATGTTGGAGGCGAAGGTGTGCAACAAGCACTGCTGAAAATGATTGAAGGGACCAAAGTAACCATCAACGTTAAGGACAACCGGTCGTCTTCCAGGTCAGCAAGCCCTATCACAACAAACTATACCGGTCCTGGGTCGTCTTCTTCCACCTCCGGACCACAAGCAGCCCCGCCATCATCAGGGAAAGTCGACCAATACACAGTCGACACCAGTAACATCCTCTTTGTAATGTGTGGCGCTTTTGTCGGTCTTGACAAGGTCATTCTGAACAGGGTATCAAAACCAACCATGGGATTCGGATCCGAACTACGCAACCGGTCATCGAGTGATAGCAACCAAGCTGATCTCCCGGCTAAGCTGTTTAGCCATGTTCCTCATCGTCCATCTAATTTGAAGGACACTACCGGGTTCACGGCTCTAGATCTGACTACTCCGGAGGACCTGCAAGCCTTCGGCTTCATTCCAGAGCTGATCGGACGTGTGCACAACATCGTAGCGCTATCGCCCCTCTCACGATCCGACCTCGTCCGAATCCTCACGGAGCCTCGCAACTCCCTAGTTGCGCAGTACACGGCGCTATTCGAGACGTACCCTTCGAAGCTCTTCTTCACGCAGAAGGCGCTGAACGCCATCGCCGAGCGCGCCGAGAAGGCTCGGACGGGCGCCCGCGGTCTGAAGATGGAGATGGAGCGCGTCCTCGCCGAGCCCATGTTCGACGCCCCCATGCCCTATGTCCTCGTCACGGAGAAGGCCGTCCGCGGCGAGGAAAAGGTCGGATATTGGGGCAAGGAAGGCCGCTTCGAGGTCCAGAGACGTATCCAGGAGGAGGACGGCTGGCCCGTGACGCCTCAGTCTCGGGACCGGGAACACGAGATTGTGAGCATTGAGCATTTCCGCGAGGTAGGGCAGAGCGGGGCTTAAGGATCTTCTCATCATATATTTATTCCCATTTTTCTCGCCGTGGCAAGGTTGCATGACATCCATTATCTATGTGCTTTTTGGGACATGGGGTTTCTCTTTCAAATCGGCGTTTATGGGCGCCAATGCTCTGGGGCATTGCATGGGGTATGCATTTACATAATGGCGTTCTGGAGAATTATTCTATATGCTTGGCATTATTGATATCAGTGGGGAAGGGAATCTGCTGTGTATGAGTTGGAGCATGTTATGTGTACATACCCATATCGATTGATGTGATAGCGATCTTGGAAGTCAAAGTTCGGGTGTTTGAGCTATATGTATACATCGAAATATGAATATTGTACTTACTGGACGCCTAGATGACGTGAAATGGGAATATATGCTATTTCAAATGAGTGGACTAGAAACATATACAGTACCAAGCAACTTGATATCATGGCTTACTTATCCACAATTCGTCATCGTCATCGATCATAAGCAGAATATGGAGAATGATGCTGAATGAACTGTATGAAATAACCTCTTCGTAGATATTTACAAAACTCGTCAGCACCTAGCCCGGGTTTATCCCGACCTTGGCTCTATTGCTCATGTTTATTCATTGGGGGGGTTTTTTTTTTGCATGAACCAAACTAGTCAGTCAGTCAACCAGCCACTTCGCTAACCCCGTTTTCTGTCCCCTACTCATCCTCGTTCCCTTCGTAGCCTACCGAACTCGGAGAATGTCGAACAGGCGATGATTAGAGAGGAATGGGGAGGATATAGTTATCCATAGGCATATAGCCCCGCGCCCAATCTAAGCTCAAGAGATTTGAATTTGTTGTATAAGAAACACGGGGCACATGTTTTTTGATTTAGCGTGAGGGATATTTGGTTTTTGAGGGACGTCTTTTTGTTTACTTTTTAAAAAATCTAATGAACAAAAGAGAACGGATGAAGTAGGTTCATAATAGCGTGGGGTATGTTCGGCATGATTACGACAGCGTGGCTAGTCCTGAATTTAGTGCTTGGGAGGTGACTGGATTTGGCCCTTGCCTGAGTAACCCTCGGACGAAATACCGGTGAGGGGTTCGGCGCGTTGGCTCTGTTTGCGAAGAGGGGAACGTTAGCATGTTGGCATCGTTCATTGAAAGAGCTGGAAGCAACGACGAGAAAGTTCATGATAGAGATAGAAGATCTTACCTTAAGGAATTCGTTAGTCTCCTCCTCGTATTCCCTGTTGATAGTCGAAGGAGCTGGGCCGGCGAAGGCGCGCATTGCGGTGAAGATGCCTAAGCTAACCAAGACACCGATAGCAGTGTATAGAGCAACCTTGCGGTTCTCGTCGGCAGGGGGCTGAGCACGGGGACCGTGAGCACCGAAGGCGATCCAGTAGGCTGTTGTGTGAGAAGAGTCAGTTGGGATTCTATGAATGATATTCGTACCTAGGTAGGTGTGATTCAGTTGGACTGCGGGCCCACTCGGACCAAAGGCATTGGAGGATACGACTACTGGCACTAGCTACCCCCAGGAAACCCAATTGACGTATGATAGCTTGCACGAAGCCTCTCAACTCGATTGAGGTGTTCAACGTCTCGGGGAAGACAAAAAATATGTGCCATGGTGTGTTGATACTAGCATACAAAAAGTCGTAGATGTCGTCACGTACCAGCCTTCTTCTCCTGCAGAGTCAACTCGGCCCAGTTTTCCTTCATACGGTCGCGCAGGGCCATCCAAACCTCGGCCTGCTCAGTCGGGGGCATGCCCTCCCACCTCTTCTCAATGTTGGCTAGAGTAGGGTTGGAGATGGCGTGGGTGGAGGCGGCAGCTCGGGGTACGACGGTGCGCACGCTGCTGGCCCGAACGCCAGCGCGCAGGAGGGAGGAGGCAGATGTGCGCATCATTGTGAGGTCGGGAGAGGAATTAATTGCTGTCGGAAAGGAGTGGAGATGGGTCCAATTGCAACAACCACGGGGAGGTGGGTGGTGGTATGGAATCGGCCTGGGCGTTGGCGATGAGGACGGCTGTGGTGTTTGGATGATGTTCAGTCAAATGGGAGAGAGTCTTTTTTCGTAGATACCAGAAGTAGAGACAGACACAAGAGGCGGCGGCCCCGTCCAGTCGCTGGGTCGTATGATGAGACCCACCTTGTAAATTGGAGGAGGTTGATTGGCCCAATGCCTCCACAGCTCCCTCAAGCTGACATCGGTGAAAGTTCGGACCAAGGTCGACGAACTGAACTGAATAGGTCAGCTAGCGGATGTGAGCCCGGGAGGCCGAGTCTGAAATGTTACCTACACAACAGAACTCTCTTTTCTGTTGATCATGTTCCCCTTCCAAGGTTGTATATGTCTATGAAGTCGAGGTGAACTGTCAAGTGACAAAAAAAAAAAAAAGCTAAAAAGGTGATTGTATATCGAAAGGTGACTCTAATTGAACGTCTCATCTAGTAATTGCTTCATCAATGGGTGGTCTATAGACTACAGGTATTCATTCAGAAGAAAGAGTTGAGCGTGCATGCCAATTGGGAAATTATATGACACCGAGCTCAATGATTGCTGTATATTGGCGGCTCTCAGTATCTGCAGTTCGATCTTTGCGTGGGCAAATGATTGCACTCGTGAAGGACTTGCGTTAGCGGATGGTTTGTTCACCTGAGATATAACGTTCGATAGGGAGGCCATAAAGCTTATGACCCATAACCACGAGACAGCAGACCTCCTAATTTAGTTGCAACTGAAGCTGGGATTTTCTTTGCGGAGGTAGCGTCAAAGTGGTCGAGTATCAGCGTTAGTTGGTAGCTACCCATAATGACCATTTGCGCTGATCATCAGATAGATAAGTGAGAGCTCTTTCACTTCGATGCTCCATTGCTAGAACCAGAGCTACCCTGTCGGCCACTCTGGGGTAACAATTCTGACTGTAAATCTGTTTTCTGGTGTTGCTCTTTGAGATCGGGCTGAAAGGCATAATATCCTTTTTGAAGTTTAGCATTCAGTTTGATATGATGATAGTAGTAGAGGCCGTACCATTCGCGATGCCAAACACGATGGCCAGCCCTAAGGGGACGTAGTTACGAGCAAAACTCATGGCAAAGGTAGCAAGGGATGATTGGGATTGAGACGTTGTCTTCTGTCTCTCGAGAGCCTATAGAGTTCAACAGAAAGAGAATGTATGAGTATCACTTTTCAGTGCTGAAGCTGAACACGATACCTAGGTAGGTAATGAGTTATGTCTCTGTAAGTCGCTACAAGTATCCTATCCACTGAATATCAAGGCTTATCGGGAGTTCACTGCATGGCAAGATATCTGCCTAAGCCTTTTAGGGCAGTACCCTGGTAGGCTAATAGCGGTCATGATCCATTAAAACTCCCCCACCTCTTTAGCTAAAGTAGAGACGCGTTCAAGTGCACACTCACGCGCCTTGTACAGCGTGCATTTCGACGTGCATTTCAAATCCAATAATAGCCAACAAATTCGGCCAGCATGACGGCATTTAGTCGATAATATCCGTACACAGAGATGCATCGTATTCTCAATGGCGAAATGGAAGGAGCTTGGCGAGGTGCCAGATTCGGACGACGAAAGCACCTGGGATAGCCAAGAATCCCTCTCGGGCCCTACAGATACTGCAGATGATGCCGGTCCCCTACATATTGCAGCTGACGTGGAGAGTCAAGCTATATGGGATGTCCCGTTTTCTTCACAGATTTCAGCCGAGGAGAACCATTCACTTCCCACCCAGATACAGCAGCAGGAACCTCAGCCTCGGTCGTTAGGATTGTCCAAGCACGACACTCTGCCCGAATTGTCACCTGTATCTTCCCTCCCCGAGGAAGACCGCAGCAATGGAAATAATGCCCCGTCCACCGATCCCGCTGGCCAACACCAGACTAGAAGCGAAGGGCCACCGTCTTCGCTGCCATCTCTCGAACGGTTTGCAACAGAGGCGTTCGAACTTGAAGACGTACCAACCGTCCAAGAAAGCGAGGCAATGAGCAAGGAGAATAGCCGATTGGGACGGTCGCTGCGGCCGAGAAAGCCAATCCAAGAACATCCCTACCTGCTCGAAAGTGTTCAGTACAGTAAGACGTGGAAGTCTCACGGTTTACGGCCTGTGAGGGTATTGGCTGAGGAACAAGAGAAGAGGAGACAAGAGGAGGACTCTCAGGAACAAGAATTCGAAGATGATAGTCAGGTCACCAACAATGAAACCCTTCGGGAGGAGTCAGGAGAATCGCAGGTAGTTGGACATTTGGATAGTCTCCCTGAGCTGAACGACGCATCACTATCAGATGACGGAGAGCCGTCTCCTACCCCCGAGCCGCCGGCTCATAGGCCCGAACAGAGTCCTCTCAGTTCACAGGAAGATGACGAGCTTCCTGATCCGAATGATATTGAGAAGTGGAAAATAAGCAAGACCACCCGTCCTGTTCGCAAACGACGAGCCTCACCTAAAGCATCCTCAAAACGGAAACTTTCCAGATCTGAACATGACCCTGGCGAGGCTGTTAAGCACACTCCAATACTACCAGATCTTGACGACATTTTTGATATTCCTGTGTCTCCGCCTCAAACAAGCCCTGCTGTGCTTACAGTTACTCCTATGGCTGTTGTCAATAGACTCGGGGGTGTATCTATGGCCACACTGACTCCCAAGCCAAGTAGTAACGTATCTTCCCGGATACACAGTCCGGCGCCCGCTAATCAGCGAAGTGAACTTATCGACTTGACGATGCTAGAGAACGGGGATAGTGAGGGCGGCAGTGACAGCGACAGTGATGTGGCTGGTTCGCCAACGGCTCCTGAAAATGAGCCTGATCAGGTACGCCTCGGAGCAAAACGGATACGTGGAGTTCTGCCGGCGTCATGGCTCCGACTCGACCAACAGGCTTCCGCACGCAAGGTCAAAGCAATTATTCGGCATCGCAGCCCTGATTTATCACCCGATCCTTCTACTAGAAAAGGGGTAGCACAGCGCAAGATGACGTTAACCCAGTCAGGAAGAAGTTTAGCTCTGTTCCTATCTGATGACTCCGATGACTCAGACTCAACTGTACGGCCTCCGGCGGCCAACATGTCTTTTCCTGATATCAACACCCCGACTACCGAAGACGATGCAGCCTCCATCATTGAAGAGGATCAGATTGATCATATGATTTCACGCAGCAAAACGACAAGCGCTGGCTCAAGCGTGCTTCAAAAGAAGCGAAAAAGAGACCAGCAGTCAATATTCAATGGCCAACCTGGCCAGAGGAAGCGTCAACAGCGGATTACAGGAATTCTCAATCGCACTAAGTCGGGTTCTTATACCCAACGTAGCCGCGAGAAATCGACAGAAGGCAGCATGGGACCTCGCCAGATGAAGTCACGGAACAGTGGCAAGAGGAAGCAACCGATTTCTCGGCCGGCACCGCTAGGTATCCTGGATGTTGTAGAGTCAGATGCCCCTTCTTTCATTCGTATCGCTGCTCGTACAGCTAGTAAGAGGCGAGATAAAGGCCGTTCAAGTCCGTCAAAGAAGATAATCATGCTTGGAACTCGCCAGGACACTATTGACGCAGTGGAGGTGTTGAATCGCTGGAAAGAAGGGCAAATTCACCCCAGGAACTCTACGTTTTCTTCTCGTCCACAGCCTCGACATGACACGGCTCTCAACATGAAAATTCAAGAACAACTCGGTCAGAATCCGACCCCTCGAATAAAGCTAGTCAAGCCCGTAAAACCCTCAACTCGCTTTTCTCAGCCTCGCCGGATGGTCAAGCAGACAAGCATGGATAATTTTGTGGATGTCGGAGGACAAGATCAATCTAAGCCAAGCCTGAATGCGGACAATTTCTTGATTGAAATGTCTAGGTCCCGTGATCCTTTTTGTCGGCCCGCCCAACTCGAGATGCCTGGTGATTCTGTCAACAGTAATACGTTTAATGCTCGAAAAAAGGCGCTGGACGCAATATATCGAAAATCACGCAAAACACTACCTACTCCTCGAAATCTACACCTCGAGCATTCAATCAGCAGACAGGTACTAGAGCACAACGAACCACTCGACACTATATCCCCTCAGTTACCAGAGAGCAATAGTGCTTGTGAGCCGCAAGGGAATGAAAGGAGGACTAGGCATAGGAAAAAAAATCGCCCACAGTCTGTAGATGTTTCCGCCCCTCAGTACACGCATGCCAACGACCCTTTGCCGCGCGAGCTCAGTCCTCCCACAGTGGTTTCTGATTCTTCAAAGAATGAAGTAACTGGAAAGCTACTTGGGCTAGCTCCATATGGTACACATTATACGCAACACTTCGAGGTATTCCCTCTAGACCGTGGTGTATTCTTCCACGAAAGTACAATCATTGGCGGAGGCCGACTGAAAGAATCTCTAGATGAAAAATTGCTGGGTAACCTACACCATCATCGAGGCTGGTGCACTTTTACTATTGATGAACAAACTCTCCGTTGGGGTCCGTGGAACGCCCAAACAGCTTCAGAGCTTGGCATCATTTTTGACTGGGTGATAGATCGGTTGGATGACAATTCATCTAATGATTCCGAGCTAGGAGCTGCAACGCCCGTGCAAGCTACCGACTTTGTCCTGCTATATGTTCAGAATCATTTATCCTTTACCGGATCTGACAGCTTGGATATCTTTGCTAGCCGATTAGTTGATGTTTTGAAAGGCTTTGAGCGTCGATTTCAAGAGACTTTAAGTGTTTCCAAGCATGCCACACAATCTTGCATCGAGACTCTCACGCGCGTCTTGGTCATTATAATGCATGTTCTACGCCTATGTCAGAAGTTTGAAATAGCCGCAGAAACTTTTCAGATGGAGGAGTTATTGAAGCGATTTGCTGCAACCACAGCCGGGGTTCTCTGTCAAACACAACTTAAAGAAGTTCAAGATATGTACAGTCGGCTACAGCACATGTCCTTCCGAGAAAAGGGACTCCGGAACGAAGAGTACTCCGTGATATGTTGGGTGACATTGATTCGAATTCTCGAGGAAGCTCGTTTGCCGCGTGCTGGTTTCTGGGCGGTGATATCCTCAGCAATCTTGAGCCCTAATACCGACAGCACTGTTGAGGCGACCGTTCTTGAACAAGCTTGGCGGTCTATGTTTACACTTCTTCCTTTAGGCGAATTTGACAACACAGGGGTTGCTATCCCTGGAACGCGACATAGGACACCATTGGAAGGGTGGACAATCCCTCAACGACTATTGCGGCGCATTTTTCAGCTATATCGGAACAACAGCCGGCAATCACCTAGTTTTAACGACTACCTTCGTGCTATCGTGAGTCGCTGTCACTACCTAGTAGAGCAGTGGGGGTGGGATAAGTGCAATGTGATCCTAGGAACGATCTTCGATTTTTTCGCCGCTCTAGAATTTCACAACCTACGAAATGAGGAGGTATACCAATCCCCACAGTTTCTCGAAGAGCTTTCGGAGGCACCATCACTTGCGACGTCACCAGAGGATCGATGTTTCCACATTTACCTAAAATTGATCGCAATGTCTATCAAGCGGCTTACAAAATCCGGATCAGTCAAGGAGATTAGGAATCTGGTCGCTCGCCTCCTACCTAATCATAGCCGGCAATATGACAAAATGATGGCTACGTATGAGGCTGAGATAGCTGCGCTTCGAAATCATCATGATCTTCTTTGCACCCTTTTCTGGGCTGCCCCCTCCGAATTGAGGCCATCTGTTCAGAGTATCGAAGGGCTTGTAGCGATAAGAAATTCTCACAAAGAGGCTTGTTTGATTAATCTGCGTGCCTGGAGCCGGCTATCACGATTTGTTGTTTCATCCAGCGAAGATATAGCTGTATACAAGCCCCTAGCCGATTGGCAAAGGAATATATCCCTACAAGTGCTTGAGCAATTTCTTTCCGTCGAAAGTGAAGTTAATCAACAACTTCTGGGCATGTCGGCAGAAGCATCTGGAAAAATCACGGAGGAGCACAGGAATGCCGTCATCAGTAAGAATAAAAGGGTTGCTATGGACTTGCTTCACTTCTCGATGAAAGCATTCCTAGACACTATGCGTCACACTCGGACTCTTGGTGCTGCTTCTTTCGTGTTAAATCACTGTAAGTTATTTCTGCGCTTTCATGACGTTGCTGACCAGGTAACTAGATCCACTCGAACAAATACTCACTCGGCTCTCGTTCTCGATGGCGGACTCGGATTGGGGCATTTTGCGCGTCGCCATCAACATCATTGACTACTTCCTCACTCGAATTGATGGGTTTAAGAGTGCAGAACCTCTTCACGTTGGCCAGTCCTGGCACGAAGAAGATGCGATCATGGTAAGCTAAGCTGATATAGTCTTGAAAAGAAAGTGTCTGATTGGCTCTAGCTACTTGAACGGAAAATTTCTTCGCCTCTCATATCTATTGTTCGGGATGTGGTCAACTTGAAGTCTCCGGACACAGATGTGGGTCGAGTCGGTGACCGTTATGCTTGCGTTGAAGAAGCTGTGACTCTTGCTGGTCGGTTGGGCGCATGCTTGATCCAAGCTCGACTTGCTGTTAGTTTTTCATCCTGGTTATTATAAATATTGATGACTGACCTCAGTAGCGCTTCCGCCAGTTTTTCCAAGCAGGAAAATATAACCTCTTTCCAGATATCTCGAAGGCCGCTGTTTCGAAATCTCGGAAATATATCCCTCTTTTCCTAGCTGCGGTGGCCGATAGAGGGTTTACTGACTTTAAGGTGAGCGAGCTGCTTCAAAAAATTGAAGAGTCATAGCTAATCACACATCAGGACATCGGGCTTACGCCTTTGGACTTATTTCTGGTAGAAATAACGAAGCCGCTGAATTACTTAGCTTACGAGAATCGACTAGCCACAAGCTTCAAACAACTTGATGAAACATTTTTGAAGGCTGCCATCATTGAGGTTGGAAATACGCCCGACTACAACTCCAACGGAGATTTGTTCAACTGTGAGATGCTTATTATCCTGTTAACTGGCGCTCTGCTTACCAAGTTATAGACACCGTTGTTTCTATGCGAAATACCTTGCTTCAGGCAGATGCGGAGCAAAAGCCGCGTCTACAGAGCATGTTCTCCAAAGCCTTGCGCTGTACAATGGATCGGATGAGGGCTGACCTGAAATCGATGACGTTAAATTCACTTGAGCATTTGAATTACGTGAAGTTCGTGCGGTTGATCATCAGCGTCATTCGATCACAGGATCTCTGTCCAGTGGATTCCTTCTATTACCAAATCAGCCCAGAATACTCTCCTTCAAGAGAGGATCCGCGGCTCCAGACAGCAGGAATATTGTCTTGGGGACTCAAGCTTGAAGAAGGAGAGTCCAAGGCAATGTCAGGTTTGTTCTACCTGCTGTTTCCAAGTTTCAAGATTGCTCTGGCGAATGGAGAACTAGCGAATGAAATTATTATCTTAAAAGAGAGTATGAAACACAGGCGTGTGTTTGACTTCATGCTAAGCACAATGCTCCCTGCTATTATCAGGACGGCCACTCAAGTATGTGAGGGCTGGATTCTTCTGGAAACATACATCGATGCCATAGATGCTCGGCTCTCAATAGGCTGTATTCATCAGGTCATCGGTGGAGACTTGATGAAGGACATCCTGGCACTACACAAGATGGTTTTGGCAGGCGCTGAGAGTGTCCAAATGAGGGCATCTCCCATATTTCGATATGGAGATATTATATCCTTGGCAGCAATGATGAGGATTCTCAACATTTTGTCTCCGTCCGTCACAGCATATATTATCAATGAGTCAGAATCTTCGATCGCGAAGGAATTTCCGCATATCATTAGTGAGGTCACTGAATTCACGCGCGCAGCAGGCGCATATTTATCAGAGCTTGTTGAGAAGAGTGGCGGGAAAACAGTCAGTATACCTGAGGTCAGCCGTCTCTTTGAGGGACTAGGGATCGTCGGACCTGAAACCACACTGCGATACGGCGAGTATGTCGACCGATTTTCTAGTCACATGATCCAAGACATCCGTAACAACTGGATATCAAGCGAGGCTTCAATCACAATCAAGGCACCATCGAGGTCTCAAAGACCGTCGACGACTCAGTCAGGACAAGGAACACCACTTGCCAAATGGAAGCAAAGCGAGCTTCTGCAAGTTTTGTGGGAGCAAATGAGGACGTGGAACCACGCCCATGACATGATAACGAACACAGCATCACATGGAGCGTTGATTGATGAGATTTTGTTTTAGCTGCATATGGGAGCATGGCGTTATTGGTACCGGCGAGCATAGGCTGATCAAGGGGCATTTGGACACTGAGCGGGCATACTGGTTTGGCGCTGGTAAAAGTCATGTATATATATGTCGTTCGGAGATTCGACGTGGCTGCAGTTGTTTCAGGATGTCTATAGTTGCTATCCCGTACCAATATAGCTGTCTATACTACCTAGGTGCTTACGCAAGCTCAGATTTGTACACTTGATGTATACTAGTTAGCAGTGTCCCATATTGAGGACCGCATAAAAGGAATCTTCCATTTGGGATTGATAGATTTGCTGGGTTTGCATTTATATGCAACTATTTGGTAACGCATGCAAGGCAGAGTTGATAAGTAGTTTAATAACCAACTACACCGATGATGTGAGCGTCAAATGCCAACCAAGCAGAAACATTTGGACATGTAGATAAGAATGGAAATGGACTATCATCTGAATGACTTGGTCATATTTGCATCACAAGACAACTGACCTGCCCCCTACCTACTGATATACGAGTGGGGGTCTGCCTCTGCACGACGGCCTTCGTTTCTTGCCCTGTCTAGCGTTGGGCAGGCCATTGCTATATCGGGTTTTAGTTCGCAGGCAGGTCTTCTCGGCAACCTTGTTGTCGGATGGTGTCTGCTTATAATGGAGTAGATAAATTAACAAAAATCAGCGTCAATTTAGATTTTAAGGCAAGTTAAGAAGTTAGTATAGACCGCACACCTGCCTAAACGGCGTCCAGCCCGTAAGAGACTTGTTTACTTAGGTACCTAAGTACTTGAATGTTGTTGCTGCTTGATCGGGATGGTAATATCAACAGTAACACCACACCAATAACGAGGCATTTCATAAATTGTCAGTTGTAATTTATTTTTGCACGTAGTTACAGATACATGCAGAAAGACATGTGAATTAGTTAATGCAAATAAATACCTAGTTACACTACCGGTAGTATGTACTCCGTAGGTACCACCTAATAAGGTGGAGTGGGGCACGCCGCGCGCTTAGACCAGACAAAAGCTCTTTATAATTTTTAAATAGACGGACGGACATCGCGACAGCACTTGTCGGAAAGCCATGCCGTTGCACGCTCAATTCGAGCGCCAACCCTCCGAATGAGTAACCAGTGGATTCGTGCCTTTCGGTATGCGGCACAGAATTCTCGACAAGCATGTCCGGCCACCCGATCAACACGGTCCTTCCACTCAACCGTCTCTAGCCGCGCTTCCAACGACGCGCCACGAGACGACGGCCCCAAGCCTGAGAACAAGCCTGAGAGCAAGTCTGAGAACGAGGCCGGCCAAGTCCAGCCCGAGGCCGTCGACCAAAAGTTTCTTGGCCAGAATCCAACGGCGACAAATGGAGAGAGCCAGGTGCGCAAGAGGCCTACCAGCGGTCTAAAATCACGAGTGTCGCGCAATCGAAAGTCCGACCTGCCTCCTGTCCAAATACCCAAGTCCTTTCTCGATGTGGCTGTAGATCGCCACGGCGCATTAAATACTATTGCTACAATTGGCTCAGCCGAGCGATATAACGGTACTGGAGAAGATGCTAGTGACCGCAAGCGAGAGCTGGCAGTTGACAAACTTTTGAGGGCTAACGTTTATTTTGATACCTTCTCCTGGTCCGATGCGGATGTGGAAAAGGCCATTCAAACCCTGAAGTGGAACATCGACTTTGGATGGATTGCTAGGAGGCTAGAAGCGCTAGGCGTATTTGCTACTTGGGCTGCGGTAAGTCGGATCGCGGATTTATGTCAGGACGGGGACGACATCGACCATCGAACGCAAGAAGCAGTCTTTTCAACGCCGCAGCCGTCAAAAGAATCTCGATATTGGGTGTCAGCGCTTCTGGAGCAGAGAACGAGTGATGACCACAAGCCACTTATCTACAGGAGACCGTTTGCAAAACTACTACTACAGCACATAACTAAGCGTGGTAGTATTATACTAAATAGAGTCGCGTTATACGAACCATGCATGGTCGATGAGGTCATCACGGCGCTTAGAGCCGCATTTCTCATCCGGGCACCTAGAAATACCAGACTTGCAAATATCTGCCGGCCTGTCACCATCATCAATGTGCGTGACTGCTCGGGGTTTTCTGTGGCTCAAGACACCTTGCAATACGCTGCTCAAATGTTAGGCGCTGATGTGCTCCACCTGCATGCTCATGATATTGCCTATATTGTGGGACGCTACATTGGGCAGGATATCACTAGGACCGCCGGTGATATCTCTTTGCTCGGCTATAGGGCGGCGGAGAACAGTGGACGATTAAAACCTTACCCTGGCCTCGAAGAGGAGAATGAGGAGGCCGAGACACTTGACTCAGATAACGACAATCTAGAAACAGAAAAGGATAAGAAACGACAGACATCAACCATAGTTGAATACCTGCAGAACTCTGCCACTCGCGGAAAGAGTGAAGAGCTATGGGAGGACATGAAGATAAATGCAGCTCTAGATGAGCTCATTCATTCGGCAGATGTAGACATGGCTGATCAGACGTCCGACCAAAAGCCGCTCATCATTCACATTAACGATTTTAATGCTCTCAACATGGATGAAACCGGGGCTAATATTATAACCAAGATAAGAAAAGTTGTGGATGAAATGTGGTTGTCGGGCCGGAAGGTGGCGCTTGTCGGCTCATGCTCGACTAAGGACGCGCCAGAATCCTATCTAACGGCAATGAAGGGTCTAGAAATAGGCGACCGTGTTATCCATATAAACAGCCTGCGCTCTACCGATTCTCGAGTCCGTGCAAGCACTGGACCTGAGTTGGCACTATGGGAGAAGCAAGACTATCTCCGCGAGAACGACGAGAATATCGTCAGGACGTTATGGTCATTAACAGAGTCGAGTGACTTTACTTTGACACACTCGAAGAGAAGACTGGGACTAGACAGATATGCTGAATCTGATAGGACATCAGCCACGGGAGAGCCGGTTACGAATTATTCGCATGGCGTTTTACCCATATCGGAGATTTATCGAATCGCGACAACCATGATCAGTATGAGTTCAACACTTGGCGTTGATTTGCTGAGTTTAGATTGTTTCGAGGTTGCATTCACCAGTGTGTCAGTCGCCGACACCGCCAGGGAGAGGACGACGACAAGCTCAAAAGCATCCATAAACTCCAAGAAAGACCCCATAGACATTGCTGCGGGATTGCGGAAGATGAACCCTTTTGCGGACAATCAAGAGGAGAAGCTGATGTCCGGCTTGGTGAAGGCACAAGATATACGTACAACTTTCAAAGACATACATGCTCCTCAAGAGACCATTGAGTCGATCAAGATGCTCACGACACTGTCGCTCATCCGTCCTGAGGCTTTCTCATACGGCGTTCTAGCAAGCGATCGAATCCCCGGCTGCCTCTTGTATGGTCCGCCCGGCACCGGCAAGACATTACTAGCAAAAGCGGTAGCTAAAGAAAGTGGAGCAAACATGATCGAGGTTAGCGGCGCTTCCATTAATAACATGTACGTCGGTGAAAGCGAAAAGAACGTGCGCGCGCTCTTCAGGCTTGCCAAGAAGAAAGAGCCTATGGTCATCTTCATCGATGAAGCAGATGCCTTGCTCGGGGCCCGCGGCGGGCACCAGAGCGGAAATAGAAGAGAGACAATCAACCAATTTCTCCGTGAGTGGGACGGGATGGACAAGATGAAGGCTTTCATCATGGTTGCTACGAACCGACCGTTTGACCTAGATGAGGCGGTTCTCCGGCGCCTGCCCCGTAAGTTATTAATTGATCTACCCCTCGAGGCGGACCGAGCGGCCATCCTGCGGATTCACCTCAAGGACGAGGCCATGGACGAGACGGTGTCGATCGAAGACATGGCCAAACGCACACCTCTATACTCGGGCTCAGACCTCAAGAATGTCTGCGTGGCAGCTGCCATGGCCGCTGTCAAGGAAGAGCTCGAGGCATCTGAGCGACACACGGGCCCCGAGCCCTACAAGTGGGCAGAGAAGCGGGTGCTCAACCGCCGCCACTTCGATCAGGGGCTCAAGGAGATTGGCGCCAGTGTCTCAGAGGATATGGCGACGCTCTCGGCTATTAGGAAGTTCGACGAGCGGTATGGCGATAGCAAGGCGCGCAAGAAGCGGAAAGGAATGGGTTTCGAGGTCGTCCCTGAAGCACGTGACTCGGAGCAGGCGCGTGTTCGACGTGGGCGGTAAGATCTTAATACCTGCCTGTCTACCTACTATACTCACCTACTAGCCATATATGTATGATATAACGGAATTGCATTTGTTAGGTCGGCTTCCGCAGTCTAGCTGTGTATGAAACTACCTACCTAGTACTCAGGAAAATCAATATATGGACGAGCGAATACTTGTTTCGCAGCCGGATGGTCAGGTCGGCTGCAGGGTCTATTCATCATTGGAGTATTTTGCCTGTCATGCATAGAGGAATATAGCCATCTTGATAATTGAAAGTGAGTTAGATTCTCAGATCATCTATACTCGAATGTTTGGGCATTTCGCTGTTTCAAGGGACTTGCTTGCTTCTATCCGCCGTATTTCATTCTTCATACCTATGACTACCTCGCTGAGACATCTGTCTCAATTGGGATGCCGGTGACAGATACATGTACCTACCACTGGTTTCTCCTGTTCATCCTGAGATTATGAACACGCGGCTTCCAACATCAGCCTCGCTTATTGCATTCGTGACTGCCTTGTGGTTGGGTAGGCAGGTAGGCAAAGCTAAGATTCTTCTGTTTTTGGCCTCAGTGAGCAAACCTTCCCCTCCTCTGCCCTCCCATACAAATAGGGGGACAAGTGGCGTTCGCAGCCTGCCTACGCGTCGCGCCTCAGCAACGCAACCGTCCAATGGTGTACAGAACATCTTCCACCCTATTTCTCAATGTACCGCCGACTCTCGCCGCTTTAACAGCTCTCCTCTGCTCCTCGCGGAGAGAAATACCCAGCTGATCCCCTTCCCATCATCAGAGCTTCCAACAGCACAGCACGCTCCTCTCTGACAGCACCGTCCACACACAATCTTCGTTCTACCCAATCACACACGCGCTTTCATTCCCTTGCCGCTTCAACGACTGCCTTTGCCAAGATGTCCGAGTACTTCGCCAACCTCGACTTCGACGCCCTCTTGGCCCCCAATGAAGACGCCTTTGACTTCAACTTACTTGACCTCCCGCCCCTGATTGGCCAGAATGATGCCGCTGCTTGCCAGGACCATGCGATTTATGACTTCGATCCTGCCATTGACCTAGGCGTTGGCCCTAGTCTCGACTTCGATTTCAATGCCGGCTTCCACCCTGACCCCTCACTGCCGCTGCTGCCTGACGCCACTGCTATGGCTGGCCAATCGTGAGAGCTTTTTTTTTTAGCTCTTGCTAACAAAAAGGGTGTTCAGTCTCTCAATGTGCATGACAATGTAAGTTTCCCACTCCACAGAAAGTGGATATACCTAATCTATGAGATCTCATAGTACTACTCAAATTCCCTCTCCGTCAAATCAGGGACTTGATACTAGTGTAGTAGAACGACCTAGGGTAGTGTGTGAAATTTGTCACAAATCATTCTTCTTCGATTCTCAGCTTCATATAGTTACAGGCCATCAAAATGCGAAAAGAACTTGTGGCCTTATAGGCTGCAAGAGCAGCTTCGACTCGTGTACAGGGCTTCGCAAACACCGAAAGTTACCACATTCGCCAAGTCACCATCCATCTTGGGATGATTCTGCCATTGCATGCGCCGAATGTAATGAGACTTTTAAGTACGAAACCGGCTTGATAAAACATGGAAAAGATCAGAAACACAGTCCATATGCATGTTCTTGTGGAGCCAAGTTTGCCCGAATTGATGCACTCGGCCGCCACATCAAGAGCTTCCTCAAGGAAAGTGCCCAATATCATTGTCCTTTCTGTAAGCGCTATCGCGGCAAGCAAGCTTTCCGCCGGAAGGACCACCTCGTTCAGCACCTTAAAGGCTACCACAAGACGGATTCAGAGGAAATAGACAACATTGCGCCCCTGGAACGTCGATCTGAGAGCCGCCAGCTCCTGAGTTGCCCGTATAACGATTGCGCGGCGTACCGAGATGACTCCTTCAGGGCCCTGCCATGGAAAGAGCAGTTCGAAGGAAGACCGTTCCAAAAACAATCCGAGTACAATGAACATATGAGAAAAGTGCATGGAGACAGCGCATTTCCCTGCCCTGTTGACGGCTGTGACCGAGTTGGCACTAAAGGGTACATGCGTGAGAAAGATTTGATCAAACACCTTGCCAAGATGCACCCCGGTGCACCGAGTTATGTCTATGTGGCCCCAGAGCCCTCTGAGTACGACTGTGTGGGATGTGGTAAGAAGCTTTCCAGCCTAGATATCCTTGAGTGGCATGAGGCACACGTTTGTAAGGTCCTTCGAGACCAGTGACTACAGGGTTCTACTACTGCTATTACCAAATAATTGAAGGCAGGGAGTCTTGTAGGTATATGCGCACATTAGATGTGTAATTGTCATGAGCTAACCTGGGCATAGGACTTCTTAAAGGACATAGGTTTTGTTCTATGAGCTCTGAATAGTGCCGGGGATTCGTGGAAACATATACCATGCTGACATAGGTCAACCGTGAAGGTGGGTCCTCGGGTAACGGAAAATTACTATTTTATGCTGCTTGTTGGTTCAGATCCGCGTTGCAAGATCGCCAACGAGGTGACCGTTTGAGGTCAAACACCCGACTTATGTAGCTCTATTGTCATTCATTCAAATATGTCAGGGCAAGGACTACGTTGTTTGTTTCTTAACTTCAGTGAATTACTTCGACGCTCATTTCATAAATGGAAGGATCGGTCTCACAATCGCCTCTAGGCTCTTGACCAGTGATGTCTTATAACTCGTAGCATTACCCGATCCCTGATTGAGATCATGCTACTTATCAAATGACATTATTCTCCCTCTGGTGAATTTATACATGCTAGCAAACAAAGTGCCGTATGATCATAGGTATTCCAAGAAACCATTATGAAAGTGTAGGCAACTACATCCACCTGAATGGAACCCCGCTTCCTTAGTTATTTCGTCTGAAGCACTACAGTCGCGTGAAGCTATCACCAACCTTACCGTTACTGAACCTCCCTAAGTACCTCGAGCCACCTTAACGTTAACAGACAGAAGCAGCCACGCGAGTGTCTTGGTGATGCAGAAGAGAACGTAAACATTGTACAAAATTGGCTAGTGGTGTATGGCTTGAAATTGACACTATTACAACACAACAGTTTTCTACAGCTACCAAGTCCAGGTAATATTCTTCAGATCACTCACTTCAGACGTAGAGAGTTGGCCTGGTCCTAAATAAAATTGACCAGACCTTATTGTCTTCTTCTATAGCTTGCTGATATACAGCATATAAGCGAGATCTGATATCCAAACGCAATGGTGATAAAGGGTGGGGATGGGAGGAAAGAAGGCAAGAAAGAAAAGAATATTGGCCACCGAGGGGATCGAACCCCCGGGACCTAACGATGCGGAGTAAGCATATAGAGTAAGGATGTAAAGTAAGGATGCAGCGCTATCCGCTAGGTAAAGATACAGTGAGAGGTGCTTCGCTAGGCCGTACCAACGCGGCCAATGGCCCGGAGATCTAATTAGGAATATATCCTGCTGTGTTTGGGGGCAATGGGCTGGTATAAGGTTGGTGGTGTAAACCTTGTTTTGGGTCAGCCTGGCTTGCGCTGATGCTGGCCGTAGGGGGCCGGGGAGATTCTAGTTCCCAGGCGAGCGTTGCACAAGGATCGTGAACGTCAGAAATGGCATCTTTTCCAAATTCACTCTCTTAGCTTGTGTTAAAGAAGTAAATGCTATACGCCGACTTCGTCTCTCGGTATCAGTGTAAGTGTGTTGATGCCTACCAACGCGGGCAGGTAGACTGCGCACAGGGTATTCAGCGTGCGTAGAACATAGTCCCAGGTGACAGGACTCCTTGTTATACTCCAAGTCATGTGGGTAACTTAGCTCTGGCCTAGATGCTCGCAAACGTGACTTTAACCAAACCAGAGCAAGCCTCCACATCGCTTTCAGGGGCCCCCTTTTCCGTCAAGCGTTAGTTGAGTTTGTTCGGCCTTGTTGACTGCTACTGGCAAGTAGGCCTAGCACCACGTTTGGTGGTCATTATAACTTCCCTCTTGAAGATTAGGGGATGTGGTTTCCTAGTATATCGCATCGTTTCGTAGCGGGTGGTACTGCATTGAGATCCAGCGTAGTCAAGTTGAGTGAGAGTGGAAGTACAATTTTCAAGATAATAGTCCTGGTTAAGTATGACACGGACGGAGCTGGATTATTCCTGAGTTGGTGTGTAGGACTCCTGGCCATACATAGGATCGCTATGGAGAGAAATTTAGCTCAAGCGAAGATATCTCGGGATGGTGACGGTGACGTTGCTAGATTCTATCAAATGGTACGGCGCCAAGATAGGTAAGCAGCAGGTAGTAGCTGCGCATTTAGACAGCTCACCTCCATATCGTCCGCGCTCAAAGGCGTCGTATGACTCGGAGATGGACGTCACAGAATGTAACTTGGAAAGCAAAGGCTCCAGCATTTGAAGCGACTAGAGTAATGGATACTGATGCTCATATAATTTAGTTCATAGCTTGGGAGCGGAGGTGTTCAGGTCCATGGGTCTCTTGGGTCTCTTGGGCCGAACGCGGAAAATGGAGGACAGGGTTCTAGAGAAAGAAATCCTGGAGGATACCTAGCACTTTCGCCAATGATGTCGTTGTCATTGTCATTGTTTGTAGTACGATCCTTGGAATCTGGGCATCCGATGTATTGATTTGTATGTAGTTGTAGAAGAGATAGTGTGCTAACCTCAGTACCACTGTTTACAGGATGCTACTTATAGTGGGGGTGACCACTGTGGGTCAGGTGACATTGTTCCTAGGGTGGCTACAATAGGGGGGTGCCGGTAACGTTCGATGAGCGCAGCCACCCGCGATTTGGATCTTATCATAGTTCCCTACTGCAGGCTTTTCTCGATCCTATGCTACCATACTCCATTCTTCCTCCCTTCCACCCCTTCCACAACGTTGTCTCCGGGGGGGGGGGATTCGCCTGTACTAGACATCTGTGGCGGAGCGTGCGATGCGTTGGGTGTATGTGAAGGTGTGTGACACGGAAGCGCGTATGCAACCTCTGGCATGTGCTGAGTCTCGTCACCTTCTATACAGACAACAGCGTGTGTGTGGCGCAGGATCCATATACTTGACCGCCATATAGATTATCGGCGAACCGCTCTTTACAAGATAATTGTCATCCCGCCTATCCAGCTAACTCCGATGAGTGGGCCTGCCTTACTTGGAATCAAATCAGGCTCTATCTAGAAACATTCCGTACATGGTGGACTATCCTAAAGCTCGATAGATGCAGCTGAAGTAAATGTCCTCTCCCAGTGAGCCCAGATCATCACGGGTTGCTCCCCATCTTTTTCAAGGTTGCATGCGGGACCAGAGGTTGGTCACCATCCCAGCCAGGAACCGCACATCCCAACACCCTGCCAATGTACAACATCATCAGACAACAACGAAAAGGTTGATTTGAGCTTGTTCAACTTAGTCATTACCTCGGTCTTTAACCAAACTCTGTTTTGCTGATAATAATTAAATGAGACTTCCCCTTTATTCCTACCAAAGGCCAAATTCTGCGGGGCTAAAGGGTGAGCGGGACGGCAATAGTTTTGAGATCTGGGGAGGATCTCTGCTCACAAGCTTCAGGGAGAGGATGTGATGGACTGACTGGATTGGATTGAAGATGTAGAAGCTAGGTGAGTCTCTTGGGGGGGGTGGCCTAAGGGAAGTACACTTGCACTTGTACTCGGATGTCACGCTCGGGTAGCGAGAGACAGCCGCAGCCGGCTCCTCATCCTCCTGCATTGTTTGCTGGGGGCCAAAGTCAGCCATGTATCCCTTGGGGCGGTGTGACACTTAGCCCAGCAGGTGTGACCCACTGTACGTAGCTATAGGTATACAGTCTCCCACAGTGGTCCTTGGCAGACCCAGAGACTTTACTTCTATAACTTCAATCCAATCTGATCCAGTTGATCCAGTTGATCCAGTTGATCCATTACAAAGTGGTAGCTAGCGATCGTCGGCATCGCCTCGTCTTGCTTTTCTTTTCTTTTCCCTTATGGGATGGGTCCCTTCCCTTTCCCCTTGGGAAATGAAGTGTTAGATCCAGAGGGTTTGGAGCTGGACGTGGGTGTAGGATTACTAACATAACCGGATAAATCTAACCTGTAATAGTCGTAAGTTTTATAAACCTTGTAAATCTTCCGCCAACGTGCTAGAAAAGTGTTAAATTAGCGTTTGGATTCTATCCAACCTAAAGGGTATTTAATTTCAAATTTAATAGCTATATAATTAAGGTTCTATCCTTATATAAGATAATCCGCTAGGTATAGGTTTTCCTAACTAATAAGCTTTACGTTAGGATAAATAGTAGCTTAAAATCTAAAAAGCTATTTAGCTAGCAACATATCCACCTTAGCTAAAGTAGGATAGGGAAATATAAGGATTCTCTTAATATAAGGAATAGGAGTTCGTTTTATATAAAGCTAGGAAATTAGTATTAATTAATAACGTAAAGTATATACGGAAGGTATAAACGTAATATAGGCCACGGATAAAGCGTGCCAGGTAGGTTAACTAAGCTACTGCGGGGAAAAGACTGGCTACGTAAAGCAAAGGACTAATGCCGTTTAATTAGCAGGTTCTTAAAATCCCTAAAGCAATCCAGCGGATGCCTTCCCCGCTATATAAAGTAATATATAGATTTAGTTACATAAGCTACTTAAAGAAATTACCCTATACCTAATAAAGGAGTTATAGCCTTACTTCTTTTAAATAAATCTCCCTACATTACTTAAGCCTTTATACTTTAATAACTTAACTGTTAATTTTATTAATTGTTACGTTAATAATCCTAAACCATTAACTTTAATATATTAATATATATTATCTATAATGTTATTATATTTAAAAAATCTTAAAATCCTTTAAGTTAAGGATTCCTTTAAGTTATTAACTATAATTAATAATTATAAAGTTCCTCTTATATTAAAGGAAGCTAAATGTTTACTTAATAAAGTACTTAACTATTAAGGGAATTATTATATATAAAATATAGCTAACCTTTTTAATATAGTTAGATTAATAATAGCTTTAATATTAATACTGAAATTAATATTATTATAATTAATAAATGTTAACTATTTTAATCCTAATATTAAAGACCTTATATTTATAGGATTTATAATGGATAGGAAAATTATTAAATATATTAATATATATACCTTTATAAATAAATTTAAACATTTAGCTTATACTTAAAATATTAAGGTTTAATATATATAAACTTAATATTTTTTAAGCTTAACCTTTATTTAATACTTATAAGTTCTCTTTAAATTAAATAAAGAATTATTAAAAATAAATATAATTAATACTATTTATAAAAAGTTAATTAAATACTTTAAATTATTTTTATTTATAACTATAAAATAATTATAATTATATTACTTTAAGTTAAATAATATTTATTAAAAATAAAATATCTTTAAGTTTATTTAATATATTATTTATAATATTAAAGGTTATAACTAATTTAAAGTAAATTAATTTAAAATAATATTTAAAGCTTTTAATAAAGAAATTTAAATTTAATTTATAATCCTTAATATAAAAATAAGAATTAATAACTTCTTTATTTAAATTTAAAAGTATAAAGGTATCTTAAAGAAATTAACTATAAATAAATATATATTCCCTTAGTTTTAATTAAATAATACTTTCCCCTTTACTTTTTATTTATATATTCCTTAAATTAATAATAGAATTAATATTTAACCTTATTAATATAGGTAAATATATTATATATATAAATATAGGAATAATATTAATAGCTATAAAA